TGTTTACCTCTCAAAATGTCTGCACTGTTTGGAGCAGTATATAAAACTTGGCAGCCGCATAAGAGGGAGCTCAATACCTGCTTCCAATCAGCTCCCCTTGAGGAATCCTGTCCTGACCATATTTACCATGCTTAGCCTAACAAGCCAAAGGAAGAGCCCTAACTGCACACACCTTTTGTAGGACTGCATGGATGAAAGAAGGGCAGGCGTCATGTCCATGATGCATGAGCCCCACTCCATCGCCTTGGCTCCCAGTTTAAAAGGCGACTTGGAAGAGAATGGTACGGCTTAAGCAAGGGGAAGTCAGGGCACTGGGCTTGTGGATGTACTGATTTGATAAGTACTGTTCATATTAAAACAACGTTCTAAGTGATGTACAAAAAGCACAATGTAATGAAATACTGAATATACTACCACATACAGAAGATCGTATTAACTTCCTGGGCATGTTCGTTGGGGGAAAGTATAGTTCCAGTGGGTACCAAAACTCCAGAAATGTTGGTGCCTGTCTAATTTGGAACGGTAGGGAATGTTGGGTACCACAATACTAGGGGCTCCATGCCAAGCTATCACAGAGCAGGCATTTGATTCTTTGGATACCACCATGATGACTGCAGCAAGCAAGCAGGTGCTGGGGTTAAGCAGCCTTGTCAATAGACTCATCCTGATTGCACAAATAGTGTTCCTAGTTCCCTCATCCTTTCTCCCCATTCTACAGACTCCCGCAACAAATTAAACAAGCGCAACTCTTCCAGGTTTCCTGCACCAACTGAAGGGACAGTTTTCCCAAGAAACAAAGAAACAGAGCGAGTCAGAAGGGGCCTCCTGGGCCATCTAGTCTGACACCCAACTCCAGCCGGCTCTGCTCATGACATGCCTGCCATGTGCATGTCCAGCCTATCCTTGAACACCCTCACCGATGGGGCATCAACCACCTCCCGGGGAAGCCCATTCCGTTCTCTTATGCTCTGTGTAAAGATGTGGGGAGTTACTACATCACTTCGGAATTAGGCAATGAAACAACAACAACAATAAGGCACTGATGTTGAACACATGTAAACGAAGAAGCTCTAGGTTAAAAATACACTAGTGCTCACAGACTGAATATAGACAGAGGAAAAGGCACATTTAGTAGTCTTGCGCATTGCAGGGTAACACTACAAATCCATGTAGCAAACCTGCTAACATGAGAAACAGCCCTTGAAAGGAGAAGTGACTGACTGGGGATGGGAAAATAGGCCAGTGCCAGACATACTGAGTGAGGCAAACAATTCATGTGACAGATTTGTGGCACCATCCATGGGTATCAGATTGTCGGTTACTAAATTTCTATTTATTTAGGAAGAGTGGAATTTTCTGCTTCGGGCACCAAAATGTATCTGACATCCCCTTCGGTCCTAAGAGCACAGCAAAAATTGCTGGAGCCCTCCTGCTTCAGAGGGATACAAAAGAGCCAATTTCTCTCATTCGTTCCCCCTTTTTTCCTTTTTTTTTTTGGCTATTATGTGGGAATAACGTCCTTTCCGCTGCCAGCTCCAAGCACAGCAGGCACACTGCAAAATTCATTATCCGATATTGCAATCACAGTCACCTTTATTGTGTGCTGCATTTACAATAATTAGACCTATAAACACTGATTTATAAAAATGACAAAACAAGAGCTCTCAGTAAGGAAGAAGAATGGGTTCCTTTTATTGAACTGCTCTTCACAGAGGCAAAACACACAACAGCCACACACGCAAACATAGGCCGAGAGCAGTCATTTTATTTTACAGCAAAATTAAAGAATCCCCTCCTCCAGGGAGCTTTCAACCACTCAGAGAAGGAGATCAGGAGCCCCCAAGCCATCGAGGGATGAAGAGAAACCAGGCATTTGGTCAGTATCACAACAGCTTCTCAGGTTACACCAGAAATTGGGCACCAGTGGCCTCTGGCTAACCATAAAAGCGCTCTGGTGGCACTAAGAGCCCACTGGATGGGAGGAAGGGAGGGAGGGAGAGACAGAAAAAGGCCGGCTCCACCCACCCAGGGCTCCAGCCCCATCCACCACTGGCATGGCACCCTTCAACAGAAAGCAGGTTCCTCACTTATCTTGCACAAGCTAGGTCTTAAATAACTCCAATTCCCATTTTCCTGCAAGGCCATATCTGAGAATGATGGGAGTCTCATCTAGCGTTTACCAAGTTGGAGAGGGCTGGTTTAGCTGGAGGGGGGTTGCTCTGGGTGTGAACCATTCAGGACTCGCTTCCCAGTTCAGCCAGTGCTCCTGCAGAAAAAGGAGTCCCAGCTTTGGGAGTGATGAAGGCACAGCTCAGAACAAATGTGTTGCATGAAAAATGGCCCAGGTGCAATGCTGAAAAGGGGCATTGGAAGAATGGAAGAGGTTTCTTCTTCCAATGGAAGAACGGGAGAGGTTTCTTCTTCCAATGGAAGAACGGGAGAGGTTTCTTCCTGCCAGAGACCCTGAGAAGCTACTGCCAGTCTGTGCAGGCAGTAGTAGGCTCAATGAACAAACTGTCTGACCTGGTACAAGCAAGATTGCACTCATTGCTGGGTGCTCCTTCAGTGCCTACATGTAAAATCCCACCCTGGAGCCTAGACAATTTCTCCCCATGTTTCAGCACGAATTGCCAACAGATCCAGCAAATGTCCGTGCAGAACCTCCGGACTAGCCTTACCCTTAGGCAGAGTGAGGCAGCGAAGTGCTGGAGGAGGTTGCTCTGAACCACCTAAGCTGGCCTTCAGTGGTGGTGGAAGATGCTTCTGGTTGCTGGTGTTGAAGGATGATTCACCTGCCAGTGTGTTTAGCCATTGTGCATGGAATGGGAAGGGGAGCTATCCTGTTCTTTGCGCTGGGCAACAAAGTGGCTTGAGCCAGCCCTGCCGTACATCCACCAAAGAAACAGTAAAACTAGGCAGACGGACACCTTCCCAGTCACATGGGGAGCCATTCCTTGTTTGCAGTTTCCCCAAATAACACAAGATGGCAGCAGCACTGCACTTGCCGAAGTTCTTGCTCCATTCCCAGAGTATTCCAGGTACAGAAATAATAAAAATTATAAGAATAATATGAATTCCTTTCTTAAGTCTCAACCTTTAGCTAACCTCCAAGCCTATGAAAGGATCCTATGAGAACACTATTTGCTGATTCAATGAACAATGATATCAGGCAGGAAAGGTAATCTCTAATATTTGTGGCCGCTGTCTGAAAGCGAGGATGGAAAGAGTTCAGCCTTGCCAGACTTTCTTTTTTAACTAGAAGGCCAAAATCCACCACCAGAGCCAGGCACAAAAGATGCACACTTAGATCAGAGAGCCTCTGACCATATTCTGAGCAATGGGTTTAATTTCGGTGCCAGAAGAGAACTGAGCTCGCTATCCTTTCACACAAAACTCCACTCTTGGTTGCCCACAAACTCTTTCAGTTCAGCGATATCATTTAGGTGGGTGGAAGGAGAGGTATTTTAGTTGCCAGAAACAAACCAAAGCAACCGTCACCCCCCACCCCCATCTCCCCAGACCGCCTGATTTACTTTCTCTCCAGCAAAGCACCAAGACCGAATAAGCCATCCAGTGGGTAACAGTAGCCAGCTATTTAGGGATGACTCCTCTAAACATCATGTGGTTACTTTGTGCTGATTCAACTAATTTGAGCAGCAGCTCTCACGGAATTGCCTAAGACGTTGACATGAGACATTCCCACACTTCTGGTGGCTGCCTGCAGCAGGAGGGAAAACGCGTATCTGGACATAACTGCAGCTGTTCCAGAAGGGGGCTCTGCCAGCATCCCCAGTAGGCATGACGGGGCCATGTCCACAGCCCACACCACAGCTGGGGCCTCCGGAGAAGCACCTGCAAGACTTCCTCCACTTCTGCCTCATCGTGGCAGCCTGCTTCTTCACCGGCCTGTCGCTCAACCACAATGGAGGACAGGAGGAGCAGGAGATGTCATGGCCTTGAGCAAGGAAGTGGAGCCATAGTGACAGGGCAGCTGGTGATGGCAGTGGTGAGAAGGTGGCTTCCCAGAGGGAGGTCCACTGAGGGGATCTTGGCCAAGGTCCACCAGAAGGCGGTGCCACCCTGCTGTGTGTTGCTACCCTTAACAGAGGGTAGGGCAAGCCAGCCCGTTCTGGGTTTCGGCGTCCTCCTGCTCCCAGGGTTGAGTGTCCTGCACATCTCTCCGCTTTGGCCTTGACTAGCGAGGGCCAAGCCACAAGGTCTGTCTCCAGAGCCACATCTTGCCTTGGAGCAAACAAAGCAAGAAGAACAAGGTGCAGTTAAGGAGGGATAGCCTGCCTTTTCCACATCACTGAAGAACCAGCACTGGGCCTCACATCCCCCTGGGATGAGGGAGGGCAGGATCCAAAGCTGTGGCTTTTAGGAGAGTGTTGCTGAGCCCCAAACCTGCTCCTCATCACCCTTTTAAAGATGGTTCATGTCAAATTATTGTATGGGTGACTCATTCCCATTTGTGGGCACCTGAATGGATCCTTCCACCCAGTCAATCAATGCCACAGCCCTTGCTTTGTCCAGTATTGACTGCTGCTTCTAGAAATCTAGGCACTGTTCCACCAACAAAAACTTTCTAGGACGAGTCAGCACTGGAAAGAAACTGGCAGAGGGAGGAGTAAAGAGTACTCAGTTTTCATCAGGTAAATAAGAGACATCCATGCCTGCAAACGTGGCCAGCACAGAGTGAGACGGCATCCTGGCCTCCGCTTGGCACCTTGACCTCCCTCCGATGCATAAGCGAGAGACAGCCGCATCCACACAGAGGGGAGCTGCTGCCATGGGTTCACTCCATGCAATTCCACACAACTCGGTAGCAAAGCACCGTCTCACTCAGCAGTGCTGAGCCAGGGAAAGAGGGAGCCTTCCCCTCACTGACACACGCCAAGCCCAAGCGCCGTGCCTCCACCTCATTCCCAGTGGTCTCGCTGTCCTTCTCCGCACACAGAAGGAATTCCTTGGCACACGGTGTCAGAGGGAGAGAAAACACCATGGCCAAAGATCCTCAGGAGAGCTCCCCGGACGTCGAGATGCACCACGTAAGCCTATTCCTTTCCTTCTTCATGGTGTGTGTTTGAGTGTGCATTGCCCCAGTTAGTTGCAGATCAGCGATTCTCTGTTTCCACGCTCTGCACAGTACTGCTGCCTTTTCTGACGCCCCTTTGCCCTTTTCTATCCTGCACAGATCTCGAAAGCCAAGAAGGAGCTCCACAAACAGTGCAAGATCTGTGGGGTGCTGCTCTGTGCCCTTGTGCTCTCCCTCCTCCTCACCATTCTGGGTGCCTATTATTTCTGGAAGCCACCTCCTAAAAAAGTAAGTTATATTTGCTACATGGAGCTTAATACTTTTCCGAAGTATCTAGCTTTTCTAATCATCACCACTGTACATCTTTACTTTTCATTTTTAAAGAAGGGAGCATTCGAGGTGATTTTGGATGAGTTTAGACCCTGCTGTATGTTATTTTATTCTTTCATGAAGGGATCCTTGCCAGGAAAGCATTCTGTCTCCTCCGTGGCACGGGGAGGTGCAATTAATTGCGGGAAAGTGCTTTCCCTTTTGTTTCAATTAGCTTGCCCGAAACTGGTGGGAAAGCCATTATGCCACCAAACTTGGGAGTGATTGATCATCACCAACTCCTATACTTTAGTATGCCTGCAACATAAGCAAGCCAAGGGACAGCTTTGCTCTGAAAGAGGGAATCTCAGCATAGCATTCACTTATTTGATTAAGCAATTTGGGGGGAGGGGGTCACCTCATGCCATTTCGTCACTAAAAATGCATCCCGTTACAACAAAAGCTCACAGAGAATCCTCAGTACCTGGCGCTGTAATTTTCAAAACAGTTCCTCCCCACTTTGTCACTTTGCAGAAACCACCTGGGGGTTTCTGCTCAAATCAAGCTGCCCTCTGTATGCTTTACTTTCTTCAACTCTAAGGGTTGTGATTTAAGGCTTGGGTTTTTGTTTTGTTTTTTTAAGCAAGGTGCATGTTTCGGAGGGAAGGGGAGTTATGCGTTCCAATGCTGAAGTCCTCTTGATGGAAGAAAGCAGAAGCCTGTATTTTCAGGGATGGGTGAGAATTGCAAAAGAATTAGATAAATCCTTAGAGAAAAGATTTATCAGGCTATTTGAACCATGATAACTGGATGGTAATCTCATGGACAGAATGGATCAGTGTCTGGATAACTGTCTGGATAACAAATGCTGCAAACAGACAAGGACTGCAGAGGCTTTCCAAACCCGCAAAGTGGGGCACTTTGGATGCAAGTTCTGCCCCCATCCTCTTGCATGGCCCAAATATCCAGCTAAATATGGACTAAGACTTTGCAGCAGCGAGCCACTGGGCTCCATCAATGATATGGCCCAGTTCAGTGGCATAGCCACAGTGGCAAGCATGCAGCCAAGAAGCCCTTCGCTCTTGAAGGTGAGCACTCCTTTACCTGGCACCACCCTTGCCTGAATCTTGAAGCACTTTAAGGTATTCTCAGGGACCAGAGTGTTGCTCCGTTCCCACCCCCACTGCCTCCCAGGAGGAGGTCTCTGTCTGTCAAGGAGCTGGATCTGAAGCATCACACCTGAGGACCCAGGAACCTCTTGGCCAGCAGCAGAAGTCTCTCGGGTGACTCTAGGGAGCTCTGCTCCCAAACGCCCAAGCCTCCAGTATGATTTCCCCAGTGGAGGAATGATACTCAAAGCAACAATTCATGAAGTCCAGGGACCATGCCTTTCTCACCCCCATTGTATGATAAATTGCTGAGCCACTGGGCTGTTTGAAAGGCCAGCAGTATAAAGCTGCAGGATGGGATGAGCCCTCACTGCCTCGTCCCAGCTCTTGCAAACCTAGCAATTCCAAGGCATGTAATGCATTAGATAAATAGGTACCACTTCAGTGGGAAGGAAACAGTGCCCTGGGAGGTCATGCTGGCCACATGACCACAGCAATGCTGGATCGTGCCTCGTGGAGATGAGTGCCACCCCTCAAGCCGTTCAGCTAGAAGGGTAAAAGCTGTCGGGACTCCTATCCTTTCCTTCCTTGTATGCATTGGCCACTGCCCTCTGCTTTTCAGCCACCTGTCAGAAAGCAGATGCCAGAGGAGATGGGCCCTTGCTCTTACCCAGGAAGGCACCACCCCATGTTTTCACACCAGGAAGTCTGGGCAGAACAGGGGCCCCGCATTGTCTGCAGCGTCCTTTTAGAGAGGGCAGAATGGCCATTTCCCTCTCACCACTACGATGGTCATCATCCTATTCCTCCGAAGAGGCAATGCTGTCACCAGCCAGGGTTCCTCCTTACACATTCCAAAGCCACTGAGTTTTTCCTTGCAAAGCATCCTTATTGACCAAAAAGCACGAAGCACCCAGGAAGAATCTCTGAGCATGCAGAGCAGGTGGTTGAATGCAGTCTAGTAATCACCTCCAGGAACTCTCCTTATGCACATGCCTGGGCCCCGTTCCTTTGGGGGGGCAGGGGGCTTCTGAAAGTGAGCCCACCTCCTCTCCATGCGCTGATGCTCCTCTGCTGGTGGTGCGCCATGGAGTCCAGAGCCAGACTCGCCTCATCTGAGCCTGAGGAACTCCCCTCCTCCAAGCCCCTCACGCCAACGGCCCGTCTTGGTTATTCCCAGGGACGGACTGCCCGCCTGCCCACTTGGGGAGCCCAGCCTTGGGATAAGCTCCTCCACTTCTCCCATCTCAGTGTCACAGCTTGGCCCGCCTTCCCAGGCTGCCTGACTGCTGCTCCACATTCCCATCCCAGTTCCCCTGCAGCCCAGCCAGCAGTCCTTGAGAACAAGCACCCCACAAACACTCCCATCTGCAGCAACCCTCCAGCTCACCGGCACTACAGTTCCCATCAGCATAGGGCTCAATGGGTGGCAGCAGCGGCAGTTCAGGATATCTGGCCTGCACCTCATGGCCCAGATCCTTCCCCAGAATCCAGGGGAAGCACAGCAGGGAGTGTGACTTCCAGCTGCAGCACCAAAAGCAAGCAAGGAAGGTGCCGCCATTGGAAGGAGAGCCACTGCTTTGCAGGCAGAAGGTCAGCAGGCTCAATGCCTGCACCTCCAGCTAAGCCTGGGGAAATAACCTGCCAGGAAAGGAGGAGCACTGCTGCCCACCCTTGACACCAGGACCAAGCTAGGTGGTTTGGCTTTGCCTAGGGCAGCTTCCCGGGCTTCTGTATTTCAAAGATGGGGCTGGGAATTGCTGGACTAGTCACCCTGCAACACAGTTGCCACCATCCTCTTGGCAGGCCGGACAATATCGGAGATCAGGGTGAGCAGATGAACCCCAGACCTCTCTCCCTATAAGGAGAGAGGTGGGGAGAGGGAGTTCTCACCCAGAGTTGCAGGATGCAGAACGCTTAAGGTCTGTGGCTGCAGAGCCTCTTCCCACATTCCTGAGCAGCACTGCCTGGAATGTGGTTTCTTCCCTGTGAATCAGAGGGTGTACACTGAAACTTGGGGGTGTCTTTTGTAAATGTGGACCAATAAAAGCAGAGGATCCCCAGGCTGGGCTAGGAAAGACTGTGGCATCGGATCCTGGATGGCCTCTGTCAGCAGCATTGGGCTAGACCTCATCTTGTGCCACCTGACAGCCAAAGTCCCTTCCAGAGACTCTCTCGGGAAGCCACGTGTTACAAGGCCAAAGGCAGAAGGGGTGGAGCCAGAAAGTCCCAGCATGTGGCTGCTTGAAGCTCTTCTGCCAGTCACTGAGCCTTACAAGAGGCAGCTGAGCCTTCTAGGACGAAAACAAATGCCGGGAAACCACCAGACTACCTGCCTTTGGGGCAAGGAAAGAGGGTGTGCACAGAATGGGGCTCCAAGAGGGCCAGATCTGAGTCCTGGATCTGAGGCTCCCTGGCCCTGGGCTAGATGGACCAACCGGTTGACTCTGTAGGAGGCGGAGGCACACATCCAGCCCTGTTTTCACATGGGGAGGTTAAGGAGATAGCAGGAGAAGCTCCTTGGAGAGGCAGAATCTCCCAGGCAACCAAACCGTGAGGCTCTTGGCAGGGGCAGCAGGGAAACCTTCGCCAGCCAGGAGCTCTGTGAAAAGACACCCTGCCTTCGCTTTCTTCCTTGCTGGATCTGACAGCAACATCTGTTTGCAATAAGCTGTCCTTCATTCGGCAGCTAGGTCTGCAGAAGACATTTTCATTCCAGACACAGTAAACCCCCTCCCTGCCAAAAAGGCCTTTTGCCACGCAGCCGATAGTAGAAAAGCTCAGGCTAAGAGTCCTTCAATTGGGGCGCACTGCAGCTGAGCATCCTGCAGGGGTGTTGGACTACAGTTCTCACCATCCCCAGTCAGCATGGCCAATGGTGTCGCGTTTCCTTTGACCTGTGGCTGCAGCTAGGCAACTCAACCATCCTGGAGGAGGTGGCCTGATCCTCGGTGATCATGATGGGAGTTGTAGTCCAAAACTTCTGGGGGATTCCAAATTCGGAGATGGTTGGCTTGCTGCAAGCTGACCTGAGGGCTGTATGGAGATACTGTTCAGCCTTTGAGCAGATCTCCCATAACCTGGACAGAGAGAAGTAACTTCAAGCCCTTGTGCACAAACTACAGTTTAGCCTCATTTCCCCTCTGAAGGCCTTGGTTTTATTTGCACCCTGCCTTTCCACCAGTCAAGGGCACTCAAGACAGGTGCAACTAAAATTGACTGAAATAATGCTTTGAAATACAGAGAAGGGCTGTGACCTGTTCTTCCCTGCAGTGGATGGCAGGACCCATTTCAATGGGGTGAAGTCAAGGAAGCAGGCTTCAGGCTGGATGCCAGGAAGTACTTCCTGATGGCTAGGACCCCTAGGATGGAATGGGCTTCCAAGGGAGGTGGCGGAGGCCCCATCCATGAAGGTATTCAATGAAAGATTGGACAACCACATGTTGGGGATTGCATGAGCGGAGCCAGCTGGAGCTGGGGACCAGACTAGATAGCCAGGGGGACCCTTCTGTCTTGCTTTGCTCCTTTGTTTTCTATGTTTCTATGAAATGGGACAATAGCAGAATGCAAAATATTAAAGGAGCACAGAGCCCATCCAATCCACTTACGGCCCAGTAGCCTTCTGGAATAACGCAGCCCCAGGCGGGGGCCCCAGACCCTGCAGTATCTGCCACAATTGCACTTATGACACCTTCCAAGCCATTCACGTGGTTCTGCTTCCCGTGCTCATTCACACGCACCTGGGGCCATCGGAGAGAGAGGAAAGCAGGGGCATGTGCCAGATCAGCCCCACAGACAGCCACCTGTGTTGGACTTCTTCATGCAGAGCCAGCAGCGTTGTGCCTCTTCCAGCCCCAGAGCCAAATTCAATCTCAGAGGTGCTTTTGGGGGGCTCTGGAACAGGCAGGGCCAAAGGAAAAGGGATGAAGCCAAAATACTGCCAAACACCAGCTTGTTTTAGGAGGACACTCTTCCTACTTGTAACCAGGGCATTTCAATGGGAGAAAAAAGGAGCCCCTGTGGAGAAGCCACCAACACAGCCACATCTGGACAGCCACTGGTTTCCCACGTCCCCAATTTAAAATAGTCAATGTGCAGCTAGCTCTCCCCTTTCCTTCCCTCTGTCCCTGTGACATCAGGAAACAACTGTTTGTTCAGCCACCCGTGGCACATTCCAGGAAAAACAAAGAGCACCAGAGCTTTGATTTCAAAGCAAACCCGTTTGAGCAAACCCAAATAACAAACAGGAGCAAAGCATTCTGAGAAGAAAGCAGCTTTCATCCTTGTTTCAATCAGCGTGCATAAGTAAAACGGCCCCGTACTTTCCTTTGGAGCATGCATTCCATAGCTATCCTTGGCTAGCTGGCAGAGTCCCAGCATGGCCCAGGAGCAGAAGCCAGAGATCTTCAACCTAAAGGACTCGTGTTTACGGTCAGCTTTATTCCATGGATCTTAGTTCCCCTTCTACAGGGCTGGCCCAGCTGTGAGGCAGAGGAAGAAAACTGCCTTAGGCAGCAAATGCTGGGGAGGCAGCTCCTCAGACCCTCTCAAGCTCTCTGGCCCTTTCCCTCTAAAAGAGGACCGATGTACCATAGAGCCCCACCCATTGCAGGCTTCTATCCTGGAAGATAACAATTTAAAATATTGCTGGTTTGTTATTGGAATGTGGCAAAATGTTTCCTAGTGCTCAGTCACAAACAAACCCAAATTGACATTCCACATGACAAGAGGTGCCATCTTTTAGTTCCAGTTTTCTTTCACTGCCATCCAATGTGGCCATGTGCTTCTCCCTCCACCCTAAACTGCTATCTTCACTTCAGCAGTAGAGGAGAATCCCTGGAATTATCTTAAATCCAACTGGAGATAACAGCGGGGATTCCTCTATCTGAATCTTCCACAAGCCCTAAAGGGGTGAGACTTGTGGAGCAGGCTGGGCTTGCAAGGCTAAGGTCCACAAGGTGGCACAGTCCGTGCAGAGCTTCCATGGGCCCAATCAGGTCTGTTGTTTGGAGGTTCTGCTCCCCCATGTCAGGACAACACTCCTCCATGACAGCTTAACATCTGGATGCCCTTTCCTCCTCTGCTTCCACCGAGGAGCACGCTTAAGTCAGAACCTGCAAAACTGCAAGCAAGGGGGAGACAGGGGGAGTATCTGCTCAGAAGAGCTTAGCCAAAGCTCTGGAGGCATCTTTAGAGTGCCAGCCTCTCCCCACCCCCAGCCTAAAACCTAAAGAGGAAGTGACATTTACTGAAATATTAATTCTAAGCTCAGTCTGTCTTTGTGATAAAGCAGCTGTGACAAAAACATTATAAACTTCCATTGCCTCAGTCAAAGGAAACAAAACCCTGGGTGAGCACTTGAATCCCTGGAGTTCTCTCTGCTCAATGCCAGGGTGCAAATGTGTGACAATATAAATCTTTCTTCCTGCACCAGGATGAAATTGAAATTCTTCTTAACCACTGCAGAAAAGGCATTCTGAGAGGCTTTCAGGTTCCTGTGGCGCCATCCTTCAAAGTCAGCCCATATTCCACCTTAACATTGAACAAACTCTCCTGAAAAAAAAAAAACCCCAAATAGGACATTGGGCCAAAGTCATAAGAAAAATCATTCTTTGCGTAAAGACTGGAATGTCGAGCTGCTTTTTCCAATCGCTCTTTGGATGTCACTGCAGGCCAAACCAGACTGTCTAGCAATGACTTTGTCCCACTTGCATTGCAGGTAGGTGTATGTCCCCCTCCTCAGCTCAGGATTTTAATGTGGGAACGGGAGAGCTTTTGGGATCAGGCTCAGGGCCCCTGCTCTAACTCTTTACTAAAAGGAAATTAAGGATGTAGCCGTTAGACACAGATTTACAGCCGTATCCGTTCTGGCTCCAGGTCTGAGCTGAAGCACAGCTTGCTCTTGGAGGCAGCCTGCCATGCCCTTCCAAGGTTTCACCTTAAGCTTTCCCTGCTGCAAAATCCATCGTGCGCTTGTCCTGGAGTTAGCGCCAAGGTCCCTGTGCATGGCTCGCTGCCTCACTGTTTGCATGAGACGGTCAGCAAGCGGCAGTGTGGAGACGCAGGGGCAGGGGGCCGAAGAGTGTGTCAGCTCCAAGCTGGGCCTGGGATCCTCGCCAGCGGGCTGGCCAACTCCATTTCAGGGAAGCTCGTGGGGGCTGCATTCCAGGGGGGTGGCCTCAAAGGCAAAGGGCAGAGCCTAACCCTGATTGGGAGTAGCCAGGTACCAGGAGATCCATTCTGACATTTTAAAATGTGGGGAAACGAAGTCTGAGAGGCCATCAAGCAGTGGTTGGAGGAAGAGACCCTGGTCATCTGTAAACCTCTGGAAGGAGGTGGTCCCCAGGCCTGCGGTTCTGCACCTCCGGGCTAGGGATTGCATTGAGCACCTTTGCCAGTTGGGTTTAAAAGCTGAGAGGGGAGTCCTCAACTGGACCGGGATCCTGGCTGTAGTACAGGGGTCCAGCGCTTCCAGCCCCCAATGTTAGCCAGTTTAACTCTTTCTCCTCCCAGAGCTATCACCTGTTCCCACTGCCTTGGGAGACAAAGTCTCCTTCTTTTGCAGGGGAACTGATGCAGGAGAACAGAGCTGTGGCCTGGAAGGTTTGCCTGCTGCTTGCCTCCGCTTACACTCTTGCCCGGAACTTTGTAAATAAAGCAGATATTACAAAAACATTGCAAGGCTCCCCAGCGCTCTCTCATCTGAAGGAAAAATAAACTGGATAATGATTCCTTAGAATGTCTCACCCCTGGGGAAAGGGAGGGCACAAATGAACTTAGGTGGTCATTGCCCTTCAAGAATCAGGTTTTGGAGTTAGCCAGATGAAGTCCTTCAAATCTAGACTCAAGGCAGAAAACAGTCAGTGGGGTACCCAATGGCAGATTTCTGGGCAATCTGCCAAAGATCAGCACGGGTTTCTGCAGATTCCTGATAGGTCTAGCCATACCAAGTAGAAAGATAAAAGATGGGCTTCCAGTCACCTGCCAAATGCAAGACTGTCTTCTGTACAATAGTAAGGACGGCCACCGAGTCCCTTACCTGTGAAGCAGTTGCCACGGACCAGGCTTTTGTGTGGCAATCCTGCTGGGCCAGGTGGACAGTAACCCTTTTGGAAAGTGAGGCTGGGGAATGTCAGGACCGAGGCCAAACCGAAACATCAGAAGAACCGTGCTGGACCAGGCAAAGTCCCACCTAACCCAGCAGTCTTTGCAAGAGTGGGCAACCGGTTGCCCACAAGGTGTGAGTGCCACAGTGCCCCCATGCCCATGTTCCCCAGCAACCAGTGTACTGCCTCAGGTACCACACTCAGCACCGAACCATCAGCATGTGAAGCCACTGGCAGTTTTCCCCTCCAAGAATTTGTCCACTCCTTTAAAGCCCCCCAAATTGATGTGCACCTTGTGGTCACAAATGCCACACTTGACTAAGTGCTGTGTGAGAAAGAGCTTCCTTTCCTCTGTCTGGAACCTCCCCACAGTCAGCTTCATGGGACGACCCCTTTGGGTTCCAGCGCTATAAGAGAGGAAGAAAAATGTCTCCATTTTCCTTTTCTCTCCCTCATCCATAATTTTGTACCCCTCAACCATGTCTTCCCTTACTCACCATTTTTTCTAAAAGGTAAGGTCCCAGATGATGCAACCGAGCCCACCTGAAGTCCCAGGCCAGACCTCTAGAAAGCTGCAGACACCTTTCCCCTAACTTCCTTAGAGATGCCCTGGCTGTCGTGCGGTTTCTCCCCACAACCCCCCCACCCCGTTCTAGAAAAATGAAAAGCTTCCTCCGGTGCTTGGGAATTACTCCCAGTAAGAGTTTTAAGCTACAATGTGCTAAACTTTTTTGTTGTTGTGAACTCACCCTATTTGCCTTCAGTCCCATCTGCCATTGGAGAGTCTCCTCATCTCTGAAATGACCCTTGGCTCAAAGAGGCTCCACCTTTTTTTTTAATTTAATATTATAATTATTTTTAATTTATTGTTGTAAGCCGCCCCGAGGCTTCGGCGAATGGGGCGGCATAAAAATGTTTTAATAAATAAATAATAAATAAATAAATAAATAAATAAATACCTTGCAGTAAAGAAGCCAGATTGGATGGTGGGGAGGCGAAGCGTAGGAGGGCCTTTCTTGTCATTGCACTCCGCCTTTGGAACATGCTCCCTAGAAAGATACACCCAGCACCTTATTTTCTTTCCAGTGCCAGGTGAAAACCTTTTTATTTACCAGACTTTTTATGAACTGAATGAATTACACACACACTTATCTTTATTATATTGCTATACCTGGGATTAACTAATCCGGGATTAACATGTCATGAGCAGAGCCAGCTGCAGCCTGGGATCAGACTAGATGGCCCAGGAGGCCCCTTCTGACTCACTCTGTTTCTGCGTTTCTGATCTATCAGACTGTTGTGGTTTTTTCTTCTGGTTTTTAAAAGTATTTTTCATGTTTTATTCCATTGCATTGTTGCATGGTAGGTATGTTATTGTTGTATATCTGTTTTTATTTTTGTATATTTGTTTTTGGAGAGCAAACCACCCAGAGAGCCCTGTGGGCTATAGAAATGGTATAATAACAAATAAATAAATAACATAGATCTCGCCTGCTTGAGGGCTGCTCATCTCTGTTCCAGGTGACAACCTTATGCTGCTTTGGGATATGCAGTCCTCTCTCCTCTTCCCGGTCTATCCTTACAGATCTATAACATGGAGCACACCTTTTTCAATAATGGGAAGAAGCAGAAGATGCTAATGAAGATTGACTCACTCAGCAGGACGGAGATCTTCCAAACTGGAGAGGGCAGTGAAGAAGTCCTGGAGATACACGACTTTAAGAACGTATGTACCGCCATTGAGCTCTCTGGCAGAGGTAGATCAGAGCAAAACCAAGGTGGGCCTTTGAATTGGGAGTCATTCCTTAGGAAGGGAGAAGTGGTGTCCCTCTTTGGGTCCAGATGCCATTATCCCTAAGAAGCACGGCATGCGAATCTCTGGAAACACCACTGGCTGTTCTACAGGCCGAAGGACAATTTTTCTGAACAGTTTGGTCAATGTTCACACTGAGGATGCACCCACAAGACACATGCCCTTTCCTCCAAAACAAAATGCTAAAAATAATTACAGTTTTCAATGTAAAACCAAACTCAAGTGGCAGTGCGCCTACACCTTCAGCTGTGAAATGGGTCCACCACTTCAAGGTGTGGTTTCTAACAAGCTCAGGGAATCCCAAGATATGCAAAAGAATAACAAAGGTATAAAGAAAAAAGACCATTTTTACAAAGGTAAACATAACCAGGCAAGGACCTCTGGGCTTGCACCACTAATTATTTTATATATAGCCAGGCTTTTTCCTACCAAGAATTCAGTGTGGTTTCTATACCTCTCCCTCCTCAGCTAACAGTCCGTGACTGGCCAGGGAGCTTCACGGCCACATAGGGACAAGAATCCAGACCTCCTCAGTGCCAGTCCTACAGTCTACCCATTACACCACAGTGGCACAGTGCCCAGCTGGGATCTAGCGAGAGAACTGGAGAGAGGTGGAAAGAGAAGATGGAGCTGCCCTGCTCAAGCCCAGAGCAAACAATTATAGCGAACAATCATGGATATGTTTCTGGCTGGGTGGAGGATATACTGCAAGAGCAGGCAAGTGGTGCCTTCTCAATATTTGGGGCAACAACTTCCATCTTTGCTGCTTGTTGGCCATTTTGGCAAGGATGCATGGGAGCTGTAGCCAAAAACTTTGGGAGGGCCCATCGTGGGGCACACTGCAACTGCCCAGGATCCAACCCCTCTAAAGAGCCCTCTGTTTAGGGAAGGCATCTGAGAGTCTTGTCCCTGTTAGTAAAACCGCACCTTAGCAAAAGCTAAAACAATGTATTTTGTCCTGAATTAGGCTATATAACTGGATGTCTGCAGGACTGCACACACTTCATTCCCCGACTCCCTTCACATGGCTATTTTCTATTTCATCAGGGAATAACCGGCATCTTTTTTGTGGGGGATCCAAAGTGCTTCATTAGAAACCAGATTCAAGGCATACCTGAAACACCCAACATGGAAATGGAAGAGTCCAAGGTATGCAGAATTAAATGAACAGTTGGATTAAGACATTCATGCCAGAGATTTAGAACTGTGCAGAAAGCACAGGGTGTGAGCCAGCAATCCTGTTAGCTTTTAAATTGCTCACAGGTCAGGCAGAAAGATTCAGCATATGTTAAATTTCAAACAGAGGCCTAACTCTGTAGCCCAGATGGAATCAGTTTTAAGGCTGAAATCAGCCCATCGAAGCCAGTGGAAGACGTGAGAGGGCAAATGCAATTCCATCCAGTTTCCATTCCTGACTTCTCCACATGTGTGCGCACAGGGAATTTCTGCTGATTCTCTGCTTCAATTCCGAACCTGAAGGCTGAGAGCTCCATTGGAGTCCTAGAGCTTTTTGCATACCTTTTGCTGCAGAACTGAGATCCAGGATGTACACAGAGCTAAGCTTTTCTGTTTTTCCACTGCAGGATCCCAGGTAGCAAAATAACACAAATACACGAGTGTGTGTGTGTGGAGGTGGGGGGTATTCTTTCCTTTTCAGAAATACCCCATTTCCCCTACTCTATAAAGAGGGCAGGAAACAAGGAAGCTCTCAGAAGCAAATTGGGAGGATCAGAATGTTGTCCTCCTGTGGGTGAGGAGACCGGCATGCAGCAGGCATGCTTCTTGTAGGAAAGCTCATACATGTACAGGAGCCCTCAGACAGTCTCTGAGCCCAGCCTCAGCTGAGGCACCTGCAAGAAAGGGGGGTCCACCACCATCCCTGGGGAAGACACCTTGGGGACTCTCTCCCAGAACGCCTCCTCCTTTTCACCGCCATCATCACCAGCGGCTACTGCTCTTCATCCTTTTCTCCACTGGCTTGCTCGACAGCCTGGGAGCCACGTGAGGGGGCCACCACCTTCTCTCCAGAACCACTGTCTGGGCCAGAGCAGAGCAGCTGCACAAGTCGGTGGTGTGGCAAGGAGAAGGCGCAACTCCATGGGTCCTTCTCAGTGGGATCCTGTGGGGTGTGGGCCCTCGGCATGCACCGGATGCCAACCCGGACTTATACCCGAAGGAGGGTCTTTGCTTAAGCATCAACCAACATCTCCTTCCTTGTCACTGTAATCTCTCAGTTCGAGCCCTACCTTTGGAGCAACAGATTCGCTCCTTCTGTGAGTGCCCTTAATATATTCAAAGACTTATTTGAATAGTTAACCCAACTGCCTCTAAATTCTCTCTTCTCCAGACTAAACAGACCAAGTCCTTCACCCTTTCTGCATAAGCTTTGGCCACATGTTGCAAAATTCAGTCCCTGACACGCTCTGTGCAAGGTTCTTGTCTCTGCTGAAGTGGGCACTGAGAGCAAACCAAGCACACAAGGCTAGAGAGTAATGTTAGCTGGGTTAGACCACGGCTGTTGGGAAGACGGCCGATCTTTTCCGGACCCCAATCCATGAAGCAGAAAGGCCCTCTTATGGCTCCCATCGCTCACAGTGGCCCATTTGTCTGGCACTGGGGTTTTCTCTGGGGTCGCTTCCAGACTATGGAATGTAGCCTCCCAAGTCCTGCGATGGGCTCTCATTCTCTCAGCTTTTAGAAGGAGTGCAAAGATGCATCTCTGGACTGGAGCCTTTTAAATTACAGCCTTGGTGTTCTCGTGCTTCACTGCTTTTAGTATTCCTGTTTGTATTGTTTTCAATGGTTGTATGCAGCCTCGATGGCTTTTTGGCAAATCAGGCAGTATATAAGGGGCAGGAAAGACAAGCTGGGGAAATGCAGCTCTATCGAATTGCTCCTCTGGATTAAATAAAGGAAAAGTGAAGCTATTTCATTTCTTTCAGGGTGAGGACATTAAAGCCACCTATTTTGAGCAATCTGTGGTCTGGGTTCCAGCGGAAAAACCTATTGAAAATAAAGATTTCCTGAAGAATTCCAAGATTTCGGATCTCTGCAAAAATGTGACTCTATACTGGATCCACCCAACCTTGCTAAGCGGTATAGCAGCTTCCTCTCTCCAAGTCCACCACTGGCATGATTCTTAGAACCATGCACTGGAAGGGGCCTAGAAGGCCACTGGGCCCGACCCCCTGCTCGATGCAGGGCTCAGGCCTCCCATCCGGATTCTAGCCAGGGCTGACCCTGCTTAGCTTCCAGGATTAGGCAGGTCAGGCTTCACATGCTCAAGCTTTTCTGCTGCGGCCCAGTGTCACATCGCCAGAGATGGTTTTTCAGACTGTGAAATTGTTGTATATGCCAGATGCAGATAAAATGAGATTCAATCACCAGCTCCAAAATACAGCCAGTCAGACCTTTGCTCTGGTTACCTCTATTTCCATATCTGTTTTCATACCATAAAGTGCAGTCTTATGGGGGGAATCAAGCAAACCTTCACAATTATTATTGTGTTACATTTATACTTGGCCTGTCTTCCTCTTTCAAGGACCCAAAGTGGCTTATATGGGTTTTTTCCACCTCTCCATTTATTCCTAGAACAATTCTGTAAGGTAGGTTAGGTGGAGAGTCTATGAATAGCCCAAAGTTGCCCAGTGAGCCTCATGGCTAAATAGGGACTAGAACCCTGATCTCCCAAGTGCCCAGTCCAATGGTCCAGCCACCACACTGGCTCTCACAACATGGAAAAGATGTATCCAGTTTCATGGAAAGCAGGGAGCAGAGCTTGCTTGTCATTGCTTCCACAGTAGAGCCCCTTAGTAGTGCCAAAGCATTGCTTGCCTGCAGTGGTGAAAATGGCCTTAAGACAGCGCTCCCATGTCGCACCTGTACAGTGCTGAATCAGCCACCAGTATCCAACCAAGGCTACCCTATATTGCTTGTTCAGAAGTCAGTCCAATTCACCAAAATTCATGGCAGCATTACTTAACAGCTTCCTCTTTGGAGAAAACAGAAGGGGAAGAAGCTGAATGGAAGCTTCTAATTAAAGGCACAGTAGCCCTGAAAACCCTCAATAACAGTTTGGCATTTTATACTGGATAGGCTGATGCTGCAATGGCATTTAAAAAAAAACATAAATCAGGTCTCAAGAAAGAGGAGAGGAGAACACAGACAGCACTGAGACACCAGCATAGTTACATCACCTGGATTAGCTTTTGAGAGCAAGAAAGTGAAGGCTAGTCATTCCAGAAACTAAGTCTGTTAGCCGTGTTAGCTATGAAGACCTTCCCTATACAGTAGCACTAGTATGAATGCCTGATACTAAGGGACGGTCATCATCTTTGTAGTCCTGCTACCGGATCTTCTAGAAGCATGACTGGCTGCAGGTAGAAACAAAGCATGAACTCAAAGGGACAGTGACCTGTTCTAGGAAGGCAGCTCTCACACTCTTGCATTCCCTCGAAACCACCCATCTGCACTAGCCCAAACAGTGGTATAGCAAAGGGGGCACAGGGCTTTATTTTTCAGAGCAGGAGCGATGGTGTCCTTGGCCAGCATGCCAAAATACTGGACAGAACCTCCTTGCTCTGGCATCTGAAGGTGATAACAAGGCTTTCAAGTTTTACTCTGGTCAGTGACAGATTAGCATACAGAGCAGGGAAGCTGGCACCTGCTGGGTCAGTGGAGCTCCTCACCCACTGCACTGTTTCTTTTCAGCTTTATAGGAAGTATCCCTGGTGCTGAATGCTGTCTGCAAAATAGGCTCACCGCCTAAAAACCTCAAAATAAAAGCAACTAGGCCATGATGTACTTTCTGCTTCCTTGTCCTGTATGCATTGCATTTCTAACCCAGAACTATTCATCCTAACTGTCATCAGGCTGTTTAGGATCTCAGAGACGAAGAGAGGGCTTGAGAGATTTCCTATTACCTGCCACCCTTGCAACAGTCATGGAGGAACTGGCAGGCAAGCGATATGCCTGGAAACTGGAACCAGATACAGGCATCTAGCTCGCCTGATTCCTTTCCAGACTTCCTTTTAGGTTTTGATTTGACGAAGCTTCAAGGAACAGGAGCAAGATATTTATGGGGCAACCGGCTTGCTTAAGACACTGAACACCATGCCCAGCACTGGCTCCTGCACAGGAGGAGCACTCAGCTGGTTCTCTGTGGGATCCAGGGGACCTCAGCTAAGGGTAACTTTGCCACATCTTAATTTATGCAGCTGGAAAAGTTGCTTGTTGCAACCATTTGCCTCTCGTTCATAGAGATGGAACTCCTGGATGTTGACAATAACGAAAAAGGAGATGACCAGATCCCTGTGAACAAGCAAGACTGGCCTAAAATTCAGGAGGAAAAAGAAGAGCATCCTTTGGCCAAGGAAGGGAGAGGAGGCAGCAGACGTCAGACTCGGCAGCTCACAGAAGAGGACCTCCCAGTGAATGACTACGTAAGTCTTTGGGAGCAAACAATTAGTCAACTGTCAGCTCTGAACTTCAGCTAGAGCTTTAAAAGGAGGAAATGTCAAGCAAGCTTTTCCATGCAGCCTTCCCCCTCTTGCATAATCCTGCTTGCCCAAGCCCCTCATATTCTGGAAACTATGCTAAAAACCCAAGCACTGTGCAATTGAAATGGGCAGGGGATGGTCACAAAAGGAGGGAACAAGGAATCTGTCCCAAAAAGGAAAAAAATGAAAGTGATGGGAAAGGAGAGCCAAGCCGAAGTGCAGGAGGAGGAACACAGTGGGGAATCTGATATCACGGGCCCGTCTCTGAACTGACTTCATCCAGAGAACAGTCCTGGCTGTTGCATCTGTGCAGGCAGAAAGAAAAGAACAGAGGAAGCTCTCCACCCACTCGGTCGCTGTGAAGCAGCAGGATTAAGGCTGCAAACCTGAGCCCACCTATCTCAGTGGAAGTCCCACCGAGCCCCTGGGCCTAGCCTGGCCTGCAGAGGCCCCCAGTCAAGCCCCTCTAAGATTTTGTCACTTTAAATGTAATATTCCTGTTTTGGCTGCCTGAAATGATTCTGTCTCTTTAAGCAAGAGATGAAGAATGTAGGGACTTCCAGACATGCTTGGACCATGACTCCCATCAGCCCCGGCATTGGCCCTGCTGTCGGTGGCTGATGGGAACTGCAGTCCAACCTCTGGACAGGCCCAGTGGTTCCCATCCCTGCCTTGAGCCCCCTCAGCCCAGTGCTGAGGGCCAGAAGGAAGAGAGACTTCCTTTGAGCACCAACGGGGGGATAGCCAGAGAGGAGGTGGAGCAGGGTTACCACAGAGAGAGCACAGCAAGGAAAGGCTGGGCCAGAATGAGGAGAGGAGGAACAGCGAACGTGCTTCCCACACAGGGTGTAAGGACCTCTCAGCAAGGCAGTGTGGTAGAATGGTTAGCCTCAGCTCGGCACATGTGGATTGACTTGAGTCTTCTATACTGACATGGGCTCTAATCACATTCGCTTTGCTGGTTCTCTCCCTGAAAATCTAAACTCACCCCTTCAAAGAGGCACCTGGTGCTGAAACAGGCACTCCTTGAGAAGCAAAATTGACTATCGGAGATTCTGTTTGCTATCCAGTCAACGTAGTCCAGCTTCTCCAGTGATTCCTTCCTATAAGACAGGAGACCCGGGGAAGGTGTCTGCACGGCCCACCCTGCATTCCCCAAAGGGCCGCACCTCTTCCCCCAGCCGCGCCCCTTTCTGCGGATCATTTGGTGGCTTCCCAGCTTTTGCCCGGTTCTCTTCTCTATTCTAACAGCTGGAAGATTCTGTGACTGGCAGGAAAAGTTTGAAGCCAAAAATTGCTGCTCTGGAATGTGGCCCCCAAAGGGCTTCTCTGAAATGAAAGTTGTCACTCAGCTGAAAGATGCAGGGAAGTAGCTGCCATTAAGACAGAGACATAAAGCACGCTTATACTATCTTCTACAGGTTTGGACCAAAATAATTCCTACAACTCCCAACATGCTGCAGCCAGCTAGCTAGGGCATGCTGGGAGTTGTAGAATCCCATCCTTTGCATGTGTACACAGAATAAAGCCCAAAAAGTTTGCACTGAGTTCAGGGCTAGGGGCAGAAGGAAGGTTTTTCCAGGAATCATAGCCATAACTGAACTGCGCCAGCCATGTTTCTTGCCTGCCTTCTTGGAATGCAGACTGCTCACCAAACCTTCCCCCTCCTGATCAGGTCATGGGCTCCACTTTCCCAGCACAAAGCAGCTTGACCTCTACAGCTGAGCTGCGGTCCCCTGCCAGATGTCACTGCCTGACACCCAGTAATGAAAGTGAACGTGGGGCTGGCAGAAGCAGCACCGACACTTCCTTGATTAGCCCTCTATTGCCGCCCAGCTTAGACTTCTCCATGATTCCTGAGCTTAGCTGCAGCATTCACAGCAACTGACGGGACCTGAATTATCCTAGCAACAACTCATGGTTCCCTGTTTAAAACATGTGGCTTGGAATGGGCAAAGAAGAGCCACTAGTTTTCCCAAAGATCCATTCCAGGTGGAGATGAGAACACCTCAAAACGGATCAAGACCCCCTTCCGGGGGCATCCCTTTGTGAATTATCCTGATGTGAATTCTACTGCCAGTGGTTTTGTCAGTGTACCACCGGCAACCCCCATCTTGCTCCTGGAAGGGCTGCCGATCTCCTTTACCCTCTTCCTTTCTCCCTGTCTCTAGACGGAGAACGGACTGGAGTTTCACCCCCTCTGGGACGAGAGGGGGTACTGCTGCGCCCGCTGCCGTCGCGCTCATCGATACTGCCAGCGGGTTTGTGAGCCTCTGCGGGGGTATTACCCCTACCCTTACTGTTACCAAGGAGGACGGGTGATCTGCCGCATCATCATGCCGTGCAACTGGTGGATCGCACGGATGTTGGGACGGGTGTAAGCATCCCAACCCCCCAAAACCAGCTCAACATAACGCAGTGCACAAAACCCTCTTAGGCCACCCCCTCTGAGCACACGTGTACCCACACTACTCCAGCTGCCATTACAACAGTCCAATCGCACCATCCGAAAGAGCCACGCTGAAATTTGTGGACGTGGCCCAGGGGCTTTGCCGCTGCCCATCACACAAGTCCCAGCTCTGTTCATCCCCTCCTCAAAAAGCAGCCTGGATAACTCTCCAGCAGACAGGTTGGAAGAGGGTTGGAGGGGCCTCCGGAATGTGGCAAGGGGCTTCTGTACTGAAGCAGTTTGGACAGGTTATTTGGCCCAGTACATTGCAAATATGCCACCATTTTTCAGGTATGGGCTTAGTACATTGGCAGAGTATATGCTTTGCATGTATGAGTAGGAGGTCTCTGGCTTCCTCCCTGCTGGATCCAGCTTTGTATCCTTTTTTTAAGGAAACACACCACAGAGCTGGAGGGGCAAATAATTTGGACCTGCTTGAAGGGAAGTTTCTCCGCTCGTTTGTTTCATGTCCCTTGCAAAGCAAAAGCACCTTGTGCAAGAGACATTAAACCTTGCACGCAATGTTAATCCTACAGAATAGACCCATTGTATGAGTGGAATGCAGGTTAGACTTAACATAGGATACAACCATAAATTATTATTACCCCTGGAGAAATGATGAAACACAAATTCTCAAGTGCTTCAGTGCAAAGGTCCTGATGCACCTTCGCCTCGAACTGCTGGAATTTGGAATTGGTGCTGCATTCTTTCTTGGGCTACGCGACATGGCAGGCAACGATCCTTTCTCCCCTCCCACACCCATAACAAAAGCCCTATTCCAACTACTAGCTTGAGTGGTGAATCCCTGTAGAAAGCGGAAACCTCCGTGCCTTCTGCTTTTGCCTAACGGTGCGGGACTGTCACCTGTGCGAGCTGTCCAGTGTGGGCCGCACCATGTCCCTCCACGCGGTCACGTTTGGATGTGTTGCTCCCGCTGCCCCTCTCTCACCATGGTGACTGTGCATCTCAGCTCACACACAACCTTCAGGTCGCCATAGCTCCGGGCAACTCCCTCTTGCCCAGTTCTAAGGACTCGTTGGGTCCATGGAGTTCTCCCAACTCCTCGCTAAGCTGGAATGAAAAGTTGAGCCTTTGCTGTGAGAAAAATTTCCTGCGCTGCAGCCTTCTGTTCAACAGCCACACGAGGGCAATCCTTCCCAAGAAATTCCGCGCCTGTGGCTACAGTGCAAAGACCAACCCGCGGTCCACACCAAACTCTGACCACCACATAAATCCTTTCCATGGCCCTCTTACAAGGCCCGAATAGCCTTCATATTTGACGGGACAGAATGCCTTTCTGCAAGACAAAAAAACCCTTTGGATCCGATGTGTCCCTCTATAAAAAAAAGTGGGGTGAAAGAAAGGCAAGCCAGCCCCAGGGCTGGACATGCATCTTCCTATTGGTAGCCTAGCCTTCCCCCACTTGGCACCCTCTGGCTGTTTTAGACTACAACTCCTATCATCCCTAGCCAGCTTGGCTGATGGAGGTTGCAGTACAACACACCTGGAGCATGCCATATAGGGGAAGGGTGCAATAACGTACAGGATGCAGCACTTCAGGTCCCATTTGGTTTCCTCACTTCCACCTCCTTGCTGAAGGGCACTTGGCCGATGTGGCCACTATTGTCTTCCAACTCCCAGAAGTGAAACAAACTGATCATGTTATGTTTCCTTCCAAACAAGCACAGCTACACGTTTGTTGTTCTGTTTGGACATGGCCCTCAATCCAGATTCATGGAGACTAACAAGGGGCCTCCACACTGCATGGAAACGCTGCTCTTCAAAGTTCAGCTGAATGCCCTGCAGCAGAGATAAAGGGCAGAAAAGGGACTCCACGGCCTCACTGCAGAGGCTAACTCGCGCATTGTCAGCTTGTAGCACCGTAGCAACTTCATCTTGGTGAAGCAGCATTTCCAAATCACTTATTTAACTGAAAGAGATGCAGACACACAAAAAGGAAGCTTTGTGCAAAGCCTTCATTCATCTCACCGAGTGCGAGGTGACCTCAGCTAAATTCCAAATATCACCTTATCAGTAGGTATGCTGGCCAATGGCAAAAATTGTTTTCTTTGCGGTAGAACTGGTATTTTACCCTCACTGAAGTATTACCTGAAGGACTCCTTAACAAGGAATTGCAATGATCAAGCATCTATTCTTGGGAAATATTTTGTCAGGAAGACCCCAAAAGAGTCCCTCCATGAAGTCTAACTTGTTCATTCCACAATGAAATGGTCTTCAAAGCACTACAAGATTCTTGTGACTTTCCAGGCTGTAGATTCTTGGAGCTGCTCAAGTTTAGCAGAGTTGTACCACTCACACTCAATTTGCTTCAGTAGCCCCAAGTTAAGCCTTATTTTGATATTTTGCTCTGTGCTAATTTTCATCTATTTTTAACCTTAAAGCTTGCCCTGTCAAGTATATGCTTGCTTTTTATTTGACCTTGAAGAATATGATCTAAGCAAAAGCAAATATTAAATATTTACCCTTTGTCTCTTTCATTATTTACTTATTTAAATTATGTGCTTTTAGGGCATAGGCCTCTGATATGTTGTTCAAAGGAATATCCAAGACGGATGTTTGCAGGGATAAATAACATAAAAATGCAGAGGGAAGCATCCAGCTTCAGAATTTGCAGCAAAAACATTGTTAAAGTAAGGCAGTCTGGGACAAATTAAGTGCAGCATAAACTGAAGTGTCTCCACAGAAAGGAAGTTCTACAACTTCTGAGAACTTTTCCCATTGAGGAATTCCTACCCAATCTAAGAAGACATCTTCCAGGAGAAGTACAAAGAAACAGCCTGTTTTGTCTTCCCCACCACAACCCATCCTGTTGTTTTTCTCGTTAACAAATATATATATATATATATATATCCCAAAATGGTAGCACTTGAACACAAAGCATTTCCCAAACAGAAGCTGCTTAAGAAGTCACCAGGAGCCGAAATGTGAAATGAAGAGTAGAAAGTAGGTAACTGTTTTATTTTCAAGACAAGATCAAAAAAAAGTGTTCAGAGCATCATGTAATACTGATTTATCGAAGTCAGTTCCAACCTACTGGACGACGCCTGCTACAGCTAAAGATCGTCACAATACACACCTACAGGATCACTGCAGACTGACTGGATGTGCTGTATCAAAATATGGCATTTCAAAAAATAATATAAAGCTGCTGTCAGGGAACGAAACAAGAAAAAAGCAACACTCTCACTCTGCCAAGTACAGAAGCCCAAGCCGAGAAGCTTCTGCTTGCTTCTACCGGGACAAAAAGGGCGGCCTCAGTTTCCTCCTCTCCCTATTTCATACAGCAGCAGGTGAAGGTGAGCTGCCCATCTTTTCAAAGCAGATTGTCTGTCCAAAGAGCCGAGAGGTTGCTAGCCAAAAAATGCTGGTGATTCTGAGATGCTACAGAAGAATCACACGAAGTAGGATAGCTATTAGATGGACCAACATGCGCTGTTTAGAAGGAAGCGGTTCGTGGGGCAGCTTGGAAAAGCCCTCTCTGGTAACGCACAGACAGCACCAAGGAAAGGATCCATCCCCCTTCCCCAAGAGGGATTCCTCGATCCATCCTTGCTTTGACTCCTGGAGAAGGCATCTGGATGGGGCTTAAAAGCACACCGAGAACGCAATCCCAGGCATTTAGCCAGAACTGAGTCTCACGGAGTTCAAAGGGACTTGCTCTCCAGCAGGGGAGCTTTAAGGCAGCGGCCTTTCACATTCATGGCACTGGAATGGCTGTGCCCATGCAACCCGTGTGTTGCATCGGCTGCCACTGTTTGCATTGGCCTCCAAAGCTCACGGCTGGGATGCTGGGTTACAGCTGCAACTCAGAACACGCATTTGAATTAACATATCCGTCACTGGCTGGCTTTGGGTCCCACTTTTCCCCTTGGGCAGCAGTACTTCCGCCCTGCCCCAGCCATGGAAAGAGTGGTGGGGTTGGAAGGAAGGAGAAGACACACAGACGCAGAGGAAGAGGCTTCCACCACCGAGCAGCAGCCCGAAAGAGGACCTCCTTGTGCTCGCCAGCGCCACCGTTTCTGTCTGATCTCAAAGGTCACAGCAAGGCATGGGAGAAGGTGCTGGTGCCTGGTGCAAGCAGGGGCCAGCCCATTATGGGTGCTCACCTGTCTCTTGCTCCAAGCTCAGAAGGTGACGGGCGGCCAGCACAGCCACTGGAGCAGGGCTTCCAGGTGCCCCGGGTGCCCAGCCGCATTCAAAAAGCAGGCCACATGCTTTGAAGCAGCCAAAGCCTCTGACCTCTCAGCAAGGAAACCTTGTGGTAGTTCAGCCTCAGAATCAGGGGGTTGTCACGGGTGGCAGTGCAGGTTAAGGGCACACTTGTTGAATGTTAAGGCCACTTGGTTCGGTGACGCTTTTGTGACACAGAATGGAACACGCTCTAGGAAAGTGCATCTAACACACAGCGAGTGTTCACTCCACTCTATGTTACCTTTCTTAGGTCAGGAGGCTGCTCAAGGTTTTAATCCTATGCAGATTTAAATAAATTGTGAGTTAAGTGACCAAGCAACAGCCCGACTAAACACTCTCCCTTTTTCCCTTTTTATTTTGTAAAGCTTGTGCATGCAACCATTTGCTAGCTGGAGAGGGATTCCACAATTCCCAGCACAGTGGGGGCCAGACAACAAGCGGCTACCTCGGGCTCGGGGGAGCCAAGCTAAGTGCCCTACATTAACCATCCTGTTCAGCATCCCTTTGGAACGGGCACCGCAGCAACATCCCACAGTAGAATTCATCTGCTCTTGAGTTCAGCCCTTTCTGAAGAAAAACATGTCCAGAGGAGAGCAATCTAATCAAACACGATTCCAGCAGCTTGGATCCGCTACAGAAGTGGTTCCCAAAATACTTTTTAATATATAAAGCAAGTGTCCAAAAATTCTGAAAGCAAAAGAATGGAGAACAATGAATTAGAGATGGCAGAGGTGCATTCCTGTTCCGCAGGAGTCTTGTTCAGACTGAAGGCATCAAGCTTTTGGCACGTAAGAAGAGCTGCACCCAGTCAGACCAGAAGGCCGCCTGGCCTGGTTGCCAGTCCCCTGCAGTAGCCAGCCAGGAGGCCCAGAGGCAGGGCACGAAAGCAAGAGGCAGCCGGCATTATTCCGTGACTTGCTACTTCCAAATATCAATAAATATATCATGTATTACATTTCTGTACTGCTCATCAGTTCAGCATGGTTCGCAAAACAACACTTAAACCACAAAAAAGGAGTAATATAATCAAAGCTGTAACAATATCCTAGGGAGGCAAAAATTTTAAAATGCTTCAACCCCCAGCATGGCCTGGCCACTCGGCTGGGCCACAACAAGAGTTCGGTACCGCTTTTCTGTCTAAACATGCATATGACCACCTCTTAGGGGATTTGTAGAAACTGATCAGCTAAAGAGGACTTCACTTGGCACTGAAAAGACTAAAGAACAGGTTTCCATATTAGCCATGATGAATAGCCAATCTATTGGAAAGTGACTTTTGATGCTGCTAAGTGGGGAAGCTCATCTCCTCCTCAGGGGCTTCTGAGAAGCATCAGGTTAGTCGCTGAATGAACAGAACTCTGGACCAGTCAGAGTTTTGGTCTGAACGAGGAAGGTTTCTCTTAGCTCTCATTTCAGCTCCCACTTAAAGCCATCAAAGCCTACCATCATCACTTCCTGTGACAGAATTCCATAAAGCTAATACCACATCATAAGATGTATGTATGTATGTACGTATGTATGTATGTATGTATTTATAAAATTTGTATGCCATCGAATTACTAATATCTCCGGACGGCATGTAGAACTATCTTTTGTTGGTCCTGAATCTACAAAGCAGTTTCTCTGGATTGTTCGAAGTTTTAACAATGAGATGAAAAGGATACACTATACACTTCCCTCGAATTTTGGCTTATTTTTATAAACCTCAAAAGCATTCCCCCTTAGTCACTTTTTTCCATTAAAAAAGCAACTCAAAATGTAGGCTTCCCTTGTAGAGAAACAGCTCCAACTCCTTGGTTGTTTAGAGTGCCTTTGCTGCACTTTTTCCAGCTTTACAGCATCCCTTATGAGATGGAGGGGCCAGAAATGCACACTGTACTCCAAATACAGATGACCAGAGACTCATAAAGAATCACACGTGCAGCCTTAACATCCCAGAAATGACAGAATCACAAATCCAAAATGCATCTCTGTTGCAAGATGAAATTCACCCAACTCTGGACATTTGTGTGACCAGCTTTTTAACCGGCTTCTTCTGATTCGAAGCAGCAGCAAGAGATGAAAGCCACACTCCACCCAGACCAGAACCTTGAAAAGCCTGCTCAGCCCTACCCCAGATCCAGACTTCACTCAGGCATGAGCCTGCAGGTTTTAGTCTAGTTTTGCCTGCAGAAGGACTAGAAAAGTGTCTTATTCAAATAAAGAAATGAAGGCTAAGTTTCTGGAGAGGAATAATTCTGTGTTCACTGCCAAAATAAAACCCTACATTTGCCTGAAATCATGCCATACAGGCACAACTGTGAATACCTTAATGCCTTAAGGGCAGCTTACTCCCTCTTCCCAAAAAGCAGGCATTACACTCAGTAGGCAGTGCTAGAGTACATGCGCAAATTCGGCATCACAGCATTTTTTTAAAGCCTACCTTTTCGTCAGTTGCAAACCAGCAGGCTCTCAAGTTATACCATCTCATACTGATTATTTGTGATGGACCGGGCGAGGCAACAGGCAAGGAAGATCCCAACCAGCTAAAAACAAAGGGGGAAAAGCAGGGTTAACCGAACAGCCCGGCAGTCCTGTCTGCCCCCCATTCGCCCGACTGCTGTGGCTGGGCAAAAGACCAAGCCAAGCTGAACTGCCAGCTGTTTGTACAAGCTGAATCTGGGATGACCTGCTGAAAATAAAAGAAGTTCCAGCAACCACTTCTATCCCACTTCCAGCACAGACAAAACAACAATCCTCTTCTCCTGGCCTCTGTGAACAGGAAGTCTTGGTATGCGTGCTTGCGGAACACGCCATGAGGCCGTGGAAGGAATCATCCTTGGAAGAAGGGCTAAAGCTCCTGGACACAGCCCATGCCAAGGAGGCACCCATGTCGGGAGGCCTGAGGTAGCCTGGACCCCCAGGGGGATCCCTGCTAGTCCACCCCAACAGCACGGGCATTCCAGCTCAGAGGCAGAGGCTGGCAACCCCCTCGCTCTCATGATGCACTGGCAGGCCAGCAAGGCTGTGAGATGAGAAGTCCTCATCTGTACAGGGATTTGCAGGAACAATCCCCGCTCCCACCCAGTGCAGCTTTTTCCAGAGGGCCCGTAACATACGGCAGCTGAGCCCTACCTAGGCAGGCTCAAGCAGCTCTGGCTAGTTTCCGCCTCGCGAGCGCTTGCCCAACACCACTCCTGAGCGACAGTGCCTTGTTCTCTAACCTCGTCTTATGACCGGCACCCCCCCCCCCCCAGTGCTGCCGACCCCGGACTCCTGCGTGACTTGGCTTCTGGACTGTGTGGTGTGTCTGACTGTGCTAGGACCCCATCCAGGCTTTTCCCCTTCAGAGAGAGGAGGCAGAGGAAATGCAGGTGAATCTGGGTCGTAAAAATGCTCTCCTATTGGCCTGCATTCTGTCCACACATCCGATAGCACAGGTGTTCCGTGTTTGTGACTGCTCTCTCCTATGTAGTAAATGGCCTCCGCAGCCGGCGCTTTGGGGCACGGGGCTGTTTTTACTGGGAGCGGGGCTGGTACTCCATAAAAAGAAAAGGTCTCACTCGCGGTCCAGAATTTTACCACCTCATTTCGTACAACATGCCAAATGCCTCCTCCTCCTGCCATTGGAGTGGAATTAGGCACACTTGTTTTTCTGCAGAAGAGTGTCCTTCCCAGCAGAGGCCATGTGAGCCAATTCCTTTCACGAGCTCCTGGAATATTTTAGGACTCCTGTTGGATTTCTCCGACAGCCTGACTACACCCACTCCGCATGGATAACAAGACCCAAAGGGGATCTCCGTCCTTCCCTCCAGATGGCCTCTTCCTTCCTGAAATGGAAGGGACCCCAGCGGCATCGCTGAGCGGCACATCAAGGGGCCTTTGCGGCTATGCTAGAGCAGAGGGAAAGTTGTATATTTGTGGCATTGTGACTGCCACTGGCAACACTGCTAACGATGTCAAAGGAAGCTAAAACAGGAAGTCTCTAATTGGACCTGGGATGGCGAGAGATGCTGATGTACTTTGCTAAGCCCTCCATCATCGTATATACTGACAGCCAACTCGGTTGGTGAGCGTCTGTAGGAACGTAGCCAAGACAGGAGGCCCCGAGAAACACTAGGAATGTATCAAAGTTTCAGGGGAGAATTCAAGGTCGCAGAAGTACATGCACAGGGGAAAAAACTTGGAGAGGGGAATTCGCAAAAGAGCGAAACAAGAACCCAAAATCAGATCTACCCAGATCAGAAAGCACTGGGGTATCTGTGTAGATGCATCATTTTCCTTTGCACTCAGTTTGCGCCGGCAAACCAGGCACTCCCCCACTAAGTGCATTCAACCCTGGAAAGCAAAAGCAAGAAAGAGAGGACGGGCTGCCAGGATAGCATCACCGTAACTCAGCCTTTCCCAAGCGGGTGCCCTGCAGATGTGTTGGGCAGCATCTCCCTGCAAGTCTAGCTGGGGATGCTGGGAATTGTAGGCACTTGGAGGGCAGCAGCTCAGGGAACAAAATGGGCATAGCTTAATTCCCATGCAGCTTTCCCGTGGACCTGTTACCACATTTCCTAATAATTTCCATGGTGGTGTCAGCTTGATTAGTTCCCAGCACAGCTTGGTTGATATTTAGCAAAGGAAATCTCATTCTGAGAGGCAGAAAAGAGCGAGCATCCAGCGCTATGGCTTTCCTGAAAAGCACCACGTGTGGACTGGTTCAGTGTTGACCTGCAAAACCACGGGGAGCCCCATCTGGATTACCCTGAGCTTTCCAAAGGAAGAGCACGGCATTTGAAGGTAATAAATAAATATGACGCGCATTGAGAGAGCAGGTGTGCCCACTGTCTCACACGATCAAGAAGAGCTCCATCCATCCCCGACCACTTAGACCCTTGGCTGGAGCTACTCTGAGCAGGTGTGCGAGCCTGAATCCCCTCCCCACTCCCAGGTCCATTTGGCAGCAAACGGTTCCCCCTCACACGGCTGTTTTGTTACTGTCAATGTGCTGAAAATAGCAGGCTGGCACACAGCACCCCATCACTCACACAGCGGGAGGCAACCTGGCCGCATGCAGCATGTTCCTGGCTGGGAGTCAGGTACCCGTGTGGCATGTGCAAGAGAAGGCAGAAGGTCTGATCAGCCGAGCAGCTGGGCTCCACCAGCTGCTTCCTCCCATCTGAAGCATGCTGTGCCCTCTAAAGCAGAAATGTGGGGCCTCTCTCAGGCTTTGCGCCTAATTTAATTTTGGAGCAGCTCTTGGGAGCCACACTCCGGTTATGGATGAGGGCAAGAGCAAACGAGGTAGGATCAAGCACCCAACACTTCCGGTTCATTTTGGCTTAAAGCAAAGGGTCCCTAGATGGGGGGAAGCCTGTAGGACGATGGGAAACCACCAGATGTTTGGCACTCATGGAAGAAGTGGCAGGTCATCTGGGTAACCCCAAAGAGAGGACCGGGACCCTAAGCAGGCCACACTGGGTCCCCAGGCCCCACGTTCAACCCCCTGCTTGATACTGCAAGGAGGACGAAAGCTTGAGCACAGAAGAGGAGACTGAAGTGCTCTCAGGGAAGATTTACCTGGAAGCAGGCGATGCCAAAGGAGATGCCAGCTACAATGCTAATTTCAGAGTCCATCGTGTGGATCACCAAACTGTAACAACCCTAGAAGGACAGTAGGAAAAGAAAGCATACTCCTGAGAGGTCCAGAGCAAAACCTTCCCATGAAAAGTAAAAAGCAGCCACATCCCACAAGCCTCTGCAAAGGATCCTTAGTTCACCAAGAATTTCACAAGAGATACCCTTCGATCTGACCCAGAATTTGCAACTGAGTTCCAAGACAGGCATGATGCCCCCTTTTTTAGAGAACATGCTGGAAAATATTGATTCCAGAACAGCAAAGAAGGGCTGCCCCTTCTTTAGGTACCACACAGTGGAGTTCCATGAGACCAGAGAGCTCAAACAACAGTCCCAGCAGCCCCAAAACAGGACTGGGCACCTTCAGTTGCTAGAGAGAACGCAGTGATCCCACCGTGACTCAGCTCAGGGTCTGCCCTTCCCTGCTGCTCCAAGTACCTGCACAGCTAAATTCCCAGCAATACTGCTAGGCACCTGGCTGCACGGCTGCAGCAGAAGGCCACCCCGTGGGGCCACACGCAGCCCACCCACCTTAAAACAAGCACAGCTGCTGCTCCATACTTCTTGTTATCTCATCAGCATTTCACAACTCATAGATATTAATCTCCAGTTTCATAGAACTGCAGAACAGCAGAGTCGGAATGGGCCATGGAGGCCATCGGGTCCAACCCCTGCTGTCACAGGACACCACGTCACTCCATCCCACCCAGATGGCTGTCCAGTTTCTTTTTGAATGTCTCTAGTGTGGGAGAGCCCACCTCCTCTCCAGGCAGCTGCTTCCACTGTTGTATTGCTCTGACAGTCAAAAGCTTTTCCTGATGTCCAGCCTGAATCTGGGTTGCCACAACTTGAATTGATTATTCTGTGTCCTACACTCTGGCATCAGCAAGAAGAGCTCTTGACCTTCCTCTCTGTGACAGCCTTTGAGGTACTTACAGAGGGATATCAGTTTTCTCGTCTCAAGGCTGAACATGCCCAGTTCTCTCAGTCTCTCCTCACAGGGCGGTATTTCCAAACCCTGGAGCATTGTTGTTGCCTTCCTCTAGACCCTAACCCTAAAATGCAACATTAAATACAAGAATTGGCAAGCATCTTGTCTCTTCCCAGAGAGAGAGGCGATGGGTGTGGGCAATCAGCTCCCTGTTCCTTGTCCTCCATTCTACCCTCCATGTGATCTCCACAGGAGCTCAGCCTTCCACTGGGCCCCAGATGCCATCCTTACAACCACAGCCCTTCACTCGTTCAGCCTTGCTGGACAAGCCCCACAGAAGAGCACAGCTCTGAGTCGGGTTACCTTCTCATGCACCTTCTCCTTGGCTTTTGTTATATCCTCCAGATCTGTTTTCTCACAGTCGTCCTGGGACTTGCAGCAGCTGCTGGGAATCCCATTCAGCTTGAAATAGCTGCTCGTCGCCCAGTCTGTAAAGTTGGTGACACCGCAGCATTGCAACTGCACAGAACAAAAGGGAGACGAAGATGAATGTGCAATTCTGCATTCTTGCCCGAGATACCAAGCCCCACTTTCAATATCCCTTCAGCTCTTCCGCACGGGCACATGCCCAGGGCTCCTTTCTCAGTTAGCCACATGCTCACCCAGAGAGCGAGTGGCTGCGCCAGAGCAGCTCTGCCCCCACTAGAATTGCACATCCTTCAGAGCCTAGCTCAGTGTCCCCACAACTACAGGGGTGCTCTCACACGGGGGGATCGTGGACCACTCCCCTGCTTCATTCTTCTGGAAGAAAGGAAACTATGACTTGTTCAGACAAAATGGTAATCCCTGAAACTGAGAAGTGCACACAATACACAGAGGGAGCCACGCAGGCCAAAGCTGTGCCAGTGCAAGGGGGTGACTCACTGCGGACTGGATGTTATCGACCGCCTTGCTGCGCTCGTCTCTGGTCCCGTTGTACTTCTCCACTGCAACTTCGAAGTTCTGCTTAAAGCTGTTCTTAATCTGCAGAGAAAGAAAAGAGGTGCTTCCATCGCTGACAGGCCTCTGCCCCCTAATTAAACGAAAACTGAGCCCAGGGTATGAGTTTTAAGCAAGGCCATCTGCAGCAGAAGAAAGCAATCAGGTTTCAGGGTTGAAAAGCACCCTTTCTACCCCTCAATTTGTAAAACCCACCTGGGAGCAGGAGTGTGTTGCATTCCCTGGGCTGCCCCCAGGCCCTGGTCTGCTTTGCAGCAGTCCTGAGCCACAGTTCCCGGCAAGCAGGCCCAGCTTTTGGAGATGAGCTCCTTGGGCTGCGCAAGCAGTGCCCACTTCGACTGTTGCAGGAGGGGGGATTCACCAGGGATGGAGCCCCCTACAACTGCTGCACAACCGCGCCCCTCCGGTGGCACCACAACAGCCTTTGTGGTGTGGAAGGCAGTTGCCAGGCGTGCAGCCCTCGTTCTGTGAATGTTCCCAGACGTCCTCTAGGCTCAGCCCAGTTTTGCAAGACGGGGCCAAGCATGGGAGGAAGCAAGCTTCTGCTGGTGTTTATAGCACCCCGGCCCCAGTTGCAGCACCAGCACTTCCTCCTGTGAAAGGGAAGAATGCCTTCCAATGGCTCACGCCCAGATTGGAGACAGATTGGTTGGTGTCACAAGCATTTGTTCATAAGAGTGCCATTGCTACATCACTCAGCATTCATCAGAACAAGTCGAGATGAAAATGCAATTGTGGCGTTACACACATTTTACAATATCACATTCATTGCATTCCCAGAGAACGGCCACACCACGCATTGGTATATGCATGCCGGAGCATTTGTTAGGCCAAAAATTGTGTGGCGACATTCAGGAAAGTGCAGAACTATGTTCCACTCCCAACCTTGGCGAGGGAGGTGCAAGATAATCAGTTTATTTCTGCAACACCCCTTGTCCTGATACAAGGAGAAGAGCAGACAGAAAAGGGCAGTTAAGTGCTCAGACTCAAGCGAGAATCCCCTTTAAAACCACACAAAAGTTGAGCCCTGGTTAGCGAGTTTTGGTGCGCTTTCTCAAGTTCTCCAGCCATGTTAATTCTTGCAAAATAGGTCTGAAAGTCTTTCATGCTTGGCATTTCTACGTGTCCAATGTCAGTGCTTACACCAACCTTCTGCCCTCCGGTGTGTTGGACTCGAAGTCCCCACATCTTCAAGCCAACACAGACATTAATGTTAACAATAAAGGGACAATTTTCAGAGAAAGCAGGATACAGCCCTACGGCAGGCATCCAACAGGGAAAAAGTACTCAAAAGCACAGCAGACAAAATTTCCAAGTCTATAAAAACACAAAGAGGCACAAAACTCACCTCATGCCTGAAGACAAATCCCACAACAGCAGCCACCAGAACAATAAGGAAAATGAGTGTTAAAAACATGGCATACTGTGGACAGAAGAGAGAAATTGCCGTACAATATTATTATTATTTAAATGTATATATTACCTTATTTACTGGAAAGATCAAGGCAGCGTGCAATCGTTTCAAACAATAAAACTAGTAACACAATAAAAACAAGAACACTAAAACCAGTGAAACATTACGGGAACAGAATTTAACAGGCTAAATGTAAAAGGCACAGCTTCACATTCACAGTCCAGAGAGTGGGGGCCAGTCAAGGCTCTTGAAGGAGCCCATCCCAACAGCAACACTGGAGAAAGCCTTTCTGGACAAAGTAGCCATGGCTGAGCCTCTGGGTGATTTTGTAGCAAGATAGGTGGTCCTTAAAGAACTAGGTCCTAGGGAGTTTAGGGCTTTAAAGAAGAAGACCTCAAAGTAATTGTGGACAACAGCCTCAATACGAGCCAACAATATGATGCAGCCAGTAAAACAGCAAATGCTATTTTGGGATTAATTAATATTAGTATTACTTCCAAATCATAAGTAGTAGTAGTTCCCCTATATCCCTCACTAGTCAGCCTTCATCTGGGCACCAAGATTGAAGAAAGAGGCAGGTAAATTAGAAGGGGTCCCAGGGCGGGGCGGGGGGCAACAGAAATGATCCAGGGTTTGGAAACACTGCCTTCTGAGGAGGGACACGAAGATCTGGCTGTGTTCAGCCTTGAGAAGACTGAGGGGGGACATGATAACCCTCTATAAATACTTCAAAGGCTGTCACAAAGAGGAAGGTCAAGATTGTTTTCTCGCTGATACCAGAGTGAAGGACACGGAATAATCAAGTCAAGTTTGACAACCAGGTTCAGGCTAGGTATCAGGAAAAGCTTCCTCACAAGCAGAGCAATACAACAGTAGAACCAGCTGCCCAGAGAGGTGGTGGGCTCTCCCACACTGGAGACACTTAAAAAGAACTGGGCAGCCCTCTGAGTGGGATGGTGTAACGTGGTGTCCTGCAACAGCAGCAGGTTGGACCCAATGGCCTTCACAACCCCTTCCAACTCTACTCTTCTATGACTCCGGCAGTCTACCTTCTGCTCATGCTTTTCTACTGTACAAAACTCCCAGCAACTCCTGCCTGTCAGGGCTCCGCTGCAGTTTTTGATGATCCACTGAGAGTCAGTATTTGTTATCTCCTAACCCATAGTTTTATTGCCCACAAGACTGCACGATTTGCTGCAGTGGCTGAATAGAATCCGGAAAACGTTGGTGCTGATTACTGCAGTTGTTTGCGGCGGCCTCATTCACGACAAAAAGTCTAGAAGGTATTGCTAACATTTCACTTCCAGATAGTTTATCCAGGGAAAGTTTATGGCTTCCCTGTCGTTTATTTCTTTTAAGCCTGAGGTGGGATTTTCTTGCAAAGAATCTTTGGTCAAAACAGCCTGGAGCTGAGCTGTTTGGTTGTACTTTAACATGGCTCCTTATCAAATCCACGCCCCGCAGGAATGCATCACTAGACTTTGATGCTATCAATGAATTATGGAAACCTACCTGGGCAGGTGATTCATAATACCATCTAAAGCTTCAGGAAAGCACTTTACCCCTTAACCCTATTTGACACCAAGGACTGCAAGCCAATTCTGATGTTTTAAGTCAGGTGAGCAAGCAATACAAATGGGTGCATGAGAGGGACACAGGGTTTGCCACCTGCGTGTGCTTATGACACACTTAAATACAGCCTGAATCATCTCGCTGGCCACTCCAGAATGCTAGCCTAGAGACACCTTGGGCCTGATTCAGCTCGGTTCCACATACTGTTATGGAAATGTGAGCATCATCCAGCAGCAATGGGGCAGGTACATGTGCTACCAGTGTCGTTTTAGCACACACTGGTACACGTCGTGCACAGAGAGCTTTGGACACATTTTTGTACACATGTTGGATATATGCTTTGAGGGGAAAGAGCAGAACTTGCAGTACTGGCAGGGAAATGAAGAGGCAGGAAATGCAAGGAGCTGATGACCTAAGTTTCAGTTGCAAGACCTGCAGATGGTAAAGCTCACACCCGACAAGAGGCTGTGGAGGGAAGGGAAAGAGCGAGCAGGCGGACCACTGCTGGACTCCTGGACCTTCAAGGCAGGGGCGGGGATTCCTACAGCCCCTGAACACTCACCAATTTTAGCATCCATGTGCTTCCCCGGCATGTGGCAAAGCAACCAAAGGTGCCTAGGAGGATGACAACGGTGCCTGTGCCAATCAGGACATAGGGAATGTCGATGGCCTTCTCATTTAACAGGGCAAAATACACTTCCAAGCTCATCTTTCCCCAGATGCCGACAGCAAGGAGGATAATGCCCGAAAGCTAGAGAAAGGGAAAAAGGAAAGAACCCCATCAGGCCAAGTGCATTGTCTGAAAAAGAATTGCATGGAGGCAGGACATTACTGCAGAAACATGACGTTAGCACATCAAGTGACAGAAACACATAGAAAATGTACTCTCACACCTGGTCGATTCATCCCATTGGTAAGACCTGGACATGCAGGCAAGGGGATCTTCATTCTGCCTTTGAGCATGCACTGGAGAACCAGAAAGGGCAGCCTGCAACTCTCTGCAAGCCACCAGTTCAGACACCTGGCGAGAGCAATCTGCCCCTCTCCAGGGAGGCCTCCTGGTGAGGAGGACGGAAGAAAGTTGGCTGGGGGTGGGGGTGTCAAAAGAAAAAGAGGTGGTCTTATCTACTACTACCATGCTTTAGATTACACCCAAGGAAATGTGGCCTTCAGGGGAGAGAGAGATCTTCCACCCCTGCTTTTCACTCTCAACCTCTTCTTTACAAATTTGCACACAAAGTTAACCAACCAGGGATTTGGGGAGAGCATTCTGCCTCCCATCTTCTTCTGTTGCACTGAACAACTCTGGGGCAGGGCATCGTCCCAGGTGGTTCTCCATGATGCCCAAATCCAGTTCTCTGGATCGTTTCTCCTCAACAACCCAAAGTTTTAACTATGGCTTGTCCCTGGGTTTGAAACTCTTATCCCTGCTCACCTTGTGGTTTGTTACACCTGTGGATTGCTTGTTGTATGCAAAATCGGTATATCAGTACAACAGGGATGATTTAAGGATTCAAAGGGGCTGTTGACCCATCTTATCTCAGGCATGCATCTTGGAATTATGTCCCACCCAATTTGGCTCATGGGTTGGGCAGCCACCATCTCATTTTTCATTCCCCTAAGACCGGCACGGACCTTACATGCTTATGCTGTATCCACTGCACAATGTTAAAATGAGATCCAGAGGCAGACTAGAAATATGAAGGCTTCAGGAAAAATGGAAGGGAATGGAAACATTAAGAAGTAGCGGACAGTTGTTCCACCCAAATCTCCGATGTAAAGATGTTTTCCAGGTTTCCTTTTTTATTTTATTTTTTTAAGCAGTCCTCCACATCTCTGGATCAAGCTACTTATGCAAACATCCTAATATTGCCCACTGCTCAGGTCCGAGTATAACATCCACAAATAGTTCTTGAAAAGGCAGTCAAGGGTTGGGGGAACTGAACTGGCAGCAGAGGGAAAGGAAGAGCTTGACTTCTGGAAAGGGTGTGTTACAGGGAAGTCCCTGTGGATGCAAGGAACTGAATACGTTGGGGCCAAGCCTTCACTCCCGTCTTGGGTTCAGATCCTGGGATACACGTACATTTCACCAGCTGGCCAGCTTCTGTGAAATGAGTGCCATATGACTGGCCACACCCTCCACAACGTAACACCACCTTCGATGCTTTCACCCAACTCCAGATGCACGCACAGTTCCCTGGTCTACTCTGGGTGGGAAATGCTTCCCTTGAATCTCAGATTTTCAAGTCACCTGAGACGCAACTCTTTTCACCACAGAACTGCATCTGTGGTTCCTTGTCATGCAACGAAGCTTCACAGAAGGACAGCCAGGAGCTGACAAAGCATCTCCATCCACTGGTTTCTCTCTGGTCTTCCTTGGCATTGCATAAATATACATCAGAACCCCAAAAGCAAATCTTAGGGCAAGTATTTCCTTAAGGAATGTGATTCCCCAGCTTGAGGTTTGCTTCCATTCCCTCGCTTCTGTAAAAGTGTGCAACCTGAAGACTGTTCCTCCAAATCTCCTTCCTCTATATACACACACGTGCACAAACGTGAGCGCACACACACACACTTCATTCACATGCACCTACACACCCCAGAAGAGTGACTTTGTGGGTCCCTGGAAAAGCCACTCACCTGACTCCAAAGCCTGAAGCAGCAGAGATGAAAGGAAAGGACAGGATTACTGAGTGCATTCCATAAGTTATTTGTTATTCACCAAAGAGGAACAATGCAAACAAGCATTTTTAAAAACAAAGCAAGAAAACAGAAGGAGAGAGAGCCTGTTGCCACAGGGAAAACTGGCATGAAGCACACCATCGACCATATTCTGTGCCACATTCTGTGCTACCAAGCCCATGTCTCAAGGGGCTTTTATCTCAGACGTAATGAAACCAGGTGAACAGGTGGTCCTACTTTATTCTAAACCTCTGAAAAGCCATGTGACATTTTGAACACTGGAAGAAGCAACCTGGGGGCAACCCAATGTTTTGGACTAAATTCCCATAAGCCCCAGCCAGCAAGCCCAGCTGCTAGGAATTATGGTGGCTGTAGTCCAAAAATATCTGGAGGGCACCAGATTGCCTGTCCGAAAGATGTGAAGGCCCAGAAAAAAATGGAAACATTCAGGAAGAAGTATATTTTTTCAAAAATATTTGTGGAGGAAAACCAATTTTTTAGAAATTTTTCCAGTTCTTTTCCAGACCTTCAGATCTCTACCTACCTCTCTATTCCATTCGAACCTGTTGCCTTCTGGATGTTTTGGACTTGTTATGCCTGGTAAATTAGGAAAGTAACACACCTCGGAAGGATGCACCTGCCCGCCAGACTGCCTTGAAAGGGTTTGAATCTTCTGCTAGGGTTGAACGTGGAATACCAAAGAGAACAAACCCTGGTTTTCCATTCACATACACCACACTTAGAAAGTTTATTCATCAAAAAATACAGAGCAGGTACACACTGTTAATCCAGTGTTGTCTAGGAAGTGAATATTCCTGTTGCAGCCCAATCTTTCGCTACATTTCTAAAGAGATAAAGAGCTTCCTGCTTTAAAAAGAAGCTAACAAAGAGAGAAAGAGAAAGGGGCTTCACAAGCTAAGATGCCAGACCTGGGTTCAGAGTTTCTCTCCCACCCTGCCCCATACCAGTCCCTGATCTTATAAACTATAACTCTGTGCTTGCCACTATAGGAAGGATGAGTTTCCCAGACTTACGCCGATTGTTGGGTGGTGCTTGATTGCTTCTTGAAGAGCTTAACTATTGTTTCTATGGATACAAAGTTCTTTGTGTTTACTGGCTGCTAATGATGGATTAACTTCTAAGTGTCCCATGACAATGGAGCATCCTCCTTGCAGGGTTGTTTTGACTAAGTTCCTTAAGGGGAAGGCTTGGCCCTCCCTGGCATTCGTTGCTTATCTCACATGGAGGATAAGTCCTTCTTCCTGAATTCAAGCTCAGCCCAACAGGCCCTGTGCCTGCAGGCCACTTCTCGCCTGGGCATTTCTTGTTATGATGCTAATACTGATCTGTGCATGCACGACCGACTACAGTTCCCATAATCTCCGTCCGCTGGCCTGCAAAGTTGGGCTCCTGGCTCTGCAGCCTGCAGCATCTGCAAGGCATCGGGCTGTGAGGTACTCTTGTTAGGCAACCCCCGTCCTCCAAAAGTTTTGGATTACAACTCCCAGCACAGCTGCGGCTGGCCGGGAATTTTGGGAGTTGCAGTGCAACAGACACCGTCGGTGCCAGGTCGGGGGAGGCTCTCGCCTCCGCGTCCTTCGCGCCGGCTGGGGAAAATGGAAATAGCAATCCAGCACGAAGGTCGGGGGATTCGCTCCCCCACCCCGTCATGATCCTCCTGGAATACGACCGGGTTGGAAGGCACGCCCGACCCCATCCTGCTCCCCAGAGAGCGAGGAGACGTGGAGAGAGGGGTCGGCAACGGGCAGCTGCCCCCTGCCTTCCGGGGCCGGGGGCTCCACCCGTCCCCTGCCTCCCCATTGTTCTCCGGGGCTGCCCCGCTGCAGCGCCTCCCCCGAGCGGCTCACCCAGAAGACGAAGCTGTAGATGAGCAGGACGCTCTTGAGGCAGGTGATGACCGGCTTGGTCTGCAGCCTCCGCGACGGGGACGCCATGCCGACCCGCACACACGCCCCGAGGCGACACCACGACGACGCCCGCCCGCCCGCCAGCCACGCACCGGCTCGCAGCTGGGCTCCGGTTGCCGCAGCTGCTCGCTCCGCCGGATCAAGCCGAGCCCGTCCGGAAGCTGCCGAAGGAGGCGCGGGGGAGCTGCTCTCCGCCTCTCCCCGACCGGATCGGCCGAAGCGAGCCGAGTCTGTCCGGAAGGTGCCGAGCGGAGGGCGGACGCTTCAAGCGCCCGCCAGAGCGAAGCCAGCTTTAAACCTCGCCTCTTTCCCGGCTCCACCCACCGCTCCTTCCCGGGCATTCCCGGGATAGCCGAAAAGTCCCAAAATCTCCGCCACTCGCTTCCTTGGCTCCCGGGACTCGATCTAGGGACGGGACTAGCAGGGATCTGCCACCAGGGGGCAGCAGACACCCAGGAGCGAGCCGTGTCCCATCGCATGGCCCGCACGGTGCAAGCGAGAAGCGGCGGACCGGCCGGGACGGGGCCCCACGCAGCCTCGCCTCCCATCCCGGCAGCGCCCCGCCGCATGCAGCCCTGCGCCTCCGCAAGAGAAGCAGGAGGCTCAGCCTCAGCCCGTCTGGAGCCAGCAGCTGCCGAGGCAGCACCTTCTGAATTTTTGCGCGAGTTAGACAAACTCAGAGGACACCTCGGGGTCTAAAAGAGGGTTGCCTTCGCCATTTGGCAGATTTAAACCCCAAGTCTTGGCTTATCCCCACTGGAGGGAGACAAATTGGTGGGTTCAGATCCCTGCTCATCCCTAAAGCATCCTGGCTGAGGGTAGGCCACTTCTAGGCTGGGGCTGGGATGCTCTTTGGAATGTTGGGAGTTGTGGGCGCCATCTCAAAATGAATGCCATGACCGGCATGCCCGTTCACAGACTGGGTGCACACACATGAGGCCCCCATAGATGCAGAAAGAAATAGACGCAACCACACTCCCACCGAGTGCCATCAAGCCAGCAATTTAAAGCGACTCAGTGGATGAAAACCCTCCAAGTGGTCCTATCCATGACAGCGCCGCTCAGGTCCTGCAAAGTCAAGGCTTTGGCTTCCTTTACGGCGTCCGTTTTCCCATAGTTGGTCTTCCTTCTCCTCTGCCTTGACTTTCCCTGGCATGACTGTCTTCTCCGGGGACTTTTGCCTCCTTAGAATCAGTGAATCATCCTGTTGGGAGAAGCCTAAAAGGCCATTCCATGCCATCCCCCAGCTGAAGGCAGGACTCAAGTCTGCAGGCCTGATCCTGCTTAGTGCCCAAGATTAGGAAGGATCAAGCACTTCAGGCTATTCCGACACATCATGGGTCTCATGATTGGCCCAAAGTATGACAGCCTCAGTTTTCTCAACTTATAGGGAAAATTCCAGTTTGGTTTGATCTAGGACCCGCTTGTTTATCTTGACCAAGGGTGTTCTCAAAGCTCTTCTCAGCACCATATTTCAAATGCATCAATTCCCTTCCTGTCAGCTGCCTTCACACCCGCACGTGATGATTGGGAATAAAATAGTGTGGATGATGGTGGCCTTGGTCTCCACTGAAATGTGCTTACATATGATGATTTTTTTGTAGTTTCTCCATTGCTGCTCTTCCAAGTCCCAGTCTTCCTTGAATTTCTTGGCTGTAGTCTCCATTTGAGTTGATGACTGAGCTGGGATATGTGGAATCTTTTCACTGTTAACAGTAAAATTCTGCAATATTCTTCTTGCCTCCTCTTTTACCTTGATTGTTCTTGTCAAAGCTGAGGTCCTTCATTTCCCAATATAAAAAGGGGGGGCAGTTGAAGGAGGGTGCGGAGGAGACCCAAGTACCTGGGGAGCCCTTCTTGGTTACCCAGAGTGGTCCTCATGGAGACCATCATTCCCATGAGCACCACTTGGGGCGCAGAGGTGCCTAACTCACCCCACTGCATAGGTGTTTGCCCACAGAGTTGGGCAACTTGTGACTGTCCTGATCTTCTGGCTTACAACTCCCATCATTCCTCACTGCTGGCTATGCTGATGGGAATTACAGGCAAAACGTCTGGAAGGTCACAAGTTGCCAACCTCTTGGGGAATCTATGCCTGCCTTTAGGAAGGCAATGGGTTTTTAATTTATTAAGCCATATTGGAATGTATTTAAATTAATCAGAATGCACAAGTTGTAGGCTCCCAGTTATATCCTACACTTTCTTCCAAAAACTCAGAGTGGTAGATAAGGTAGCTCTTTCCTGTGTTGTGTTTAAAATAGCCCAGAGAGAAAGGTTAGCCTGTGCAAGCTCCCCCAGGGAAGTTCATACGGCCAGTCAGGGTTTGAACCAGGGTCCCTCCGGTCGTGATCCAGCTCTTTAACCACTACACCACACTGGCTTTTGGGTGACTGTTCTATAATCACAGAGCTCTTTTCTCCCAGGCTCAGCTGAGGCCACAGGCATCCTCTGTGGTTACGCAGAGTGGCATCTTCTGAGGCTGGCACCTCCAAACCTGAGCTGGATGAGAGAAGACAGATTTGGCAAGCAATCAGGTCGAATGATTTCCTTCCCTCGGTTGTCCACCCTCCTTAAAACTCTGTGAGAAAGCATGCTGTCTTGGTTTGCTCACTCTGCCTTTAAACCCCAAATTTCATGACTCATGGACTCTTCAGCATTTTACATCTGGGAATGCTCAGCTGACTTGGTTGTGCAGTTGTAGCCCAGTGAGGGATCCTTTGCTGAGCGAATTTCCCAGTGAGGTTTCCCCTTTCTCTTTTAAAGCAGCTTGGATCTTCTTGAGGGCCCCCGTTTTCCCTCACCCCCCCCCCAATCTCTTCTCCACCTCTCTTGAGAGACAGTACAGCTTTAAATAAACATCTGGCAACCACCCGCCAGCCCACATCTGGGCAGTGTTAGCTGAAACTGGGACTCCTGTAAGAACAAGCCGCTTGTTTTCAGAAAGTTAAAGGTTTCCTGCATGGACTGAAAGAGCGGAGCAAGTTTGGAGAGTTGTGAATAGATCCACAACCAGACAGGTAAGAAGGAACTTGCTTACATTAGTTCTTTGTCTGCAAAGAAAGGGAGGGGTCTGCAGAGACAGAAATTTTTGCTTGTTTTGCTTTTTTGTTTAGGGAATGTATTGACTTTCCCTTGGCTAGGGCTCTCGGAGAGTCTTTCATGATTAAAATAATAAGCCTCCAATCCTGTACCTAAGATCCCATTGGGTTCACCAGAACTTATTTTTGGTAGACATGAATAGGCTTCCATTGTTCAGTATTATTCATGGATGCCATTCAGGTTTACCCAAATGGACTGGCGCTACTTGCTTACAGAGGCTGCTGGATGAATGCCGTTAACATTCCACCTTCGCAAGCTGCCTTGCACTCCACCAGCCTGACGCATAAGGAGGGAAGGGGGCTGATGGTCATCCTGTTATGATATGCAGACCTGAGGCAGGTTAGAGGTGAGAACAGGTGTTCTTATAAGGGCTTTGCTCAGTGCTTGCTTTCAGCGACCTAGAAAGCCATACCTGCCTTGCGACCACAATGTTTGACAGCACACTACCCCCAGACTTAATCTACGCAGACACAGCCGTCAACCTCTGAGGCTTTTCTCCAAGTGCCAACGCCAAGGGAAGCTCAGAGGATAGCAATCAGAGTGGGGGATTTTTCTGTGGTGGCCCCATTTATGGCATGGCCTGCCCACTTGATGATAACCTTGCCATTTTTGCAACACTAGTTTAAGATGGTCCATTATTATTATTATTATTATTATTATTATTATTATTATTATTATTAGAACATTTCTATGCCGCCCCTTGCCGAAGCCTCGGGGTGGCTTACAACACCAAGGCTTTTTGAAGGATATCCAAGGTCATCCTTGGATGACCCATTCCAGATATTTTTTCATCCCAGATATTTTTTTCATTGTACCTTTTTTTTTTAGCAGTTCTAATTTTTCTGTTTAAAATGTTTGTGTTCTTACAAGATTCTGTGGCATTTTATTATACTTTAATGTACTGTTTTTATGAACTGTTGTAACCCATCCAGAGAGTTCAGGCCATTGGGCAGTATAGAAATAAAATAAACAGTAATATTAAGAAGTAGAAAAGGTAGCGATTGGTTCCGGGAGCCCAAATCCCTGCTTACCTCCACAGGTTGCTCCATGTACAAGTCAACCTCTCTTACATTAACTGATGCACCCTAACAGAATACTTGCTCCACCTTGTAGTACGGAAGTTGTGGAACACGAGTCAGGAGAGCCTTGCACCTCTCTCAATGGAGAGCTAGGGTCAGGTTCTACATTTAGCCTTGGTTAAATTATGATCTCTAGGACAGGAGGAATTGGTTTCAGAAAGACATTGACCAAGTGGCTATTCCCAGAAGAAGCTGACAAAATTAGTGAGGAGCTTGACCTCAGGTTCTCCAGGGAAAGGCCAAAGGAGCTGGATGTGTTTAGTCTGGAGAAGATGATGATGATTACGATTGCATTGCATTTATGTCCTGCCTTTTTCCTCTTGTGAGGAACCCAAGGCAGCTTTCATGGCTCCATCTTATCCTCACAACAGCAACCTTGTGAGGAGGGTTCAGCTGAGCGTGACTGGCCCAAAGTCACCCAGTGGGCTTCAGTGGCCCAGCAGGGACTAGAACCTGGATCCCGAGTCCCAGTCCGACACCAACCGCCACACTGGCTCTTGACTAAAAGGAGGGATGTGACATCAATATTTGAAAAGATGACATGTAGACATTGGGAAGAAAAACTCCTATTGCTAAGGGAGATAAGCCCTGAAATGAAGTTACAAGAAAAGGGATTTCAAATTAAGAAGAGCCTAATATAAAACCAGCTGCGCTGGATCAGACCATGGATTCATCTAGTCCGGTGCGCACTGGCCAAACAGCTGCCTCTGTAAAGCCCGGTCGGTCACGGGAGCTGAGTGCAGCAGCACCTTCCTCCCGTTCCCACAGGGGAAGAACTTCATGAACGTGTGAGCTGTCCAGCAGTGATGGGTTCAACATCACTGGCAGTGTTTGAACGAAGGCTGGGTGGTGATCAGGGATGCTGAAGCTGGAGATGTCCTAAATGGGAAGTGTTTGGGCTAGAAGTCCCCTGAGGTCCCTTGCCACCTACACCAGAAGTCACTGGAGGTGCAGTTCAAGTGGCATAACAGCTTTGCCAATTAAGTGCAAGTGATTAATAGCGGGTTCGCTTTTCGCAGGTGTGGGGCAGGAATGAAAGAGACGCTTAGGGAGAGGCCAGAGCGAACTGGTGGGGAGCAAGATTTGAAAGGGGGAGGCTGTGGGTTCAGCTCCTGGCATCTCCAACCAGAGAATCTCCAAGGCTCCTCCAGACGTCCTGTCTAGCCAGAGCTGAGAGTTGTGGGCTACTGACGGAGAGAACAATGCAAATGTGTGCGAGGCCAAGACACGCTTGGAAGCAAAAAGGACATTGGTTAGCAAATAACAATGAGAGAGCTGAAGATGCTACTAGTTTGTGTTGGTTTATTATTTTGTCTCATAAAATGCAAACAGAAGGAACCAGCTGAACGCTTTCGATGGTTTTGATTTTTGTTCCCAGTGGACTCTCTAGTTTGTTATGATTATTTTCCTCCTCATCCCCATTTATGTTCAGTTTCTGTTTATTTGTTCTAATTGTTTATTTGCTCAGATTTCCTGCTATCTAGCCAAGCCCACATATTTACTTTTTCATGCTCTCTCTCCCCCCGTCTCCTTCCTCCTTCCTTTTCTTCCTATTTCTCTTTCCTTCTCTCTCCTTCCCTTCCTCATCTCTTTTCCTTGTTTCTTGTAATCACTCCTTTCTTCTTCCCTCTTCCTTCCTTCCTTCCATCCTTCCTTCCCTTTTCCTTCCTTCTTTCCTTGCCTCTCTCCATTCCATTCTTTTTCCTTCTCCCTCCTTCTGTTCTTCTTCCCTTCCTTCCTTCCTTCCTTCCTTCCTTCCTTCCTTCCTTCCTTCCTTCCTTTTCTCTTTCATTCTTCCATTCCTCTGGATGCAAGAAACATGCACAGCTGTCTCTCGCCCAACCTTTGTGCAACTCAAAACCTTCTTCACCGTAGGACAGGCATGCCCTGCTTTGGGGTGTTAAAGGACAGCCGCTCTTGCGATTCTTTCTTCCAAGGACCTTCCCCTCCTCTCGTGTCTCTGGCCTGTTATTCCCCCAGAACTCATGGCCACATTTGGCACATACACTATGTACGCACAGCAGCTGTAGGGCACCCCTTGAAATGGGTCTGTGTTCGGATTCCTGCGCAGGCATCTGCAAACTGTTAGCCTTGATACATACGGGGCAACCAGGCCCCCTTGTTAACCTCGTGCCTCCTATTTGATCTCAGCCTGAATCGTCCGCTGGAGCACATCCACCATTCTCTGCCCACCAGCAATATCCTTATACTAAGATGTCAGAAGAAGCCTCTCCACTCCTTTTGCTGCTCTGGGCCAACATCGTGTCGTCCACCTGGTATGAAGGTAAGCACACCAACAACCCCATACAAGGAGGGGAAAATAGCATTAACAATATTGTAACGTAGAAAGAGCCTCGCTGACATCCGTCCTCTCTTACAGGGAACAGTCCTCTATTTAAAAGACTGCCAGACCACCCACCCTTTGAGAGAGTCTTTTATTTAGGTGGCCAATTCCAGTGTAAGAACAATCAGCTGTAAGAACTGTAGTTGTATCAATCTACAATTACAACAAAACGAAAGAAACAGCTACAAAGAATAACCCCGATCGTCAGCAACAAAAACGAAAAACAGGGAAATGCAGATGCAATTGCACTGACTGTTCCCAGCACCACTGATTTTAAAAAATAATAATAATTAACACTTGTTTTTACATAGGCCTGTAAATATAAGCAGTCCATATGTTCACATAAGCATCCAGACAAAATCAACAGCAGTTAAGATATACTTCAAATGCAGCAAGAGCCGTGTGATCTTTGGGCCATAAAGAAATAAAGAGAAAAGAACAGAGAGCAAAAAGAGTTACCTGAACAACAGTGTAACATGAGCCCTGTGGGGAGGGTGTCCAGGAATCCTCTTTTACAGAGGATAGTCCCCTGTTTGAAAGGCTACTAGGGGACCATCGTTTCCTTGAGGGAGTCCTCCATTTGAAGGCCTGTCCTATCCAGTTCCAGGATAAAGATAATGAACCATCAGAACTGCTTCTAGAAAGATGCTACATCTGTGTGCCCACCTGTCTAGCCTGCTGGCCAGATGCAAACTGTTGATGGCTAATGGTTCTTAGCTTCCATCCTAAAGCCAGAATCAGACAGGATCACACCTTCAGATACAGGACCATCCTCTGGAAAAGTGACCCCATGGAGACCTACAAGGACTTGGTGATCTCCTGCCGGTCAGCAAGGACCACAGTGATGCCGATGAACCAAGGGTCTAGCATGGCTTGAGACAGGCCCTTTTATGTTCACATCTGCTTTGTAACCATTTCTTTGCTCCTTTTCCATCTAGCTCAACCGGATTGTAAAGGTCTGCCCTTACAATACCAGACTTGGGCTTCTTCCTCAAAGCAGCCAATTTCCCCTGAAAAACCTGAAGGGATCGGTGACAGAAAGTAGGGAAGCAGCTGGACCTCCCCACATCCCTCAGCTGCTGCACCACGAAATTGTGCCCGTTCAGAAACTATCCTTCGGCTAAAGGTGGTATCTGTGTTGCTGGAGGTAAAGCAGCCAGACAGATGAGTCCATCTGGGGTTAGTGCCATCTCGGGAGACGAGTAAATATAACTTGCCGCTCCAACATTCAGTAGAGGAAGCTAAATTTTTCCACATACCCCGTCTCTGGCTGATGAAGAGAGCACTTGGCAAGCGATGGTTTGCCTGGAGCAGTTACAGACAGTAAGCAGAGAGAGGAAGAGAAACCTCCTTCCTTTCCCAGCTAAGCTACTGAGTTTCTTCCACTCTTGGGCTTGCTGTCCCATTAAAAACCCATCCTTGTCTAGTCGCTGAGGGGCAAGCAAATGTTTCTGGGAGACGTAGTTCTTCTTACTGCAATTGTTTATGAGCCTCCAGGAAAAGTGAGGACAGATGTGCTTGGTCAGATGTGCCTGAGGCTGAAAAGGCACTGTCTTGATAGGCTTGGCACTTTTTCCTGGCTGGGCTGCTGTGACATTAGTAGCAGTAGGCTAAAGAGCCTTGCAGTGAAGCGTGTGACTCCATCTTCCTTCAGGGTTGCATTGTCTTTGCCCAGTTGGGGGTGCCTTAGAATGTACCTTGCCAACAGAGTCCCTGTGTGATGGGCTCTGGTGTTTCTGGGGATGCTGGAGCATGTGTGCCTCTTTCTTGCTATGTTTACTGGTTACTTGTCTTTCCCCTCCCAGACTGAGGATGCATTTGATATGACAAACACTCTGCCAGCTTATTTCCAATTCATTAGGGCTACTCTGCCCTTTTGGTGCTCTAATAAATAAATTCTGGGCTTGGCTTAGAATAGGCTGGCCACCCTGAATGGCCAAAAAAGAGGAAATGCTTCACCAAAAGAGAGGATCAATGAGAAGAGTTATTTGCATAACATTGCAAATGCTCATATATTTCATTCTGTACTGCCCAATAGTTGAAGCTCTAGATAGTTTACAAGAGTTCCTAAAACACAACTATAATGCAGTACAACAATTTCCCCCAAAAATACAACTCCTAAAAACAATTTGACAGCTAAAACGTCTAAAACAGAATAGGCCTGTTAAAAACACCTGATGTGTATGCCCATGTGTGCATAAGCATAGGAATTATTATAATGTAAACAGACTTTCTGTTCATTTCCCCACAGTGAGGCAGACTGTGACAGCTAACCTGTGTGCCAGCCTTTTCCGTCTGTTGTCCAGGTGCTCGCTGCTGATGCCAAGAGCCCTTATGCTTGTTTAGCTTTCACCTGGAATTGGGCAGAACAGCCCTTCCAATAGCGATGCCTTCAGATAGAGGACTGTCCGCTGTAAGAGGACACCCACCCACCCTGGCCTGGCCTAACCCATCTCAGGGCTTCCAGCAATGGACTGTGCGTGAGTGAGCTGGTTTCGATGTCCGCATTCCAGCTTCGAGAGGGGGTGGCCTGTGCCAATCCTTTTTATGGCCCCCTGCGCAGCAACTGCTGTGGCCCCGGGGGGCTGATTCAGCCTTTTCCCTTTAGGAGGTGGCAAGACAGAGTCAGATTTTCCCCTGAGGTTGTGGCATGAGAACCTGACACTGAAGACAGACGGTAACATTTAGGCGAGGGGGAAAGTGGCGTGCTGCAGGAAACGGTTGAACATGGTGTGTACAGACTCCCCTGGGCCACTGCTGGTTTCTCCGGCGTCTGGGCAAGGCCTCTGCCCCTCTCTGGCCCCACTGCTTCACTGAGCAGAACAATGGGGAGTGTCTTAGCCAGTGAGAGCAAAGTTGCAGACGGGAAAAAATGGTATGGCGAAAATCCAAAATCAACAGTAACGCAGCATCTCAGCAACCGTTTGAAACGCCCCAAAGTCGTGGCCCAGCTTTTGCAAGTCCTTCTAGGGGTCAAGCGAATCGGGGAGATGGGAGGAAGAAAGGTAAGCATTCCCGAAATGTCCCACTTGGTCCTGTGACTGTGTGCTTGAGCGCTCTGCTCTGCCTGTGTGACAGAAAAACAGCCCCGCACATCGCAAGTGAACGTGCAAAGCTGAAGGCCAAGCTAGAGCTCTTCTCTCCGGCAGCCTCACTGTGGATGCAGCTGGGATGCTTTTCTGGGAAGGAGCTTTTCCTTCGAGGGAGGGCCGCTGGAAGCAGCACAGTGGGGAAGTAGTCCGACCATGAGATGAGCCGTTCAGGTGGAAGGGGCTGCCCTCCAGCCAAGATGCCTGCCACATTCCCTGGAAGCACTTCCGTGGGTTAACTCTACCCAACTCTGCCTGCCCTCTCCATGTAGCAGGAACCTCCACCCAGGCCTGAATGTGTGCTCAGTTTTAGCCTGGGGTCAGCCCTGCAGGCACCAGGCTTCAAGGGAGAGGGGGCCAGAGTCCGCTGCCCTCTTCCATCCTCTTCATCATCACCACTGTGGCCCGCTCGTTTCTTGTTCTTCTGGGCAGGGACAGGTCGTGGATAGGAACTTGGACAAAAGGTTTCTGCTGGGGGTCATCCTCCCTCAGGGCCACCCCCTGGGCTCTGGTAGCAGCCGCTCTCCAAGCAACAGCATCTAGCCACGGTTAACCCAAAGCACCAGGGTGAGCATCAGCAGTGGGCGCAACCAGAGACGAGGCTGGGTGGCGTGATGCACAGGAGCTGCTGCACCTGCGCCACACTCCTGGAGCTTCTCCCAGGTGCCTCCCACTCACCTGGAGAGGCCAGTTGAAGCACCACAGGGAGCAGAAGGAAAGGGCAAGCAAGCACGAAGGAAGGGCCACTGGCCTCCACAAGTGAGTGGATGCCCAGGGATGTCGGTGCACTCAGGCCAGCTCTGGACGCTCGTGTCAGGGGCGAAAAAGAGTCTGTGGGAGCGTGGGCTTAAAAGGACTCTCCCTGTTTATTTAGACATACAGGAAATCTGTGCCTCATGGAGCCAGTCTCCCCGCCCCCACACCAGAAGGGACTACCAAGATGGAGTCTGTACTCGTAGATGCTTTTATAAGCTATTAGTTCCATCCGCAGTTTGGGGAGGGGAGCGGGGACAAGTAGGCCGTTTGCTAAAGGCACATGAGAATAAAACAAGTGGGTTCAATGGGATTAGGACAACACAAAGAGAAGAACCTTCCGGACAGGTAAATAATTAGCATTTCTAAGAGTGGACCTCCAGAGGACAGGCAAACATTAGCACCTCTACGGCGTGACTGGGAAGCAAGACTTGCAACATGGATTCCTGATCTGATCAGGAAACCCATCCTAAGTCCAAAGCTGTTCTTACGGTGTCCGGCTTTCAGCAGCCATATCAAGGCAAGGCTTTTGCTCATTTTGTCGTGACGCCTCCCTCCCTCCGAAACACACAAAAGAGGCTGTCTGAAAATAACTGATGCTACTCAAAGCAGAACAGAAAATGGCTATGTATGGACACACCTAGTCCAGGTGCAGAATATCCAAAGCTGGCTGCATTATTCCGGCACTGGAGGCAGAAAATCCCACAAACACCTCTCCCCACAAATAAAAATATGAGGATGATAACCTTGCATCTCTCTCCCACATTTCTTCCTCATGCAAGGAACCCAAGGCAACCTAGAAGGTTCTCTTCCATTTTATCTGTGTAACAACAACCCTGAATGGTAGGCTAGGCTGAGTGGCAGTGACTGGCCCCTTGGGCTTCATGGCCAGTAAGTGACCATTTTCTGCGCAGCGTGTTCTCTGATCCCTACGAGGCGGGCTTTTCTTCTAGGTGGAGGCGATGGGAAAGCAGCGATTCTGTGCCAGACTTTATAGCATCTTTCAAGTGCCAGGTTTCTGCTTTAAGCAAATCATGAGGTCCAGCCTGAGCCACTGGGACAGCTGGCTTTCTGCTCAGCAAAGATGCGGTTTCAGGGCGGAAGCAGGGGAAGTGTGCCTCATTTCAGGCATGAGTAGCTGAGTCCGTTCTCAAGTTGGAGCTGCAGTGAATCAGAGAAGTGGCTGGCTGGAGGAGCAGATGATCCGTGCCCCCAGGAATGAGAGGGAGCCCAGTGGAAAAGTGACCTCATGGGGCTGGAATGCCACCCAGCCAGCTTTCTTCTTCCTTTCATTCATTCAGGATCCAAATGCTGTTTGGGATATTTTTGTCTCCATGCGTGTCTCTGTGCATTTTTGCAGAAATGGTGAAGGCTTCAGAAACGTTTTGTCTGAAATGCCAGTGCCCACCTCCCCGGCTGCTGCCCCAAAAGAGAGAGATGCTTTGTCATACTTCCGAGGCCGGCTTCAAAGTGACCCAGTGGGTGTTTTAATGCAGAAGACGATTGGGTTGTAGTGTAGCAGCTTTGCTTTTCCAGAGATCATCATCATCTACAAACAGGATCCCAGATTCTCTTTAGGCCCTGCACTGGAAAACTGACCAGACACCTCATTCCAAAGCATGTTTTCCACATGGTCAATACCCAAAGGATCACTGTAGAAAGAATCCCATAAATGCCAAACATTACATCACGGTACACATACACGTTCAATGTCTTACACTGAGTCAGTTCATGGTTCTAACTAGGCCAGTATTTTCTGCTCCAACAAGGAGCACATGGCCAAAGCTTTGGTCAATTTCGGCATGTTTTTAAACTTTTTAAAGACTTTAAATAGCAGCCACCAGGGCAGGGGAGGCTGATCACAGTCGGGACCTTGAGGAAGATGGAGTGATGTCATGCATCATGCCCGGATCCCAGCAAAAAATCCTCTTTGCCTTTCTGCTACTGCCAGTGGTGTTATTTGACTGCCTTCCCCAAAGATGCCATCCATGCCACAAAACAGAATTGAGTGGCACCAGCTCCCACATTTCACATAACGTGCATTCTGGGACATCTTCACCTGCAGCTGCTGTGGCCGCTCTCCTAGTCCGTCCTTCAGGCAGCTGCTTGCACATTGACAAAACATAGGACAGAGATTTCAACAAGATGTGTTGGGTTCTTGACAAGCACAGGCAAAAATATCTCAAATGGAAAAATAACCTAGCAGCACTTTATGAAGAAATAAGCCAGTCAAGTCAACCAGAGGAGATACATGTATATAGGCCAAACGCAAAGGAACTGCGCCAAACATAACCAAACACAAAGCTTTTATCGTATTCCATCTCCACTTAATAATTTTATCATTTACCCCTTTCTAATCCCTTAGGCGCCTTGCACCAGTCTAGCATTCTTACCTCTATATGACCCATAAACAAAAGGAAGTCAGAGTTCATTCTTGACCCTTTCGTGTTATCTTCTCACCATCTTCCCAATTTGCAGCTGAGTTACTACCTAAATTAGCCATTTGATCCTACATGATTCGACACTATCTATTCCTCTATAACTGTTTCTTGTCAAGGCTGAGAAACAAAGAAAGGAGAATTTATGCTCTTTGTCCAACAGATGCACTTTAAGAAATAATGGCTCCATTTTAAATAGGAGCTCCCTGTCGTGAGGCGCAGTCTGCTGTACAGGTCGGGGATGGATGGATTGGGTTCGAACAGGCCTTTCTGAGTTTTGCAGATTGGTGGGCATCTGTCATTCCACCACCCACCACCCACTCACTGACAATCAGATTACATTGTGGGAGAATTGTGTTTGTTTGCAAACATGCTTAAATTCGAATGTTCACCTGGTCTAGCACACCCTTGTGCAAAAAAGCTCCACAGAAATCTAATCTCATTTGAGCTGCTTACAGATTTCTCCAGCATGCCTCATTCAAGGTCCCCGTCGCTCTCCTTGTTTATGGCTCTTTATTTTTAAACCGGTCTTGAAATGGGCATAGCCCTCCAAATAGGGGACTGTCCTCCATAAAATTGGCCACCGTAGCTCTCCTGGTGATACTTGCAAAACCTGGCTTTCCCCTTAGAGCAAGATACTCGTCCTCCACCTTACCCTGATCCTGCATTTGGGATGAAATAGATGGATGCCGGAGGTATGGCAATTGTATGGAAACCCAGTGTTGGTGTCAAACTCCATGGGGTCATGTGAGCCTCAAGATACCTGCAGGGGGCAAGGCAGTTCTCACCCCCACCAGCAGCTCATTTTCAGTCGCCTTCTAGAATGGATTCCAATCTTATTCCAAGGACAGGTGCAACCGCACAAGTACCATATTATTTATTTGGATGATCTGTAACTCGCTTTTCCTGGAGTGGGACTATTTCTAGGGTCTCTTTTGAAGTGCTGAACAGTCCTAAGAGGTACAAAATGTTTCACTCTTCACTTGCAACAAATAAGGAGAACTTTATGCCCGTGGTCCATGCAGTCCATGGGAAATGCCATGTAGCCTGCCAGCTTCTTCCCCATATCCCATTTTCTTCTCCTGGTGATTAAGATGGGGCATCTTTCAGGCTGTTCTGGGCAGTTGGGTTAAAATAGCAAACTATCACAGCTGGACTTTGGCATCCGAAAGAGGGAACTCCCCTTAATTTAAGGAAGGTTTGGTTCCACTTAACGGAATAGACGTCGGGAAGTCTTTCGCTGGAGTGACCAGCAGTCTGCCTGGAATGTGTGGTTCATGAACAGACCTAAGCTGTCCTCTGGCAATCTCCGTTCCCATGACACTTCCTGTGCGGAATAGACCTGGCAGGAGAAGCTATTTAGTCTAGTGGAGCATGCTACCAACCTCACCCAGACAGTAGCCTGTGGGGAAATGTTTGTGCAAGAGCCCTTTTCTGGGGATAGGCGCTCCAATAAGCATAGCTTCTTCGGAGATCAGGTAGCCAGTTCCCACACCTGCACAGCATGCTGATGCTGACATGAAACAATGGGTCTGGTGCCCTCACACTTCCCTGAGTGGCAGAAATCTTTAGATCAGCTTTGCAGGAGAAGCTTGCTCATCGTGTATTTGGGAGACGTATTGATTTTGCAGGCCAATGTAGCGCAGGAAGGTGGGCAGGACTGGCCCAGAAGGAAAGGCGAGCAAATGAGAAGACAACTGCATCAAGAGAGAGGAGCTGAGTTTCTCTGGGGAAGGCCTGAACTGAGAGCATTTTGCCCTCACAGCCCATAAAAGCCTGGCAGTTTACAATATGTTGGTTAAAATTATGTATGTATGCACAAACAAGGCAAACGGGAAGCAGTTCACCTCTTCGTCCTGCGGGCAACACAGCCGCTAGATCCTGCAGTGCATTTGTTTCCCAACTTTTTATTCACACAGTCCTCTTCCTGCTTGCCATTTTATCCTTACAACAGAAAGGTTTAGCTAAGTTGGTGTCTGGAATCCCAGCTCCAAGATCCTCCGAGTTTTTTAGCGCAGAAAAAATGCAGCATTTAATCCTGACGGCAAAAGAGAGATTTCCCCTTGTGCACTTGTGCTGCTCTGCAAAATCACAGTGCTACGTAGCGGTTCGATGGTAGAAAAGCAGGAAAAGAACTCCTCCTCGTGCGATGTTTGGATCTCAGTTCTGGCCTGGAGCCAAAAGGAGATATGGTGCATTGACAGCCCTGTATAGAAAAGCCCATGAATTGCTCAAAAGTTTGTTTGTGACTTTGTCACATTTCTTAGCATTTTATTCAAGGTGCTTGCATTAACTGCTTCATGGTTGTTGTTCTAGTGGACAGCACAGCTACTTACCCTAATATTTGTCTGGCACATTTGCATCCATAGTAATAGAAGATTCTTTCAAGCAGATCAAGGACAGTGAAGCCAATTAAGGACAAGACCAAAAATAAATGAAAGTAAGACCCTCCCTGGTCCTCTGGGGCCTTGAAGCAGATTCAGAGCCATTTTAGCATGGCCCTTAATGGCACCAATTGGGGCCCAATCCTGAGATACAGGAAAGCATAGTCATGGACCATTCTGGAAATAAGCATTGCCCTGTTTCTTTCCTCTGTCATTTTAGGCTCTGGCTACTTTGCTGCACAAAGGCAGACCAATGAGGTGCACATTGAGGAAACCTCACAGGTTCTTGCTCCAGAATATCAAGGTAGGAGCTCCTGGACTGATGCAGGTGGAACCAGAGAGCTGCAGAATCCTGTGCTGCCCCTCCGGGTTCTCCTTTCCCTTCCCACTGGTGGGGACTTGGAGTTCTGTGCACCTCCATTTGGGTGGGGGCACCTTTTGCTGCTCTGCTCCAGACAGAAAAAAATAAGGCCCTACTGCATAGGAGTACAGTCTAAAAACAAAGAGCACCAACCCATAACAGTCAAACAATGATTTTACTGGGGCTGAAAAGGACCGAAATATGGCTGGGCATAAAAGCATCACCTGATATGGGTACCAAGGCCCTGTCTTTGGCAGCCACACAGCTTATTTCCCAAGCCAAGGGCTCCCTGAGCAGGACATTGGGAGAAGATCTCAGGTAGGTATGGGGCTGGTGGCTTCTCGGATCACAACAGATTTCGCCCTCACCGGACAGAAGCTACAGAGCTCTCCACCTCTGCTCTCCTCCTCCTAGTTCCACAGTGGTGCTACGTACTGAAGGTGTACCATGGGGAGGCGACCTGCTATTCCCCCCGAGGCGGGAACTACCGCAGCAGCATGGGGACCCGCTGCGAGCTCTCCTGCGACCGTGGCTACCGCCTGATCGGCCAGCGGTCGGTGCAGTGCTTGCTGAACCGGCACTGGTCTGGAGCCGCCTACTGCAGACGTGAGTTTGCCTTCTGTGGCCTGTTCAAAGTTGCGCTGTGCTCACACGTGTGTGCATGCATGCACACGTACACATAAAGAATAAACAGCCTGGAGATGTGGCGGAATAGTCTATTAGGTGCAGAACTGAGTGACTTTGGGCCTGGGACAGACTCTTGGCCCAACTGGGTGGTGGTTGTGGGGACAAGCCTGGAGAGAATTATGGAAGCTTCCTTGAGGTCCTTGGAAGGAGAGAATGATAATTAAGAATAATGATCAGGTGGGCACTGAGGGCTTGCGCCAGGTGTTCTGGCAGGAGGACCTGTGTGCTTTGACCCCTGTACAGGCCCCTGGAACATTCATGCGCTCTGAGCTCAGCAGACTTTCCATACATTTCTCATCCCATGGCCCAGAGCAGGACAAAGTGTGTGTGTGCGGAGTGGGGAGGGGGGAGGTCGGTCCTTCAGTTTCCATGAAGTTGTTCAAAATATATGTGCAAACTTGGAGCAGGGACTGCACATCTTGCCAAATTGCCATTTTTTCAGGCAGGGGAACCTGTGCAAGTTTCCCCTCATATTAAAAATATTATACAAGTCACAGTTTATTTAAAAAATGGGATTGCGTATTCTTGGTCAACTTGGAACAGGTCAAGTTGGCATCAGCACAGGCTTGGCACAACTGTATCCGTGGGCCAAAGAGAGACAATCCTTCTGCTTGTCACTGCAGTGTCAGATTCCTAGAGGGGGGTGCGTCCTTATCTCTGCATCCCCTTAATGGCCAGAGACGGTGCTACAGCTTTGCAGATCAAGGGGTGAAGGACGCCTCCAGCCCTGGCTGGCCTTACGTTGGTAAGCTTGCTCAGTATGAGCGGCTTGCGTATGTGTAAGGTGCTAAACAGGCTCTGGTCTTTGAACCCAGGCAGTGTTGGACTTACTCAAGCAGGGATCAAATCCCCCTCCATGACCCACCCCCCAGGCATATCACCCTTCCTGACTTCTGTCTATGCGACACAGACGTGAAGATAAAACATATTAACATGGTATGTTTGGGGACAGCAAGATCAGAAATGTGGTAACACATCATTTTTTATTTCAAGAACTCTAGAAAAAATGCATTTCTGTACACTTTCTATTTTCACGCTTAGTTCTCATAGACTATTGTGCTGTTTATCACACCTCTGAGTTTATCACCTTTTTTTCTGGCAGAAAAAGTTCTCCTGTTTTTATTCTATGCCTATCAACTGCCTATCACTCATTCATTACATTTCTGTACCACTCCACAACTGAAGCTCTCTTTAACATTCAACTGTTAAAGACTGTTTATCCTGGCAGCGTGTCTTTAGCGGTTGAGTGACAGGCAGAAACTCAGCAGGTACAGCGAAGGGAGCACTTTGCTGAGTGCTGCTAACAGCCTAGGTACACCCTGCCAGGAAAAAGTGAGTGCCATCACTCCCGTACCTGCCAAGCTCACTTGTTACATCTCTTCTCCTAAAAACCAAACGATTTGGAATTTCAGTCCATCCAGTAAACCATTCTGAGATGCCAAGGAGATGAGAAGCGGGGAAAGCAAATCCAGCAACAGGTATGGGAAATGTTCAGCCTACACAAGGGAAGATTAATAGGAACATTATGGCTGCTGATATTCTCTCTCTGAAGGGCTCCTATACAAAGGAGAGAGCAGACTTAATCCCTGTTGCTCCACAGGCGAGGGAGAAGAATCAGTGCCTGGAAATTGCTGCTTTGGCTTAACTTTAAGGGAAATTTCCTTCAAGGTGAGGGAGGGTCCCAGGAGTGGAACAGAGGCTGAGATACATGGCTGCACGTTTCCTTCACTAAGCAGGGAGCTGGATTAAATTAGTTCTGCGGTCCCTCCCAACCCTAACATTTCTATGGTCCATGATCCAGCCTGTATTTTTTTCAAATTAACAGCCAACAGGTTTGAGTTTGGAACTCTTCACTGCAAAATTTGGCTTAGTTCAGAGCTGGTTTAATAAGAAACATTCCCCTCCAAAACATCCTGGGAATTGTAGTTTCGTGCGGAGAGTACGTAAGAACCCGCACTTTGCATCCGCAGAGATTCGGTGCCATACGCTGCCAGCGATCCACCATGGCTCATACCAGTGTTCGGACGGCGTGAAGGTTGACTCTCACTGTGACTACACCTGCCAGCCCGGGTACCACCTGGAGGGCGATCGCAGCCGCATGTGCATGGACGACGGACGCTGGAGCGGTGGCGATCCAATTTGTGTAGGTAAATTCTCACCCTTCCCGGGACCAGCTGTGGTCTTTGCATGACAGTCAGTTTTCAATGGGAAGTCACAGCTGCCCTGCACTCACTTGCTAGCTCTGTCCTAACCATCCCCTTCCTCTTCCCGTTGACACGACCGAGAAGCACCCCAAAAACAATATCAGGAAAATGCGGCATTCCAAAGCTTCCTAATCAGTAGAAAACTTCAGGTTCTTTAGAAATATTGCTATTACAACTGAGATCTGCAACAAAATGTTGCAGAGGGAAGTATCCCTTTTCTGGGTGCCAAACAGCCAGCGACTCATGCCCTTTTTAGTTTTTCTTTGGAATGCTGTACTCCGTTCTCCCTCCTCTGCCCGGCTCCCAGGCCTTTCCTCCATCAGTCTGCAAACATTCTGTGACTATGACTCTTTGTGCTGAGTACCCACACACTTATTTCTCACACCAAAAACACTGAATTGCTGCCCACCTTGCTGTGAAGACCCTCCTCCAACCAAGCCTGCTGACACCTCCCTCTTGTCCCTGCGGGTGCCGTTTTGTCTGTGTGGCAGCCCACACCCAGTGAATGGGATTTCTAGTTTGGGAAAGGCTCTAATGATTTTTTGTATGAAAATATGTGCATGTGTTTCCCCTCCTTCCGATCCTGGCAGAGCATTTCCCAAGGATCTCTGGTCAGAGGGAGTTACTGTTGAACTACCTAGGATATTCCTCTCGATGGCTTATTATTCCTCAGTTGCCTTCACCAGGACCAGCTTGCTCCTCAGTTAGTTACTGTCCATTAGCACTAATTCACAATTAACTTCAGTATAGCTTGAAGTGCCTGATCCTGTGTAGTCTTGGAAGCTAAGCAGTGTCAGGCCTGTTGGAGTCTGAGTGGGAGACTTCAGTCCTGCATTGAGCATTGAGTTGGGCCTAATGGACTTCGACTTCCAGCTGTATGATTCCGTGATCTGCTCTTGGTTTCTTAGAGGACCCAGGATTGCTGGGCAGTGTCGTGTTCTGTGCTCCCCCTTTCTTGTGACCTCCCCACACTCTGTTTTTGCCCGATCAAGATCTCAGTGCAGGGACATTTTGGGTGATGCTGTAGTGAAGATGGTCCACCAGGCTGGCCCTGCCATTCTGGTGGAGGTGGAAGCGTTCCGTCCTGCTGCTCATTTCCACAGAGTCCCTTCCGATTCTACCCAAGCAGACATAGAGCCTCCCAAGATCCGATGCCCCGACTCTCGGGAGCGAATGGCAGAACCCGGGAAGCTGACGGCCACCGTGTACTGGGATCCCCCTCGGGCAAAGGACTCTGCAGACGGCAGCATCAAACAGTGAGTTTGCGGGGAGGCTCCCGGAACCGTTGCCTGTCAAGCTCAACACGCCGTTTGTGGTCCTCTGGGGCTGCAGTGGGAGGGAGGGTGAAACCCGCCTGTTGGGGATGCCACCTGGATGGACCTCTCTGTCTTCTGAGTTCAGCATCACGCTCCGGGGCCCAGAACCAGGATCCGAGTTGCCCGAAGGGGAGCACATCATTCGCTACACGGTCTACGACCAGGCGTTCAACCGAGCCAGCTGCAAATTTTCTGTGAGGGTCCAAGGTAAAGTCCAGGACACCAGCTTTTGCTCATCTCCCAGGGGCAACCAACACATTCCCTTCGATCCCCATGTGTCCACACACCTATGTCCGCATCCCCCACCACCGCCACCACGGAGGATTGGTGATGTCCCAGCCTTTCCAGCGTTCTCTATTTAAATGTTGTTTAGTTTTTTTAATATAAAGACACTAATTTGTATATACCAGTAGCAAAAAATACGCACAAAACGTGTGCACACAAGCACACAACTTTCTAGCAGTTATTCATAGGTTTTGACAAAAGTGGAACAGATGTTCAACTATCCATGTGAAGGTTGTGCCTATTCGGATATGGAAAACACTGTAAGGATCTCGGTTCGTAGCATTTAGGAGGTGAGAGCTAATCCCTCTAGTCTTTTAATGGTCAAGAGGACACAGCCAATCCATTTATCCTGACCATTCATTCATTAATTTCCATATAGCAGGTACATTTTTTGAAAAAGCTCGTGCATATCAAGGATGATTAAGGAATGTTCTATTACAAAATATATCCATATACTAAGCTTCTAAAAAGGAACAATTCCTGGACATGGCCAAAACTTCTATTTTAAAGATACATTCACTGCGCTACAATTGCCAGTAAGTAACTTAATTGGACAGCCCATTATTAAGGAGATATTGTCCAATATACATGAAACAAATGTTTGGGCTGAATAAGGCAGTGCTGTGAAATCCAGGCACATGACAAATTGTGATGCCAACGGAGTGAGCACTGACTAGGCAGAACGGAGCAATGCAATTCCCCATTCCTTTCCAGCTTAAAACCCCGTATAGGACAACTCCCAAGGCAGAGCTGCCGGTAGTAAGAACTTGAACCTCAAATGGGCCTGTTTCCGTGGTTTTTGACTGGAAGGAGGATGGGGAGAGCTTCTCGAATGGAATTCGGCCTGAAAGCATTCCCACACGGCTGTTACAGCATCGGCTGCCAAGCCCGCTTCCCCCTCCTGTTCCAGCAAGGAGAACTTTCCTCATGCTGGACTCGCTTGCCTTTCCACAGTGAGCCGCTGCCCTGTTCTGAAGGCGCCGGAGCACGGCTACCTGCGCTGCTCCTCAGCCGGCAACAACTACGGCGCCACCTGCGAGTACCACTGCGACGGAGGCTACGAGCGCCAGGGCGCCCCGCTGCGGGTCTGCCAGTCCAGCCGCCAGTGGTCCGGCTCTCAGCCGACATGCGCACGTAAGGGTGCCTTGGGAGGGAGGGAGAGAGGGAGGGGAGCCACGTTCGCAGCGGCATCCAGGGCCACACATTCCACAACAGCTGGGAAAGTGTCATAAGCAGGCCCAGTGCTCTGTCTTCCACCACAGCCAGGCAGGTGCCTGTGGAAAAGTGCGACAGCCCTTCCTAGTCATCTCCCCAAAAGCAGGTATGGTACCTGCCTTGATGGCAGAGGCCATCTGTGCCCCTCTTGACCAGCAGCCACTGATCTGATCTCTGAATGACTCTAACTGCCTTGCAAAGCCGTCAACACGGGCAGCCACGGCTGCATTTTGGGGCAGCAAATGCCACAGTTTCATGCTGCATTTGTGAAGAAGCCTTTCCTTTCTTACGGCCTTGCATCTCTCCCCATCAGCTTTATTGGATGGCCCCTGGGTTCTGAGGGAGGGAGCGGTCCAGAGTGGACTCCTCCAACGCTGACTAGGAGAAATAAACCGTGTGCCGCTTTCCAGTGAGAGACACAACAGTAAGCCGGGCAATCTGGATGTCTTGGTTCCAAGTGCAAATGAGCCACAGCCAAATTGAGCTTGGTCTGAACCAAGACCTTGTGGCCCATGTGAACCACTGAATACCATTATCCTCTGGCTCCGAGTTCTGTTCCAATGAAAGCGGGGCAGGAAGGGCTGGTGGGAGGCAGATGTTCTTCAAAGTCCTCTTCCTCAGGCCCCAGATGTTCCTGCCCACATTACCATCATCAACCGCTTCCAGGCTTTAATATTCCCAAGCATCCCTGTTGGAAGCACTGGAGAAACTGTGACCTGGAAAGGCCTTTCTCCAGGGCTCTTGACGGTGTAACTTCCTCAGCGGGTGTGTGGCCATGGCCAAAAAGAACGAGTTTTTTCTTCTCTCTCACTGGGGATTGTATCAGCCATAGGTTTATCCGCTGCATTATCAGTCTCTGTAGGGACAGAGACTAACCCGTGTAATGGCTGCAGCTCCTGGCTCTGTCCGCCCTTGAAGGGAAGGCATGCTGAACGCAAAGAGGGCTGTTGGGAAGACCAGAGTCCGCAGAGTCCACATCCCCAGCGCTGCTGCTCTCCCCGCTTCACCAGTGCTGCCCACCGAGTGTTCAGCAGCAGATATAACACGCTCTGCATTCATCTCTTGCCCTCAGCCATGCAGATTAATGTGGACGTGAACTCCGCTGCCGGCCTGCTGGACCAATTCTACGAAAAGCGCCGGCTGCTCATCATCTCTGCCCCCGACCCCTCCGACCGCTACTACAAGATGCAGAATGCCATGCTGCAGGTGAAACTCCCCTCCATTTCATCCCTGGGTCTTCCCACCTCCCTGTCCCAGGCACTGGGTACGAACCACTCTGCTTCTCTTCCCACTGCAGCAAGCCACTTGCGGGCTGGACTTGCGCCACATCACGGTCGTTGAACTGGTGGGGCTGCCGCCCCACGAGGTGGGGCGGATCCGTGAACTCCAGCTCTCGGCTAACATCATTGAACAGCTCAGGTTGGTGGCAGCGGGCTCTCCATGGGGAGGGGCAGGTGAGAATCTCTCAGGAGCAGGAAGTGAGGCAGCTCAGACCTTAGATCTTAGATCAATGGCTGCAGGGTGGTTTAGATGAAAATGCTAAAGATGAAGCCCTGCCTCTTCACAGGGTGTATAATACAGTTGAACCATGTTGCCCTTCTGTGTACCAGTTCAAGGGTTGTGTGTAGCGCAGATAAAGTATCTGAACAACCAAAACAGCCTAATAAATTAGCACGAGCTTTCATTGGTTACAACCCACTTCATCAGCCCATGCAAGTGGGTGTGGAGCTTTGAGTCGCGAAAGGCAGTTAAAACAGGTAGATATATCCAAGCATTCCCTTATAAACTGCAAGGTTCACTAAATCTTTTATAACATGCACAGAATCCATCATCCTACTGAGTCTCTGATTAACACAATCCAGTTTTTCACCATCTTCTGTTCTGCAGTCTCAGTAAGAATTTGAAATCAGGGGATATCTTGATTTTGGCTTTATACAAACTTGATTTATCATGTTGTATGTTATGATTTTAGCGGTGATGAGCTGTCCAGAGAGCTTTGGCTACGGGGCAGTATAGAAATGCAATAAATACACCTGTGTTTCTGCAGGCAGTTCCTGCACATCACTCGTTCCCGCTTCAATATCGTTTTTGTGGACAAAGACGGCACAGACCGTGAGCGCTACATCCAACCTGTGACACCAGAGGAGCTCTTTTCTTTAGTCGACAACTACCTGCTGAGCAGCCACGAAGCGCTCCAGCGAGAACAGCACAGGGATGTGTGTGAGTGACCACAGGCGGCTCCATTCCGAGGAGGAACAGTGGACACCTTTGGACCTCTAAATCCCCCACCCAGGAGACAGACCGTCTCCCCCTTCATCCTTCTCTGTTGCTAGGGACCAAAACAGAAGAGGAATTGCTGGATTCACACGTTCAGGGATAGCGTAGGCCACCATCCCAGGCCTAGAAGTGGGAAAGCTGCAGCAATGCAGCTTGCCTTCACATGAGCAAGGGCAGATCGCTATTCAGGTCTCCCGGAGGGAGTTTTCAGAAGATGTGCTTCCTCTTTTCTATACACGAGTAGATTCCCTCCGAAGAGGATCACACGGGGAGAAAAGTCTGTTCCCAAGATTGCAAGTTCTCCTCATTCTGCAGAAGACTGTATGGGACTGAAGGCCCTCCAGATGATGCTGGATTCAAATTCCCATCTGCCCTGATTGGGGATGATGGGATTTGAGGTCCAACAACATAGGGAGGGCGCTGATACCCCACCCTAACTGTAGCGGAAGCCTGCTCTGTTCCTGCTCACAATAAGCTAGCAGTTCTGAAGAAAGAAGAAGTGTGCCTCTTAAAAGTATTCTGTTCATTCCTCAGTGTGTCTCCTTCCACGTACCATAAATTAAACAGAACTGTGTGTGGGGAAGTTTTTGTTTTGCTCGCTTCTCCATCAGACAGAACCGCATGCATGCTTTATGAAGCCCCCGGCTCTAACATTGAGTAGTGGAAGACAAGCTAAAACCTTCACGTTGAGCTGCTTCCAATTCCCAAAATAAAGCAGTACTTTCTTCACAGGTGTTTTGCGATTCAACTGCTGGGAGTTGGGGAGACCATTTGGAGAGCTCCACTACCTTAAAATTAAACCTTAAAATTCCAAAACGATAAAAAGCTGGAACATCAGGGCCAGGTTCTTTCCCTGTTGAGCTAGTTTTCTACTGGGGGTGGGGGGATTGTCATATGGGAGGGAGGCAGCATTCAAAAAGCTGATCTTTGTCTGAAGGCAGTCTATTCTAGCCCCTCATGACTTGACAGGAAGCAGTACAGATCTCAGCTTTATTTCTAGGCCTAACTTCCACAAAGGCACTAGTTCTGAATCTAACCGCACCACTTCAGACTTTAAGTGAGAGCACACATGACTCGATGCTCTTATATGTCAAAAATACCAAAGAAAAGAGTACATATGGAGAGCCAGTGTGGCGTAGGGATTAATGTCTCCCACACTAGAGATATTCAGAAAGAAACAGGACGGCCATTTGAGTATGATTGTAAAAATTCGTGTTGGACCCAATGGCTTTCATGGCCCCTTCCAACTCTACCATTTTATGATTCGAGGAGTATTTTGGTTGCAGTTTTACACACCTTGTTCAGCTTTGAAATACCCTGTTTGAGAGAGAGAGAGATTTTCACGGATAATTGAATTCCTGCAGCCTCCAGCTCATGCATTTGAACTTTATTTCAGTGTCCCTTTCCCCTCCATACATAGAAGGCAATGCCATTTAAAACAGGAACAGGGTGTAGAAATGCAGTCTTCTGAAGGCTTTTAAAAACAACAACAAAGACGTAAGAAAGGACTGGCAGGAGAAAAGAGAATGCAGCAAACAAAGTTTTTAAAAGGCACTTTGGGACCCTCCTCTCCTGCGCCTCTGAGAAAAATTCAATTTGGACAAAGTGACAAAACCAAGATCCTTTAAATAAAGCAGGCTGCCGAGAACATGGCTTCTACACACAGCTTCAAAGGCCACTGCAAGGTTAGCTGCATCACCAACATGCACAAGAAACCTGGAAATCTTGCTCAGGTGCTCCAGGGCAACAAGTCCCGCCTTCCCCTGCCTCCAGGGCTCAGTCTCGAAAACAGGCAGGAGCAAAGCTACGGCTTTGGCCTGGCCATCGTGGCACGGAGGGGAAGGGTCCCCTCTGCCCAGGACCCCGGGTACTTGCGCATCTTCTGCCAGAGGTTTATTTCCTCACCTGTCGAATCCATCCAGTCCGCCACCTGGCCGTTACTCATGCCTGAAGGGGGAGAGAGTGGGGGAGGGAGTTGGAGAGGTAAGGAGGGATTCCCAGTCCACACCGCTTGAGAATGCTGGGCAAATCCCAGGCCGAACTGGAACTAGGTGGGCGCTCCTTCAATAGGCACAGCCTGCCATGGCTGCATTTGCACAGCAAGCCAGAGGAGGCATCCATCCACAGGTAAGCCACACTAAGATAAGGAGCGCGCACACGCACACACACCCCGCCCCACCACAAAGCCGTTTCCTCACCAGTCCCCACTCCGAGCCGGACGCCGCCCAAGAAGTCATTGCTGGAAAGGGGCTCCCGGTCCCACACCGTGAGCTCCAGGCAGATGTGGGGCAGCTCCTCCACGCTGATGTTGTTGTAAACCAGGGTGTGGTTGTAGTGGGGATTCAGACTCTTCTTCACGACCGGCGTCTTCCTTTTTGTGGCCTTGTTCCTCAAAGGTAATAAGTATCTGCGGGCAAGGAAGGGCTGGCTATCTTTAATTCGAACTTGCAGGAATCGGTATGTGGGGGAAAAGGTGTGCGGGCTCGAGTTGATCACCATGAGAATCTCTGCGTGTAATCAAACCAGCTTTTTGCTTTTAAAAGGCCACAAAGAGGATTCTCACTGGTCCAAAGAGCACAATCCTTTCCCCCATGACTAGCAAAGAAGAATAAAATCAGATAAAATCTACGACACATACAAGGTCAGAGTGCTCGGTTTTTATGCAGAGGGATTGTTTTGCTTTTGCTTTTGCCACATCAGGCACACCAGCATTTATACAGTCCTACATACGATTGCTTCCCAACACCGAACACACTCCTGTAATGTTTCAATCATACACAGCACCAGATAAGGTACAAGGAAACTCCTATTGTCTGAGACACACACACCAGGATCCTACAGGGTGATCTGAGCTGCAATCCATCAGCTCTCCAATTTCTTTTCCACCCACCGCACAGCTGAAAAATGGTTCTGGTTTGCTCACCCTTTGACAAAGCTGTCAGAGGTCCCTCCAGATTTGGCTGCCGTCAAGTTTTTGGCCTCTTTGATCCAGACCTGAAGTTCACCTCCTTCTTCCCTTTTACCTAACAAGAAACTCTTGTGATGTAGATGAATGGCAGAAACCTGAAATGAGGACCCAACTTCCCCCAAAGGCTTATTGAAGAGGACGACTTCAAAGCCCCTCACTAATGCCATGAAGCAGAACCTAAAACCCAAGCATTGCGAGTTTCTGCTTTTCTTAACAAAATGCAAGACACATTTTTGGACCACATGGAAAAGAAAGATGCATATAGGAGTAAACAAGACTGAACAAGAAAACCGGAGAGCTACTGCCAACGTGACTTGGGTTGCATTTGGAGAGCAATGGCTTAAAACAAGCTGAATCGTCACCTTTTTTTCCATTGCCTGCACTGAGATGCTTGACCGGGGGAATGAACTTCAACGAAACCACCAACTCGCCTTTATATTGAGGAGAGGCAGCCGAGTCTGCCGCACTCTGGAACACAAAGGTGCAAGGATGTATCAGGACAACGTCGGCATTTTGTGAACTTGAGGCTGCTGAAACCGGCCCGGTTCTTGCAGAATTCACTGGCAGCAGTGGTGCAGGGAAACCAGGGCTCACGAGGTCAAGGCAAAGGCCTTTTTAATAGCAAGCAGGCTGACAACACCTGCCACCTCCTTCAGAAGTCCATTTTCCATCTTCCCTGGCAAAGGAATTTTCCCAGTGACAATAACTTGCTTCCTGGCTTAATGCAAAAAACTTTGCACTGGCCTGTCCTTGACCTGGGGATTAAGATCCATGAAAAGCCTTGCTCCTGGTGGGGAGCAAAACAGCTGGAACCATGAAAGCACCACGAGCATTATGCCACCGGTGATCAGAGCAAGGGCACGGAGGAGGAAGGGGCACAGCTACAGAGGAGGGGGCTGCTCTAAGACAGGCCCAACGCACTTCTGATGGGATTGGGAACACAGGAAGCGGCTGTGAAAGGAGTGATTCAGAGCATATGGGTGGCATTTCTTTCCCGTAAGATGTACGCTCTGCCCCTCAGTGCCAAGAATCTAAATTAGCATCAAAAATAAAAAATGTAGCATGCACAGAACATCTGAAAACAGCAGTAAGACAAAGTGCAGTCAGAACTCACAGTACAACTAGAAAGACTGAAAATATGAATGCTCTTCATTTGGGGGCGGGGGGGTTGAGTAGCCTATCGAAATAAGCCAGGTAAAAAGATTCCCAGCTAAAAAGTTTTGGTTTGACGAAACTGGTGAAAAATGCCATTTCCTACCACAATAGCAATAGTTAAGGCTTGACAGAACCACAGACTGTTCTGCAGTTTCAGCATTATTCGTTGCCCTTCAGATATATTATTGGCATTTGTGCGTTACACTGCTGCTCTTATTCTACGTTCACATAGGCTTGCTTTACAGCATATATTACGAAGCAAGAACAAAACTGGGCCAGGCTGTGTGTGCCTGTGTTGATTTTTTGAAAAATGACACAACAAAATTACAAATGACAGCCCAAATTAGCTAAGAATCTTGTGCTTCCATCGAAACGAGCATTTATTATGGTACCATAAGCTCATGCCAGAATAAATGTGTAAATAAAGGAAGCCACGCGACCTTTGGGAAGAGGGGTTGCGGAAGCAGCTTACCATGGCCTCTCCTCCAGAAATAATCACAACCAAGCTGTCAGAGTATGATAAATGCATCTTTAGAGCTTTCAGGCTATGTCGCGCCACGTACTGCCTCCTCTAATCAGCTGCATAAACATGGCTACTTCTGAATGGGAGTTTCCCAGCATGAAAAGAGCTTGCTCATCTAACTAGATTTAATTAGTTAGGTTTCTTTCCCACTTTTTTCTTACGATGCACTCAAATCATTCTTTTCTTCCTGCTCTCAATCTTGCCCCCACAACAACAACCCTGCGAGGTAGGTTGGGCTGAGAGTCTGTGACTGGCTCCCCCTGCCCAGCTGGCTGAGCAGGGACTAGAACCCAGTTCGCCCCAAGTCCCAGGCTCACACGCTTAACACTGCACTGGCTCTCTGGTAATTTACTATAACTTACTGAGCCACTTAGTTATAAAGGGGAAACTGACCCATTTCTGTTTAAAGGCCAGTGGCTCTTTTGTTAACATTATTTTGTAATAATTAACATTTGCATTGGCTAAATCAACCCTGCAACCTAATACATAGGTGCTTTTGAGGAACTAGGATCCTGAAGATGAATTAGTTTAGCTGAAATGCATACACCACTCAGTCTACAAGAAATGCACAGGGCTTTGCTGGAGCATTATCCAACACCCCCGTTTTGCTGAGACTGTGCTAGCAGCAGGTTAAAGGACTGAGCGCCGGCACAAGACAGACCTTGCCGTGCAAGGGGAGGCACTCTTCAAACTGGCTCTCGAAGTTCCAGGAGTTCATCAGAACCTCCGCCTCTCCCAGGAACGTATTGCGGCCAAAACGATCGTGATGCCAGACGGAGAACTGCAGGGTTCTGGTCAGGAGGAGGGGCTGGCTGATCTCGTACTGCGAACACAATCAGAAGAGAGGAAGAGCTTTTGGCCAAGCAGTGCGCAAGGCGCAGAAGGTGCCACCACCGTCAGCCCTTTGGCCCATCAAGCCCAGTACAGTCAACACGGACAGAGGCTTGACCCTGGGTCCTTCCACAGTCAAAGCAGGGACTCTCCCACTTAGCCACAGCGCCTCCTCTTGATGCGCCACCCGAGCGGGAGGACTGTGGGCTTTGTCCTTGCAAATAATAGACGCGGTGTGTGCATGTCCCTCTCCGTGTGGGATCCAGAGCTTCATCCATCTCAAAGGCCAAATTCCATTTCAGAAAAGCTCTGGGGGGTGAGGTGGGGGGGCTGCTTTTCTGTAACGGGTGAGGTCAGAGGAAAAACCGCCAACATGTTTCAGCTTAAAGCTCCACCTGCCCATAACCTCGCTTTAGCAAAAGTCTTTCAGTCTCTGGGAAAGGGGGGAACACTGTACCCACGCGGGAAAATCGGCAGGGGCTCTGTGGCTGGAACGGGGGCAGCCAGGCTGGCCAGGGGTGAGAAGAGGCATAGCCCAGCACACCTGGAAGGCTGGACAAGGTGGATGCGGACCTTCACTGCATGTTGCCAAACACTCACCAAGATCTATGACTTTTCACTCTTTTTTAAAATGGGTAACTCAGAGGTGGGGAGACCGACACCTGTGGGGCGGAAGGGGCCCTCAGCCTAGACTGATACCCCCCTCATTTCATGTGACCCACCAAGAGGGTGTGACACAGGGAGAGAATGGGATATTTACAATCCTGCGCTGCTGCAAGCCCCACCCACTTCCACCAGTGGCTCCACCCACCCCATCTCATTCCACTCATCATTATCTTCTGTCCCTGCTGGAGATGTCCCAGTAAGGGCTTTTGACTCGCAGGAAAAGAAGAAAGGCTTCCCCACCCCTCCAGGCCCATGAATTTGGAGAGACAGAGGCAGCCCCGGCTCCCTGGGGGAGGCTGGGAAAAGCTAAGTCAGGACCCTCCCCACCAGGAGCAAAGGGGTTTCTGCAAGTCCAGCATCCAGAGGAACCTGGAGGAAGCTGTTTGTTGCTGCCTGTCGTCGTCCTCCAAGCAAAAATGGGAGAACCTTGCCAAGACCCAGCTCCGCTTAGTTAAACACACATCTGGCTTTTCAGCCAAGATGGGCTCCCTAAGCATCTGGCAACAATTGATCTCCTGCACAAAGAAGTACAACAGATGGGAGAGCCATGGATGCAAGGACGGAAATGTGTCTTCTTGCCCCTGGCAGTGGCTGCCTTAATCCAAGTTCCAGGCCCTTTCCTCCGGGAGAAGAGCGGGTGGGGAGGGGGAGAGAAGGAGCCGAGGAGTGCGGGGCAGGCTGGCTCACTGCAAGCATGCCAGCTCAGCCGTGCCTCGCGGAGTCTTCTGCCCCCTGGTGCTGACACCGTTCAGCTTGGTGCCACCAGCAATTACGGCACACAAGCAGGCTCAAACACAGACAGAGAGACACACACGCCTTTCCAGTGTTGCACGAGCCCTGCAATGTGGGGAACACGGGCGCGTGACCCTCCAGAAGGCCCCGTCTCTCATTCATCCCTGCTTCGTTTCGCTTCAGAAGCACCAGAGCCAGAAATCCGACTTCTTAAAAGGGGAGAGGGAACAGCAACCTCAGAATGCACGAGCCTGTGCTGGGGAGCAGCGCTGGCGCATGGGCTCGCCAGCAGACAGTTGTGTACCTTGAGCACCTCGTTGTACAGGGGGTTGATGGTGTTCCGCTTGATGGAGGTCTTGCGCTTCCCTTGGCGGGACTTGTCCGGGAGAAGGTACGTCTTCACGTAGCTGCAGGAGACAAGATGACAGGAGTCACACGTCGGCCAGCTCGCGCCCTGCCCTTCGGCAGCCTTGGACAGGAACGGGTGTGCCGGCACTGTCCCTTCTCAAAGGATGAGGGGACCCGTCCGACCAGCCAGGGAGCCCAGCGCGAGGCAGCTGTGCAGCGGCACCGAGGGGCTGCCGAACATGCCCGTGTGCTCTGCCACACTGCCCTAGGCCGCATGCAGACCACGCATAGGCTTGCGGGTGGATATTTCAACAGGCAGCCAGGCTGAAGACCTCTGCACGTTTGTGGTGTGGCAAACCAGGTCTGGGAACATCCCACTCCAAATCCTTTCCCGGCCACTAAAGTTTGCTGGGCCATCTGCGGCCCGCCACCTCCTTTCAGCCTAATCCGCTTCACAAACGACTTGCAAAACGGGTGCAGAAGGAGGCCCATGTAGTCCACCAAGAAAACGGAGTACAATATTGCAACATTGTAAAAGATAAGGTAAAAAGCAAAATGTAAAATAACTGAAAAGGTAACATTATTAAAAGTATTTTTAAGAAATAAAAATCACAGCACTATGACTTCCTGCACTAGATGTGCGACTGTTTGGTTTTGGAAGCAGGACATTTTAGCAGTTCCCCAGTCGGGTGCCCCCCAGATGCAGTGGGCCGCTGGCTGGGAAGGACGGGAGTGCCTGTCCCGCACATCTGGGGCCCTGCAAGGCAGCCCCAACGCAGACCGAACCCAGCGGCACTTTGCTGTGTGACTGGTGCGATTAGGAACGGCCACACCTCCCCGTGCTTTCTGGGGCACAGACACGTGTGCACACTGGATCGGTTCGGACATCCCATCCAAGGTATGGTTCCCATTGACCCTAATCTCAGAATGCAGCCCATGGCTTGGGCTTCCAAACGAGGAGCAGGAAAATCCATAGTTCACAGCAACTTGTCTAGTTTCATACTCAGCCCTCCTGTCTTGATGACGAAGAGGATGATGGTGCTGACGACAGATTATTTCACATGCATACCACCCAAAAGCCAAAGTTCTCTGGGCAATTTACAACAGTACAGTGGCTCTCGGTGTAGTGGCTTCTGGGGGCGGGGGAGGGGGCGCTGACCACTCCCTGCTTTTGGGGAGAACAAAAAAAAATCAATTGTGTTCATTGTCTGACTGTGAAAGAGACAGGCAACACCACCACATTGTCTGATACATTTAAAAAAGAGTGTTTTCTAGGTGCTCAGTAACAACATGGAGGGAGCCCACCTCCAGCCAGGACCAGCTGCCATAGTCATCACGCATAGCTAGTGCATGTTTAACTTTCTGCTCTGACTCACGACAAAAAAAGTCACAGCAGGAAGCATTACCCAACAAAAGCAGGACACAACCCTCCAAAAGGGAAAATATAATCAGCAGGAAACATTTGGCTACATTTTGTGCATGGTTATCTTGACCCACACCACTCTTCAGGACTTCTGGCATAAAAACGTCTGCTCCCAGACTTAGCTTTGCAAATTACGACCTTCTTGACCGGGGCTGGCTCTCTATTTTTGGTCCTCTTGTGCCTCTCTGCTAGAACCCAAGCGACTGACCCTCGCTGATGGTTCATCAGGGGAAAATGACTTTCTTCACTTTGGTCCCGCCCACCAGCAGCGGCACACGTCCCTCCGCCCTCAGAAGCCGGCCCAGCCCCGCACTGGGACACCCTGCCAAGAGACACTCACGGGCTGGAGCGCTTCTTGGCCTGGTCAGCATACGCCAGGTGGTGGCACTCCTTCACGTGGACAAACAGGGCCTGAGTCTTCTGCTCGTAGCTGAGTGAGAAGGCGATCTCCCCGGTCACACAGACATTGCCAAAATCACCTGCTTCGCTGTAGATACTAACCATGCTTCCCAAAGTGCTCTGGGATGTGGGGGGTGGGGGAGAGGAGAAAAAGGAAGAACACATTGATCCCCATCTTCTGGCGCTTTCAAATTTCAGGCCAAATCTTCACCCATGTCACCATATGATTGTACTAGGTATGTTGATCAACTGCTACACATAAGAAGGTTTGCGCCAAGATGTTCCACCTCCGTTCCTGCCACTAAAACCTACCACTCTTTCCACCATCTGTTGATAAGAAGAGTTGCCATTTCAGAGAATGGCAGCGTTAAAAGCAGCCCTTCCCTCCCCATTTAAAAAAAAAACAGGTTCCCGTAGCCTTCTGGACTATTTTTGCACCAGCAATTTGGACTCCCGATCATCTTAGAACAGCAGCTCATAAAAAGCACTCTGCATCCCCCCGACAGACAGACATACAAACTGGGTTGCTGAGAAAGGACACTTTGGGAAAAGTCAGGGATAGGCTGTGTCTGCAAGGATCCATGAGCCCATTTCCAGCACTGACCATAATTCCTGGGCTGAGCACGTGCGCAGAGGCTCAGCTCCAAGTTCTCTTGGACCACAAGGTTCTAGTAACAACTGTGAAAACCCCACAAGTCTGAAGTTTGCCCAGCCATGCCCTAAATCAGGGGTGGGCAAAAGATAGATCTCCAGATGTCTGGGGGTTTGACACCCAGAAGTCGCTGCTAGTGTGGCCAATTGTCAGGAGTGCTGGGAGCTGAAGTCCAAAATATCTGCAGTCTCCTCTCTGCTGACCCCTGCCCTGGATCACCCACCTTGTCCTCTACCAGTAAAGCTCAATCGCTTTATCTGGGTCAGCAGACACCAAAAGCAGGACCTACCGAAGATGCGTCGCTGCGCATGCTTCTCCTGGCCGCCCTTCTCCGGTGAATCTCCACCAGGTTATCTATGTCTTCCTCCTCCTCCTCCTCCTAGGGGAGGAAGCACATGTGTGTGCATATGCGTGCAGAGAGAGAGAGAGAGAGAGAGAGAGAGAGAGAGAGAGAGAGAGAGAGAGAGACCTCTGTAACATCCTAAATGGCTTCAGCCCAACCCGCCCTGCAAAACTCAAATGCTGACTTCCCCCCTTGCATCTTATCGCCCCTCAAGCTGGCCAAAATTCCACGATGAGTTTTGTTCATGCCTTTTACTAGGATTCTGTGCCTCAGAAGCCTGCCCTCTGCTGAAACTGCATTCCCTGCAATGCTGGGGATCCGCCCCCACAGCCTATGTGCTGCTAAGTTGCCTCCACGCACCTCCCCAAAAGCCAGACAGGGCTCTTCACTAAGACAGCCAAGTAGCCACGGGAGGTGTCCCAGCTCGCCTCGCACGCCCGTGCAGTGGGGCCAGCCTTGCCGAGGAGACCACTTCTTCCCATCTGTCTCATCACCACCTCTGAGGTCAGGAGCATCAAAGCTTTTCCAGCCCTGGGACTGAAGGCAATGTCAGAGCAGCTCTCAAGAGCCACATCCGGGTGGCGGGTGGAACGTAAGGGAAACGGGGCGAGTCCAAAAGTATTAGCGAATTTCAGCTTCCAGCTCTTGCTGGTGATAAATAAGCCTTAGGAGAGGCTCACCAGCCTTTCAAAAGAGGGAGACACTGTGCAAAAGTGGAAAACAGCAAGCATTTCACAGCTGAAGCATGGGGGGTGGACGGAGAAAGGAGGCACAGTCAGTGAGCCAGATCGGAATGCCTGGCATTTGATTTGGTCCATCAAAGGCCTCCAGTTGCTTGGACTTCAGGAACTTTAATACCATCCATACACCAAGCTGGAACCTCTTGGCATGCAGAAAGCAGCTCACAGGCTTTGCCCAGAACTCCAAAGTCCCTTCTCTCTTGAAGGCTCACCATTTCCACACTGAGGCCTGGAACTGACTTGCTTCTGTCGCCCAGAAGCCCACTTTCGCTGCCAGGCTCCTCAGGCCGCAGGTCGATCACCGATTTGGTGTACTCTGTGACAGACAGGAGAAGGAGAGTCACCCAAGCCACTCATTTCAGTATCACAGAGCTGGAGGCAGGAGACCAGACTGCCATGCAAATCCAGCACTTTCTCCTGCCACAGGATCACCCTGTTGCACAACAGCATCCTGCATCCTGATGCTGAGCCACACATCCTTTCAAGATGGCCCCCAAGGAAGGAGGCCCCAGGCGGTCTTTGTCAGGCTCCTTCCATGCTGAGCTGCACACAGAATCAGCTGAAACATTTGCCAGCCCTTTGCAGTCCTTCCCTCATTAATTCTGTGAAAGGAGGATGGGCACCTGGCTGCACCCCCAAGTGAAAAAAGCAGCATCTGTGGAAAGTACCGAGAGCCAAAATTGCCTGATTCTGTTTGTTGGCAAACCAGCAACTGCAGGGGGGCCACCTGGTGGACTGTGGAGCACCCTGTGGAGTCCAGTGGGGAAACCGGGGGCACCAAGGACCCCGGACCTCCCACATTTGCCCACTTAAAGGTGTTATGCTAACAGGGCTAGAACAAAGGATCCGAGCCCTTAAAAGCAGGCAGACGCATGGACAATTCAATACATTATAGTTATGCTGCCCTGCCCCCCCCCAAAAAAACACACACTCACACCTTCAACAGCCCCACCCTCTACCACTTCATCATCTCAACAGCTCTGTGACACAAGTCAAGGTGAGAGGGAGCGACTGGCCCAACTCCAAGTAACGTTCCATGGCTGAGCCAGGATTTGAACCCAGATCTCTCCAGACCGCAGTGCAGCAATCTCCCCCACCCCCAGACTACTGAAGCCATCACCGTAGATATAACAGCATCACAATAGATACATCTTAAGGTCCCTTGCCTGAAGGCCTCTGAACTCTTCGAGGATTCTTCTTGAATAGGGTTTCGTTCTCATCAGCTGAGCTCCCAAAACGAGCTTCCTAGGACAGAATGAGACCACTTCACAGAACCAGAGCAGAAAGAAAACCCGTCTCCCCAATTCCAAATATCAGATTGTGAAGCGCAGTAGCAGGGAATCCAGCTCCTAGGGAGACATGCGCTCAGCTCCAGATTGGGGAAAGGCCCCGTGCTACTTGAGCAAGTCCGAGCTTGGCAAGTTCAGATGTGCAGGGAGGCAGAGGCTCCCATGAATACTGTGCACTGCCAAGAGAAGCTGGGTCCATGCATGCCGAATGTTCAGTTGTCATGAAAAAAGAGATTCCTGCCTGTCCCACAGCACTCCTGCTGAAACTTGGGGTGTCCTGGGAAAAGAGATCCCTGTCTTTCCCACGGCACCCATCCTGTGAGTTGGGGAGTCCTGGGAAAAGAGATCCCTGTCTTTCCCACGGCACCCATCCTGTGAGTCGGGGAGTCCTGGGAAAAAAGGGTTCTCACCTTTCCCAGGCATTCATACCCTTTCAGAGTATTGCAGCACTCAAGTGCACAGGAACCCTGCAAAAGGAGGCAGAAGCGAGGACTTACAGTGCCAGAAAAAGAAGGGGTAGCCTCCTTGAAGTGGGTTGGGAGGGTCAGGCTGGATGAATGGGACCCCGAAGGGTCAAGTGCTTTCGTCCGCTCTTGGCGAGGGCTGCAAAAAAACCCAGAAGGAGATAGTAAGAAAAGCTCTGCTTTGGAGGAGGCCAAAAGGTCTCTCTTGTTCAGTGTCTGTTTTCCCAGAGGGACCAAATGTTTCCAGAAAGTCCACATGCAGAGCATGAGAGAAAACTCTACTCTAGCATTCCTGCTGATAAATCCCTGAAACCGGCTTTCAGTAACATTGTGCCTCTGACATTGTAGTTCCATTTGTGTGCTCGTTTCTTTTTGATATTTGACCCCTGTGCCTCCAGTGCAACACTGATTCAAGGTGGCTTCCATTAAAAACCCAAACCAACAAAACACACAATAAAGACACAACATTAAACACAGTGGCGAATCATGGAAGAATTTAAGAAGACATATAGCCTAGAGTCTGGGTCACTTGTCCTCTGTGACTTGTCCATGGCAGCCATTTTGTGGTGGTGCCCATGGGGCCAAAAAGATTGCCTAGCCCTGCTGTGAATGCCATAAATAAACACCTCTACTTCCTCCATTTAGCCAGCAAGATTAATTGCAATGTATAAACCCAGCCTCCTCCACAGATTGATCTAATCTCCTTTTAAAGCCATCTAAGCTGGCTGCCATCACATTTTACAGCAAGCAGCCTTCACAAGTTATTAGTAGCAGTATTTATGTCCTGCATTTTTTCCTCTTACAAGGAATTTACAGCACCTTATAAGGTTCTCTTCCTCTCTGTTTTATCTTCACAACCACCCTGTGAGGTAGGTTATAGACTAAGGGTCCCGGCCAGGCATGTGCATGCTGGCTTCTTGTCTGAGGCATCCCATGCAGGTTAGACCTGTGGGCACACTCCAGCCTACGTACTGGAGACGAATGTCCCTAATGGCCGGCTGGCTGGCCGCTCACACTCACCCCACTCGCTCCCCGGTCCCCTCGCTCTGCCTCAGCTGGACTCAACCGACTTAACTGCCCAGAATGCTCCAAGGATGCTCCAGCTTCCAGCGTTCCAAAGAGGCAGGGATGGGGAGAGGCAGAATGCGGAACCTGTTGACTACAACTCCCAGAAGCCCCCACCACCATCTCCAAAGGTCAGGAATGCTGGAAGCTGAAATCCAGTATGGTGGGCAACCCACCTCCTGCACACTCCAATGCCAAGTGGTGCAGCAAAGACAACATTGGCGAGCCTGCATGGTGTAGCAGCTGGAGTGTCAGCAGATCTCGGTTCCAGTCCCTGCTCTGACCCTCCATCTGTCCTACCTCACAGCTGATCTAAGGCTCAAAGGAGGAAGAGGATGCATGCTGTCTTAGATTCCATGCAGGAGGAAAAATGGCAGGACACACACAGAGCAACAAGAAGAGCCGCCTCATCCTCTTCCACTGGAATGGGAGCTGGTCGTTCTAACCTGGGCCCAGCAGGTGTGGCACTGGGAGCAGAGGCGGGACGGAAGCCATCCAGGCTCATGTTCTCGGTCGACTCCGTGTCGCTCTTTGCATCCCGTGGCTCCAGGGGCTCTGGAGTCAAGCTGGAAGGAAACAGCCCAGTCAGGTGAGCCATGGGGGCCCATGGTGGTGAGAGAGGCGCCACGCTTCAAAGGCCGCTGGCCCAGTTTTGGTCTGTGGCAGCTCCAGTTTGATGTCCAAACAACCTCCACAGAACCCAGGACCGGTAAGGGAGCACAGCCTGGGGCTAAAGGGGCTTTCCTCAGCCTTCAGCCCTCAGATTGCTGGATAGGTGTTTACAACTCCTATCGTTGCCAGCCGGGGACTGTAGGAGTTGTGGCCTGGAATGCATCACATCTTCTGTTCCAAGAGAGAAAGCGAAGTGGAAGGATCCTCTTCTACTCACTCACTCTCCCCCTGTGCAGTTGCTTCCCCATAGAACCACCTTCTTCCCCCAACCCAGGGATGGGCGATGTGTGGCCCCCCAGGTATGGCTGGGTCACCAATCCCACCAGCCCCACCCAACCCAGCTGGTGGTCTGAGTCCTGGGGGTGGGCACATTCACCCCCCATCCTAGCCTGAGCTGCTTCCAAGGTGCCAGCAGCCCCCAGCCCCCAAACTGCCCCCATGGGCAGGCATCACCCAAGCCCAGTTTCCGCCTGCAGCCAAGAGAGGAGCAGTGTGGGGAAGGGCTGGAAGAGGGGCTCGGTGGATCAGAGCCCACTCCCGGCTGTGGAGGGCTCGCTGTCCCGCCTCATGGCCTCTCTCTTCACTGCTTTCACGGGCCTGTGGGAGAGGCGGAGAGCCAGGAGCGAGGAGGCCGGGGCACCTCCTGCTTTTCTTCCTCACCACCTCCATTTTCCTGGCCAGAGCAAGAGGCCATGAATGAGCAGGTTGCCCTGGTGAAGAGGAGGAGCAACGCTGGCAGGGAGCTCCTCCTAGGGGTCCCCGCTGGGGGTGGGCCCTGGCAGGTTCATGACTCCGCCTGGCCCAAGAGTCCCGGGGGATGAAGAGCGTCACCTGGGCTCCTTGCGCGGCCGCTGAGGACTCATCTGTGCAGTCTTGGGGCCGCTCTGGGGATTGCTGAGCTGGGCCTTCTCAAGTAAGGCTTGCCCGGCCGTCTCCCTTTTGCTGGCTTGAAAAACAGGGGTGGGGGAAACAAACTTTTTTACAGTTCACAGACCCTGGAGGCAACCGACACCCATCAATTCACGCAGCAACACCAAGTCCAGAGCCTCAGTGCGGCCAAGCCAAGGCTCCTCCTGCACCCAGCAGGGTAGCCAGCCAGATGCTCTGGGAAGGGCCAAAGAAAGCATGAAAAGCCTTCATCCTCCTCTTTCTCCCCACTGCTTGGTTTGGAGGCACATGGCTTCCAGATGACAGAAATTGTGCGGATGGCAGAGGTGCCCCTAATGGCCCGACAGGAGCAAAGTGATCCGAGATAGCTCAAGCAAGCAAGCCCAGTTAGATGGGAAAGTGGGGAGGGAAAGTGCTGACAAGGCAGAGGTGGGTTGCAGAGCCTCTTCCAGCCTGGGGGCCAAGCTCTGCTTCAGAGACCCACCGGGGGACAGCAGTCCGGCATGCAGTCGGCGGGGGCAAAAGAGGCAGGTTCAAGAACACCGAAAGCATTTCAGCTTCAGCCTTCAAGCTCTTGCTGCCCATATCCAAGTCTTTGAAAGGCACTTCAACCCCTTAGAATAGGAGTGGGGGACCCTGCACAACCCAATGGAGAGAGTTCACAGGACTTGGACTGCAGCGGAAAAGTTACTGGGGTGGCTTAATATGCTTCATTATGAGTAACCACGACTTTTAATTTGAAAATAGGAAGCACAGATTCTGCAAGGGGACCAGTCACTGACTAGATTTTGTACTTCCTTTCCTTTAAAGAGGGCCATCGAGAAACCATACCCAGCGGTTTGTGCCGAAGGGACATTCGGATGATGTCACTGCCCAGCCTGTTAGCAAACCGATTTACTCTTTGGTCATAGAACCAGTCACCCGTGGATTTCTTCAGGTCCCTGGAGGGGTGTGGGGGGTGCGGGGAGGACAAGGAGGGAAAAGGGCTGCATGAGGGGGCTTGTAGCAATTCAGCCCCTCAAGTCAGGGTGTTATGTCTGCTTGGTGAATCAACCATGCAAGCGCTGCCTCTTCATCTACAAGGAACTCATTACTTAAGCAAAAACAAAAATGTAAGTTCCACATAAGTTTGCATAAAATGCACACTTTATGCCAAAGCTGTTATTTGTTCTTGCATACTTTGGGATTCTGCAGATACAGTCTCATGATGGAAGCAGTAGGAACTAAGTTCCACCTATCCTAGGTAGTACCCTAGGGTGCCTATTCAAATGGTGCCCCCCATTGCTTCCTTAAAAGCAACCATGTTCCCCCCACCCCCTTTGATCCATTGCTAGTCGCACAGCCTTGGCAACATTAATTGAGCTGCGGCGGCCACATCTGCCCCCACTTGCCTGGAAGGCAAAAGAAGAATGCAAGGAGGACTGGATTGTTGAGCAGCTCCTGCATTATCATGCATAAGCCTTGAGAACTAGAAGCCTGCATGTTTCCCTTAACATGAAAGAGCAGAGATCCTAAGCCGCACATCAACGATCAGGCCACCCACGTGAATCCAGAGGCAACCAGCAACCCCAAGACTTACGCCTCCTTGGCACAGACTTTGCAGCACCAGGAGCTGTTGGCACTGTAGGAGCGGCAGTCCCGGCACACCAGGTGATTGCAGCCATGGCAGGTGTTCGCCTTGAGGCTGATCCGGCCCAGGCTCTGCTGGCAGCGGGCGCACGTCCGCTCGCTGTAGCGCTGGCTGCCCCTCTTGGCTCCCTTTCTGCGGATCTCCAGAAGCTCCTTCTTTAAGCGCCTGTTGGGTGGAGCGAGAGGTTGGAAAAGGAGTTAAGACGGTCCATGCAAGGAGGTGGCCCTGAATCCCCACGCAGCTCACCACAAGTGTCCCAAACCCGCAGACGCCACCTTCAAATGGATATTAGGTCGGAGGCTATGTTAGGCTAAAGCCTGTGTGTAATAGCTCCATGGGGTTGTGACGGGTCGGGCACAATGTTGCGACTAACAACAACAACAAAAAAGTGCAATAGCTAAAACGTGGTATGCATTTCAGATCTATTCTGTCCTGCAGATGTATGCAAATCTGCGGAGGTATATCATGAGCATCACATTAGTGACCCTGGCGTGCAACTTCCACATGCAGTGAGCCGACCGTGCAGCATGTGGAGGGCCTCTGGCTCAGTCCATCGAGCAGGGCTCTTGCACGTTCCCCCGAAGGCCCTCTCCTGAAACCACCAAGCAGGCCTGCATGACTTGAGCACCCCCAGAGCCACATGCAGCCCATGGGGTCTTCAACAACCACTTCGATTTTGCCGTCTCAAGCAGGAGGCAGCACCCCGACTGGGCAGAGATCATGCCTGGTTGGTCGCCAGCTGCTTTAGGAAGGGCCCTGCCACACAGCACTTAGAAATCCATTTTACTTGACAGGCAATGAATTGGACACTTTGCTCCCCAAAGGGCATTTCTTAACCCATTCAATTCCTTTCCCCAGTGGAGCTATTAAAAAAAAAGTATTCCAGCAGCCAGCTGGCTAGCCAGCCATGCTCCTTTCCAAGAGACTCCATTCCATTTCTACTTGCTAAACAGAAAGTCAACACCCTAAAGGAGAGGTATATGACCACAGGCACCCTCAATACTTGGATACAACAAACCATATAAAACAAATGTATTGTAAGCCACCTAGGAAGGTCTCAACAGTTATAGGCAGTCTATAAATACGTGTATAAATAAATAATCTGTGAGTATCAGTCAAGTTGACCAGAGCTGATAGAAGTTGGGGTCCTTCTGGGATACATCTGTACTTTACCAGGATGTCAAAAGAGATTTGCAACACTTTGGGCTCCTCTTGGCCTTTTATTAGCCTGATAGCTTTGGCAAATACTCAGCCTTGCCGAGCACAGACACCTCCCGATTGCATTCTCACCTAATTCTCCTCTCTTCCGCCTTCCGCAGCTCTTCATCTCGCTGGAGGACCTGGAGGATCAAATCCCTCTCAGCATCCGAAAGGAACGACAGATCAACAGCCTCCATCTTGACCTCTGCCTGGAAATCAGCTTCTCCTTCCCTGGGTGCAGCTGCAGCTTCCCAAAACTGGAAAAGAAAATTAAGGGTTGTAATGGCAAGACACTACAGCTTCATCCAACCCACTGATCTAACCCTCAGTTCACCAGACCCTAAACTAGTCATTACCTCTGAAAGCAACTGACCTGCTAGATTAGTTAAACTAGAGGTTTCCAGCTTCTTTCAGCCCAGGGGCTGAATTCAATTTTAGAGAAGATCTCTGTGAAGAATTCCAGAGGTGGGCAGGGCAAAAATACCAAAGGTACCAGCATATCCTCACCTAGAGCTCTTACTGACTGTAACTTAGCCTCACAGGTGGCGTTTTGATCTCTCAGGAAGGGTGGAAAACTGACAACACACAAAAGTCACCAAATGTTGGAGGCCAAAGGAAAGGGGTGAGGGGGCGGGGGGTCATCTGCGGAACCTCTGGGCCTGGGTTTCAACACCACTGACCTAAGCCAAGCCTAGATGTTTTAAAACCAGGCAAGTTCTTTGCATTGTTTTGCTGCGGGTTTTTTTCCCCCTCAAATTTATACACCACGAGTAGCCCAACAGGGCTTTCTAAGCAGCTAGCAACATCTTAAAAATACAATCAATTAATATAATTAATTAGGCAGTACAATTAAATTACAAGCACAGGGGGAGGGGAGGAGGGAAAACCTGCTGGAGCAGAGCGAGCTCTATAATCCGGTGTCAGAATCTCGAAATATCTGCAAAAGCTTTTGCTTGGTGCTGAAATGAAAGTAGTGACGGCGCCAGGCAGACCTCTTTAGGAAGCCTGGTCCAAAGGTGGGGGGTAGCCACTCAGAAGGCCCTTCTTCTAATTGCCTTCCCTTTTACTTCCTTTAGGGATGGCTCTTTCAGAAGGACCTCATTCCCAGATCCCAGGGTCAGGTGGGAGTAGGTTGGAAAAGGCCGTCCTTCAAGTAACCAGGTCCCAAGCTGTTTAGGGCAATACCTTAAACATTTAATAGTTGTAAATGCCTTAGTATGAAAACGGAAACATGATGCCACAGGAGGAAGCGCAGAAAGGAGCCGAGAAAGCCTGGGGCTTGAGGCAAGCGTCAAACTAAAGACTACCTGACTCGCTTAACCATTAAGCTTGCTCTAGCTCTGCAAATAAAGGTGGTGAACAAGCAGGGTGTAACCTGCAGCTGCCTTGTTTTTCCAAGAGATTCCATTCCGATCCAAACAGACACTCTGTGGCCACTGGGCATGCTCACTCATTACTCAACCACTGCAGAAGCCTAGGGGCTAGGCAGAAGCCCCACTCCCTTAGGCCAGTCACCTTACTGAGTGGAAAGCAGGTCACTTGTTCCACGCTTGATAGTCCCTGGGCGATGAGAGTGGAGCAGCCTTAGCATCCACTGACTCAGCCAGAAGCAAAAGGCTCTGGCAGCTGGTTCATCTTCATTCTTTGGCTCTTGGCGACTTGGGTGGAAGTCAGCAAGCACACTGGGGCATATTTTCCACGGGCCGCTATCTCTCTGCAAACCGCTCTGACTGGTCAGCAGCCTGGTTTCTCTGCCCTCCATCGGGGATAAGCCACATACCAGTCATTCTCTCCTCCCAGCCTGCTGTCTGAGTGCTATTCTGTTAACAGCCCGGATCGAGCACGGTGCTGGGTGGAAAGCAACGGTGTCAGGCTGGCACTTTTGATTTCGCAAAGATCTTAGTGCGGATACAGTCTCGCAACAGTCAATCACGCTCTGGTGAGCTCCCATTGAGGTGACTGCAAAGGTTACAGGTGGGGGTTTCTCTTGAAAATGGTCCAAACATTTAGTTAGTCCAAAGCAGACAGTTAGACAGCTTCCTGGGACAGTGGTCCTATTATGCCATTATCTCTTTTATCTGCACTGGCCGCCTGTTAATTTCCAAGCTCATCTGCTTCCACAGTGCTCAAGCAGATGCCTCTGAGCAGAATAATGCCCTCCTGTCCACATTCCTCAGCACCTAATGTATAGAAGCATATTCCCTTGACAGACACTGGTGGTAGCCTATGGCTCCCAGGACTAGTAGCCCCCTGACCCATGCCTGCATGGGTTGGGCTGATTCCCTTTTAAATCCACCCAGGTTGGTGCCTGTGACTACATCTGGCCATAGAAATATGTACAAACACACACTCAACTGTACACAATTTCACAGGTACCTGTTATCCTTGTACGTGTGGACTTGAAGGATTTATGCGGAATGTTGTCTTCCAACTGGAGAAGAAAACATTGTGGAGTAGTGAGATTTGTGTGTCCAGGTTATGGTACTGATCACTTGTGTTCTGTAGAGGTTTCAAATAAGGTTATTTCCTATTTCATGTTACCTGTTCAACTGACAGGAATACTGTCCAGGCTCTTGCTTACATCAGCAGGCATAACCATGCAAAAGGCAGCATGGAAATATTGCAAATAAATGCATAAGCAAACATAACAACTTGCACACACCTTCCAAACTGGCTCCAGAAGTAGTCACCGTAAGCATCTGGAGTGAATAACAAGGGCCGTGCCTTCTGCAACACAGACAAACCCAGGCATCTATAATCCACAGTACTGCTTACAAGCCAGAACAAAGCCAAGAAAATATGGTAAAGAAAAAGTAATCAGGGCACACGGAGCCTGAGACTGGCTGGGGTGAGCTCAGCAACACCCCTCCATCTACCCAGAGACCCCTGGACATAGATCCGGGAATCCCTAAGCAGGACATCGCCAGAAAAACTTCGCTCAGGTTCCAGATAAACCTGAGCAGTAATCACCTGGAGCTTGTCCACTTGAGCATATGCACAGCCAACCATGCAACTGACCCGATTTAAGCAGCAGCAGATAACCTGGAGTGCTCCAGGAGATTCGGACTACAACTCCCATAAGCCCTCCCCAGCATACCCAATGGTCAGGCATTCTGGGAGTTGCTTTCCAAAACATCTGGCAGGCTGTTCCCCGCACCGCGGGGCCAGAACACCTGGCACGTCCCCTTGAAGCAGTTACCTAATCCTTCTCTAGATGACTCATTTGGGACAGCACTCTGTATGCGCACAGAGGCGCGGACGCCAGAAAAATGCCGCTCGGACTCCAGTCGGGGAGAGGACAAGCAGCTTGTAAAAGGTGTTCCTTGGGCGGGGAGGAGGAAGGCTCTGGGCTGACAACTGGGAGGGAAAGCAAGGATCGCAAGCAGCAGGCGATCCCTGTTCCTGGGGAGGGAGCGCGGGGGGAAGGCGACGCGCTGGCCCCCTCCCCTGCCCCCGTGCCCCCCCCCCGGGCGGAGGGCGGTGTTACCTGCGCGACGCGCTCCCGGCTCCGGCTCCCGTCGCAGCCTCCGACCGGCCACCGCCGCCGCGGCCGAGGAAGCCGCAAACTTTCCCGGACCCGGGGCGGAGCCGCCGGCTTAAAGGCGCCGCGCCCTTTCGCCGGCGGGGCGGGGAAGGGCCGCGCTCCTGCCCCGCACCGCGAGGGAGGGCAGGCGCACCACGTGGCACCGCTGCTTGCCCTCCTGCCCCGGGGCAACGGGCCAGGCTGGGGAGATGGGCGACGGCGGGCGGCCCCGGCGCCAGAAATGGCAGCACTCGGGAAGCAGCGCGGGAAACGGGCGTCCTCCCGGGTCCCTCCTTGCCCGGGCTGAACATGGCCGTGGTGCCGCGGAAAGGCCTGCATTCATCCTCCGCTTGATTCCATCGCCGGGGGCACGAATCGGGATGAAGGATGCCGGCCTGCTTTGCTCCGCGCGCGGGTCTTGAATGGCTGGCTTAGCTGGTACCGGGACGTTTGTGTTGCCAGCAACAACCGCGCCACAAGTTCTCGCTGTGAATAACGGAGTGCTCGGTTTCTGCGTTTAGTCTCTGCCTGACCTTATGTTTACTGTTCTTCCTCTTATCCCAGAGATAGATACAGTATGCAAACATGAATCTTACCCTAATGCTCTCTGTCTCTCATGAGTGCTGTAATTCCCAAAAGCTTGTGCCAAATAAATATATAAACCTTTAAGTCTTGTTTTTACTGTTCATCAATTCCATCCTTTGCGAGGCTTAAAAACGCACTCCAGGATGGACTTGTTTTGGTTAGGGCAGCTTTTACCTGCTGTTCTTATTTTTTAAAAATACATTAATTATTACATTTCCTCGTTATTATACTTAAGATGGTCGATTCAAAAGGAGGAAGGGTAAAAATGAGTGAACGTGAAACTTTTGGAAAGTCACGCAGAGGTGGGTCACGGCCATTTTTCCCCTGCAACAGAGGGCAGGACAAGTTCCAAAGGAGCCAAGCTCAGGGAACCAAGATTTAGGGTGGATGCCAGGAAGTACTTCCTAACATTTAGGAGTCCTAGGGTATGGAATGGGCTTCCATGGGACAAGTGAATGTCAGACTGCAGCCTCCACTTTAAAATTACTCTTCCAAACCATATGTTTTATAATGGACCATTTAATAAGAGGAAGAGGTAGAAAAAGGAGGGATCTGCCGTCAGCCCTCAAATCCCATTGCTGACAGATCGACTGTTTCCAGTATGTAGAAGTAACCATGAAAACGGATCAGTGGCCATATAGATACCCCTAGTAAGCCAGGAGTTTGGAGTGAATGGTAAGTGACTGGTCCCTTGATGTACCCACAGCATGGACTTCTGTATTTTTATAAAGACTGGCCTCCAGAAAGCCTTGGAGCATCTCTATATGATGCTCAGGTAAGATGTCTCCACATGTTCCCATTCATAAATGCACATCCTCAAAACATCAGGACCTGGTGAATCATACATAAGTCTACAAAAGGCCAGCAATTTGGCAAGCTCAGATGAGGTCTCCTGTGAACTTCCCCACCATTCCAGGAGGTTGTATGTAGAGTGGGCCAATTATTTGCAGTGAAGCGGGTGGGGACAGGACCTGCAGCTCCCCAATATTGTGTTCATTTCAGAAAATGTCTATGCAACCTTTCATTTATAGAAAAAATATGAGTACTTCCCAAGATAATGACCGAGTGCCATAAAAGCACTCAATAAAGCAATAATAAAGCAATAAATGTAATAACCAGAGGTAGCTGGTGATGCCAACAGTCCGGGGAAACGCCTGGGCAAACAGATGTGACTTGCTGCAGAAGCCTCCACACCTGAATGGAATGGAGAGAACATTCCATAAAGTGGGTGCCTTTCGTTGCACTTCAGCCCCCATCATCCATGCTGGTGGGAGTTGAAGTCCACATCTGGCAGGCCAACATTTTCCCAGCTGTGTATATCAGTGCCCATACCAATTTTAGTTGGAAAAGGCATACTTGTAGGTATAACGTGGAGAGATCTGAGACAGGCCAGAGACGCTCTCAGTCATGTCTGTTCAATGTGACAAGCAATTATTTTTCCCACTATCTTATTTGGGTCAGCCAACCAGCGTGGAAGATGTGTTAAAACCGGACACCGAAAAAAGCAGCAGCCCTGGACAGCTAGTTGGAAACTACTGCAACAAACACCCCACCCAGCCCTCTTTGGGTTTCAACCCTCCTTGGACAATCTAACCTGCAACTGGAGTGGGCAACCTGAGGCCCTCCAAATGCAACTCTCTTCAGCCCTGGCCAGCCAACAGTGAGGGATGGTGACAGCTGCAGTCCAGGATCATCTGGAGAACACTCATGCCCATCCCTTAGCTAGGATCAACATCGGGCTCAGCAGAAGGCAGCTTCCTATCTCTTGGTACACTGCTTCAGTACTGGCAACCATCCATGGAGTCTTAGGTGTGTGGTGGGACCTCAGAATTCAATGGATGTATCTGGAAAGGACCATGTGAACAGATGGTCTGACACTGCCAGCAAAGATACAGAACTGGAGCTTCCGTCTGCTGGAGGGTGTGCCAAGCAGAGGAATGGATTTTTCACTGGTGCCAACAGAAAGACCACTCCCCCGCATTTTAAGTGCCCAGGAACACCCCTGCCAACTAGGTAGCAGCAAAGGTTCACTTAACCCACATTCTGCTTTGCACAGGACCACACAGCCCCTTTGTCAAATTCAGCACTGCTTTGGGAAACAGTGCAAAAGTGTGTGAGGAGGTGTCGTGTTCCAAAGTGTGCACAGGTGATCTAGTAAGGTGCTGGAGCTCTTCCCCAAGAATACACACACAGCCTAGGAGGAGATAATCTGGGTGGAGCCAGACCAGACCGGTTTGCAGAGGCCTCCGGCATACAGCCAGCCAACAGAACCTTCATGCTTGTGGTCTGTGAATGCTTCCATATTTATGAAGCATTTCCTATTAACGTGACAGCTTCCGAGCTTCTTGCTGCTGACTTGGAGACTTGGCTAACTACACCCCTTTGAAGAAAAGAGCGGCAAAGAGACGCATTTCAGAAGAAATGGAAGGCTGCCAGCATAACGCACCCTTCATTGCCTCTGGGCTGAGACAGGCTAACAAAGAAGAGCAAGCCCTCCTTTTGGCTCTGCCCAGGCTGGGAGTTCCGCAGCTCTGCCTGTTATCCTGCAAGCAGATTAGATTACATTGAAGCCACTGGGCAAAGGCTGTGCATCCCTGACTAAGCCAAAGCCAAAGCCTATAAGCACAAGGCGGTCACACGGATGGAGCATCACCAGCCCTGCTCTGGCTCTGCTCACACAAAAACAAACAGACCTGTGACCTGTGCTTCCTCAGATGTAGGTCCCATGGGGAGAGGTTCGCTCAGGGCCAATGCTTTTTTCCCTTTCGGCGCCTGGTGAAAACCTTATTTTCCCACTATTTAAATTGCCTTAATTTGTGGTTTTATATTTATTATTGGATGCTGTGCTACTTTTTCTCTTTATCCTATTTTATTGGTGTTCTTGTGAACCGTCCCAAGACGTCAGTGACGGGACGGTATACAAAAGTTTTAAATAAATAAATATTTATACCACACCCTTTTCCCACAATTGAATACAAGGTGTGTCACATGGTCCGTCTGCATTTTATCCCCACAACCACCCTGTGAGGTAGACTAGGCTGAAAGTGACTGGCCCTCCACCACCAAGGGAGCTTCATGCCCAAGTGGGACTCACAGCCCTGGCCTGCCCAGTTCCAGTCCAGCACTCAAACCACTGCACACACACTGTCTGATGGAGCTTACTCTCAAGTAAAGATATTCTGTATTGCAGCCTTTAGAATGTGCTGAGCATTACGGAGGAGAGCCTAGCCAGGGGCAGCGTTGACAAGAATGCCTGGGCACGTGCCAAAGGCCCAATTCCCTGCAGGAGTCCCGACAAAAGCCACCTAGACTCACCTCGCCTTTTTGCCATTGCGACCTGTTTGTCCCCTGCCTCTGACCTGGGCACAGACAAGAGACAAGGAAGAGAAGCGGTCCCTGTTGCTTCCTGGCTCACTGGCTCTTTGCCTGCCAAGAAAGAAAGGAAGGAGGCAGAGAAGGGGCAGCTGGTGAGACACGAGAGCCATGGAGGGAGGGGTCCAGCCCAAGGTGTTTTTGCCAAGGGCCCTCCACTACCTGGTGCGGTCACAGCTCTGGGACAGAGCAACTGTGTGGCACGTGGAAGCTTCCAGGTTGAGTCCCCCGCATAGGGCTGGGAAGGACCGCTCTGTTGGAAGCCCTGGTGATCTCTGGTGCCAGACAGTGTAAGGGCCGGGCCAAGCCGACTTCAGGCTTGGAGATTTGGGCTGAGCCTCCAGCTGCCATCACAGAACAGGCTGCTGCGGCCCACGAGGAGGAGGACACGAGCCCCGAGTTCCAGTTCAAATTTGCTGTCATTCAACATGGAAAGTCATATGGAAAAAAGCACATTATTGCATCATCTATTTATTTTAAAAAACACATTATTGTTCAAGCACATACAAATGAAGTATCTTTTTAAACCTGCATCAGGACATCCATAATCGATGCACCTATGCGCAGGACATGCCCTGTTTGTGGACTTTCCCAAAGGCTTCTCTAGGAACAGCTAGACAGACTTTCTGGTCCAAGCAACTTATGTTCCTTCTCTCTAGTATTTAATTGTTGTTGTTGATGGCTTATTTCATGTCTACTGAGCAGAGGGACCTAGTGTGCCATTCTGAGACAGACTCTGAACCCTGCTATTTGCACCCAATATTGTTTGCTCGGAGGTTTCCTGTCCAAGAGTGAAGCCACCCTCCAGGGCTACTCCTGCAGCAGAGACTGATTCCTCAGTGTGCTGCGCAGCCGGCTGGCACTTCAAATCCAAAACGAGATGATGCACATGAGGGGCATAAGATTTCACTCGCTCGATGTGCAGGATTTGGGTCCTCCATGGCTTCCCATCCAACTCCTCCAGCAAAGTCCTGATGCGGGTCCTGGTGGCTTCTGCCCACCTCTGCCACGCACACCGGGCCGCACGGGTTGGTTCCTTCTTTCCAGCATCCTGTAGAACTGGGTGGGCTTCATGGGCCACTCTGGCCTCTTGCGTGCTGTATGCCGTTTGCCCCAGTCCGTGCTCATGCGGCTGAACCTGCTCTGGCTTCTGACGTGAGTTCGGGGCCTTTGCAGGAAAGGATTCCACATTCTGGTGAATATGAAGGATGCCTCCAACGTCCTTCCGCAAAACCCAGCAGGCGACTGGCCAGCCTTCCTCTGAGGAGGGGATCAGCCCCAGATTCACCCTGTCAGCCACGTCCCTCAATTCCAGCTGCAGTTTGGGGGAGAACACATAGAATATCAGAAGCTGAATTATACCAGGTCAGGTATTTGTTCACTGAGCCCAATATTGCCCACTTGGATAGGAAGCAATTCTTCAAAAAAATGTGGACCAATGAACACACAAAAAGACAAATTTGCATACTGACTGGTGAGTAAGCATAATTAAAGCCAGCAGAGCTTACTCCTGGGCTACTGAATGCTATGTGACCACCAACCATCCTGAGGATTGCATCTGTATTTGATTCTCCAACTTTGAAGTTAAAGGTTAATTGATTTGAAAGAAGAGATGGGGCTTCTTGCAGGAAAAGAGGCCAGTGAGGGATGTTTTTTTGCAAGAAAGGATCTTGGAAAATCTCAGGCAGAGATCTTCCTTTGACCTTGGTCCTGACTGCACAAAGCTCTGTAATGACGACGACCCTTCCTCACTCCCTTTACATTTCCCTCTCCACTTGCCTTCTTGTTATCTCCCTGGTGGACCTGGCACCGATCCGCCACACCATTCAGCTGCAAGTTCTTCCGCAGGGCTTCCGCAGCATGGGGGTTCCACTCACAGGCATGGACAAAGGCGGCACCGGCATGGACTAGGTAAGGCAGGGTGAAATAGCCGATGCCTGAGGACAGGAGAAAGGGAAGCAGCTGGGTGCAAGCTCCAGTGTTAGAAGCAGACGATCACAGGGCTGGGGAGTCCAACCACTACTCAGCGCGGGAGGCAACCACAGCATCCCTGACAGGTAGCTGTCCAGGCTCTGCTTGAATCGGGATGGGCAGCGTGTTGCTCTCCAGATGTTTTGGTCTACACCACCCATCAGCCCCAACTGGCAAGCCAATGGTTAGGGGTGATGGGAATTCTGGGCCCAGACGTCTGAAGGACCATAAATGGCCCACCAGTGGCTTAAACATTCTCATGCAACTGCTTTCTGGAAAGAGTGGATAATGAAAAGAGAGAGAAAGCCAAGGAATCGGGACGCACTGTTTATGCTAGCTTCCCATGTGAACCAAGCAACCTTCCCGGCTTAACAGGGTCCAGGGACGCCTTAGATCAGCCTCCTGCAACCTGATGCTCTACAGATGTCCTTAGCCAGCAGGAAGAGACTTCCCTTTCTTTACTGCTACCCAGCGTGCTATTTACCAGCATACAGATCTACCACCACTTCCTCAGCGCACTGCAGAGATGCTATCCGCAGCTTCTCAGTGATGTTTCCTGGAGACAGCATGCACTGGGTCACATCAAACATGTACCTGTGAAAGGAAAACAGTTTCAGAAAACCTGGAGGAAGCTAATTTGCCCAAGGATAAGAATCATATCTGTCTTAGGCAAGAATCACCTGGCTGTAAGGCCCAACCAGCCGTGAGACCTGCGGGAGAGGCCCTCCTCCGGGAACTCTCCGTGAAGGAAATGAGGAGGGTGAGTACTCCGAGGAGGGCTTTCTCTGTGGTGGCGCCCAATCTATGGAATGTGCTCCCCAGAGAGGTCCGCCTGGCGCCGCCGTTATTTGTTTTTCGGCGCCAGGCAGAGACCTTTTTATTCAAGCATAATTTTAATTGTTAATATTATTTGGTTATTTTATCTGGCCAGGGCGACTTATTTTATATTGTTAATTTGTTTTATATTTTGAATGTATTATACTTTAATTTTATGTTGTGAGCCGCCCCGAGGCTTCGGCGAATGGGGAGGCATAGAAATGTTTTAAATAAATAAATCATAATTCTGAATGAATTCTTCTTCATTGGGGCATTCCAACAAAAGTCACAAGCTGAGGTGAACTGGAGCAAATACAGAACCTTCTTTAAACAAAGGAGAATATCCTTATTTTTATTATGGCCATTTATATACTGCCCTTCAATAGGACTCTTAGGGTGACCAACAAAAATAAAAAAGAACGGGTTCCAAATACAGAACAAATTTAAAATATATACAAGGAATAGGAAATGAGAGCATCGGATTACAAACTGTCTGGACTTTCTGGAAAGATCAGATTACATCATGTTTAAAGAAAAATTTCAACAAGGTGCAGGGAGAACTGAATCTTACCGGATGCCATTGTCCACGTGTTCAACCCAGCCATCTTGCCCCAGAAGTAGGGTCACTGTTGGGGATCGAAATAAATCCGATTGCACGCGCCCACGTTTGGCTAAACGCCGGGCCCCCAGAGCACTAGCGACCACCTTCCAGAGCTCCTGTCCTAAAAGGGAGCATAAATGTGATGCTTTCCACAGGGGAAGCCATAGTATCCTGCTACAGCAAAACTAACAGATTCTTATGGTATCTTAAACACTAACCAATTTATTACAGCAGAAATGTACATGAACTAGGATTCTCATCTACAAATGAAATCCTCAGTTGGCAGATATAAGCACATACGGGCTGCACTGAAAGGAAAAAAATCTATGCGAGTTGGAACTTAAATGACAGCAGAATGGAAAAGTAACAATTCCATCGGAATGGGGCTGCAGAACCTCTTTCTGAATTCTATCATACAGCCTAAGAAGCCAAGCAGGGTCCAGCCTGGTTGAAACCTGGATGCGTAACTTAAATGTTGTTAACTGCCTAGAGAGCTTGGGCTAAGGGTGGTATAGAAATGTAACATCATAATAATTCTCAAGGAAGTGGCAGGGTCATGTTCCAGCAGTGGATGGGAGAGAAGACAAAAGGAGAAACTGGGCAGCCCTCTGAGTGGGGTGGTGTAACTGGTGTCCTGCAACAGCAGGGGGTTGGATTTGATGGCCTTCGTGGCCCCTTCCAACTCTACAATTCTATGGTTCTATGAGGCAGGGCAAGAGATGCGAGGACAAAATGCCAGATATTTTAGTCTAAAGCTCTTACCACAGTAACAAAGTCTTAGTAAAAAGTGCACTGACCTTTTGGAATGGGAAAAAAGCTGCACAAAACCCAGAAAACCATCAAATGATCAGTGCTCAGGGAAAAGGAGAGAGGCCAACAGAGGGGGGCATTGCCAGTGGATCAAACGAGGGTCCACACTGGAGGTTCTGCGCTCCCTGCTTTAGAGCTTAGATGTTTGTAAAATAAGTGCAGTTGACCTTCCACAAAGGCATTTACTTCTAGGACCATCCTCCAACCCAACACATCCCTTTCGGTGCTCATCCTAAATACCAGCTAAATGCCAGCTTGCACCTTGAAGCAATCATCTGCTTTCCCTTGCTGTCCCTTATGCCAGAAACTGCCTCTCTGAATGCCTCCATATGACCCAACTCCCTTAGTTCTCTGAAGGCCATCCTAAAAATTCACCTTCTCTGGGAAGCCTTTGGATCCTCCCCGGTCCCTAAACCTTATTATATCTAAGGCAAAGAACGCATAATGGATATGATCACACGTTCTTCTTCTGCTTCCTCATGTCTGCATTTCCCCTTTCCTCTGTTGCTTCCTTGTGCCTATTTTAGAATGCATGTCCCTCGGCATAGGGGCCGGTCACACCTATTCTTATAAAGTACTATGTACAAAAATACTGCTAGACTTCTCAGTTGCTGTGTACCATCTCAACCGCTTTTGCACAAATTAGGAACTATACAAATGTTAAGAAATAAATGGTGGCAGAAAAAGCTATCATTAGATACAAATACATAGGACTGAACCCCTTGCACCTTCCACCCTGGAGTTTCCCCTTCAAAGTTGCTTTATTCAAGGCTGGCGAAGGAACGAAGGTAGAATGGGTCAGGTGAGGAAGGCAGGCAGGCAGGGTGGTATTGCATACAATGCAGTTTCCAATTTACCCAGTTTTCCCCAGAGCGTTGCCCTGAAGCTGTCTTCACTCAGCAGAATCAGATCACCATGCCGCTGCCAGGAGCATGGCAGATCTCTCTCCAGCTCTTCGGACCAGGGGATCCCATGGATCTTCATCAGGTTTTGTACTTCATTCCACAGTTTCTGATGGGGTAGCTGGATCCTGGTCACTTTTGAGGGAATGGGATTCTGGGAAGGGAAAGCAAATGGTCATCCAATTTCCTCCTTCATGCACACAAGGCTGCATTCTCCATCTTCAAGTTGTATTGAAACCTATTAGCAACAAAAGCAACTTGATAAAGAGAGGCTCAAATGTTACTTCTGGATCAGCTTCCGCAAGGTGTTCATATTTAAAGTTTACCACATTTATATTCCATCTTTTTTTCTTCTTGGAAGAAACTGTATACAACCTATACAGTCTTCCTCTCCATCTGATCCTCTCAAAAGCCCTCTCTTGTTGTAGGTTGGGCTAAGGGTCACTGTGTGGCCCAAAGTCACTCACCAAGCTTCATGGCCAAGTGGAAACTAAAACTCCAGTCTCCTGAGTGCCAGCCTAGCACTCTAATCATACGCCATGCCAGCTCTGGATTAGTCCCCAAAGCACACAGCTGCCTCACTCAAGCCCAGCCAGGCCAGGCCAGATGTTCTATGACAAATAAGTGAGCCAATTATAGTACTGCTACCAACACCAAACCACGGCAGCATCCGAGAAGACCAACCAGTGGCGCTGTCAAGAATGCAAGGGGCAGGAGAGGACAAACTACTACAGAGAGAAGCTGGTTTGACAATACTCTTGGCCAAGTGCAGTAAGAGTCTCTTTGTACGTCATGGCAGAAAAGCCAAAAAAAATTCAGCTCACCTGGATCCATGTCAGAGCACAGGTTCTTCCAGGGGGGATGCTTTCCTTTAACTGCTGTAAGCGCTGTGCAGTGAGGCTTCGGCCCAGCACAGGCAATGCCATGGTGCCGTTGGGCAGTTTCTGCACATTGTAACGCCTGTCCAGGATCCCCTCTCTCTGCAAGCATTTTCTGCAAGCCCAACAAATAAATGAGGAGCCCGAAAAGGCTACTTGCTGCACTTACTGGCATTCATGGCCTGCAGGGGAGAAGGCCCATGCGGAGTGCAGGAACTATCAGCCCTCCTGGAATCCCAGTCCAATCCTGCAGGGCTGCCCAGATGGTCCCACAACTGTCTCCAAGTATTGATGGCTGTGTGCCTCCATCTGTGTCAGCCCAGATGGTGCCACAACTGTGTGATTCCCTCCACTTTGAAAGGCCTCGCCTAAGAATTAGTTACTGGCTTCATAAGCTTCACACAAAAATGTGTTGGCATTTTCAGCTCTGCTTCTTTTGCTTGTGGCCCAACCCACCACCCATTCAGCTTCTGTGGAATAGAATTGGGACCTTGGGTTGAAAGAGGTTCTGCACACCTGAATTAGGCAAGTATGTACCTTCAGGTGTGTAAGTGTGTGCACATTTTTCTGCCTGCCTCTTCCTGTCCCAAACTTTCCCTGAAGTTCTCTGTTAACGATGGGGGCTTGGCTGCCCATCCGCAGGACAGCATCCTCTCTGCAAGTGTCTGCAAATCCTGAAATGTACTTTTCTAGCCATAAGAAGGGCAAGTCTCTGTACTGAAGTAAAAAGGCACCCTTAGAGATCAAACTTGGATGTGAGCTAACCCTTACCCTTTGCCCCTGGCAGGCCTAGTCACTGAAAAGCAAGTCTCTTCATAGCTACACTACCCCAGTATTTCCTCCGCAAGCTACCTCCAGTTTACTGGTCACATGAGAGCAGCCATGTAAATACAGCTACACTAGCTTCCCAGAGCTGGTGGAAGAGGAACCAAGAGCCCTATCCTGTCCCCACCAACCTGCCACATCCTTGCCAAGTGTGGAAGAAGATTCTATATGGGCACAGAGAAGTAGCCTTCTATAAATGCCCCATCCCCATTTGCCTGTGCATTTGTGTGCATGGATTTCCTTAATGCTCATGTCAAGTGCTGAGAGAGAGAGCATAGCTACCTCTTGCTTGTCTGTAACTATACCTGAATAGCTGAGTAAACTGTGGCTCAGTAATGAGAGCTGCAGTACCACAGGAACACAACTCCTCTGCATCCATCTCATTAAGGAAAAAGAAGATGTTTGCCTTAAAAGAGAGGAAAAAAGATGTTTGCCTAAAACAGAACCAGGAAGCATCATCTTAGCTGACCCTCCCTACAATGTGGATTTTTCTGCACAACCATTAAGAAACTGAAAACTTCTGAAATGTTTAATATTAACTCCTCTTTGTTGAGGCTGTTCACAACAGAGGAACAATCATACTACAAACTGTATGTAGAGATGAATTCTTAGAGCCTAAACCTATGATGCAACTCTCTTCATAAGGTAAGCATGTATATAACTGTAACCTAAAGTCTTAAACTGACTTTATTTCTGGGACCAGAGTTTGAAGTAAATTCCAATATAACAGTACAGTGCTATAACGGACAGCTATCTGAGAGGGATGGTTTAGCTTGGAGTAGGGGGTTGGACCCAATGACCACTTCCAACTCTACTATTCTATGATTCCAAGAGCTCAAACAAAACACCACCCAGAATTCTTCCAGTTTTGTATATTGTGGAAGTGCAAGTGAGATGTATTTACAATATTAATCTATCTGCTCTATTGTCCTGCCCACAAGCATCAGTGAAGTAATGCAACCTTAAAGGGCCTTTTTTTCAGCAGGTCTGGGTTTTCTTCAGCAGTTACTATATTATATCCTTATTGCTTTTATTGTTCTTAGCATTATTCTGGTTTTATGTGTTTTACTGTTGTATATCACCTCAGGAGGACTTCTGTCCTGAAAGGCAGTCAACAAATATTTTAAATAAATACATAGAACAAAATATTTGCAGCACATTTGTTAAGGACACTTAACTGTCTTTTTTGCTAACACAGCTACCCCTCCGGAAAAGTTTTACCAGGATGATGCCATTTTAAAGCCATTATGATGGCAACCCAACAGAAAAAGGCCATGGGGATGTTTATCCTCATTTAGCTTCATTTCACAGGCTGAAGATGAGCGGGTTATGATTACAACACAACATTCACAATTGCTTGGCCAGATGAGGCAGAATGGGAATTGTAGAAGTTTTCTCAGCCAAAACATGCCTCTAGGATTACACCTCCCATTATTTAATTTGTTTATAAGTCAAGCCCTTATACCACAGATTTAAGGATGGCACACCTACAACATCCTAAAAGCATACGTTAAAAAACCACCTGAACACCACACAATTAAAAATATGTGCACACACTACCTAAAACCTAAGTAACAATACTACTTACAGATGTAAGATATTTCAGCCAAGCAAAATACTTTGCTTGGCTGAAATACGGGCTAAACGCTAAATTTTCTAGTATTTGTTTTGAAAGGCATGTACAAACACAAAGGGCTGAGCCTGGCACCGAGAAGCCGACCCTCAGTCTCGGTGCCAGGCGAACCTCCCACTGTCAATACACGCAGGGGAGCAGCCAACTTGCTCTTAAACCTTCTCAACCCGCAGCGCTCCTCGTCTGCTTTCTCCTCCCCAATTCCCGGGACCCTTCTCTTCCTTCCCAAAAGACATGATTGAAGCGATTCACCCAAATTCCTCCCCTACTTCAAGCTAAGCTGCCGCACCACTCTGTAACATTCCCCTAAAATCTCGCTTTTCGGACTAACTCACTGCACAGCCGCAAGCAGAAACTGGGGCCCCTCTATCCCTCAGGACTCTTTGGTGAGCCACTACTTCCGCCTCCTTTTACTGAGGTCCTAGGGCCGACATGTTTGCTGAGGGCAAAAGGCCCAGTGCGATTTTTCAAGCGGGTTTAGACGAACTTTGGCGGATGTTCTCGGAGCCCCCGTAACAGGCACCATGCCATGCATCTTGAAACAGAAAAAAGAACAGGCGACGCCCAGCATGCACCGGGCAGAGTGTAAGATCGCAGCGATTAGGGAAATCGCCCTCGCCGCAGAAAAAGTCGCTGCGAGTTTTGATGTATCGCTGCTTCGGGCGTTGCTTTATAATAGCGGGGAGGTTTGGAACTGGGGGAAGTAGTTCATAGCGTAACAGCAACTCCGTCTTCCAGGCTCTGACAAAGAGAAGAGGAAAGGAGAAAGAAAAAGGACGAGAAAACGAAAAAAGTGAAGTGCTACGGGAGGGAGTCTTGTTTCTGACCGTGAGGGAAAAGAAGTAGAACCGGAAGTAGAAAGGAAGCCCAGGAACGTTTACGCGCAGGACCGGAAGTAGCGGCGCGAGGAGCCGCCGAAGTGGCTGCTGCGAAGGAGCCGGAGAAGCAGCGGGAAGATGGCGGGGCTGTCGGTGCGGGACCCCGCGGTGGACCGGTCCTTGCGCTCCGTGTTCGGTGAGGGCGGAGAGGGAAGAGGGCCCCTCGCGTGCACGCGCGGCCCAGGGCTCGCGGCAGGAGGAGCGGGAAGAGCGGGGCGAGGGCTCCCGGCGCTTCTCCCTCCCGCGCCGCCGCCTGCTCGGGCTGCGCGGAGGCTCAACGCTCCGCTCTTGTCCCGCCGCTCCCTGCGGGACGCGGCGCGCGGGCTTGGGGTTGCCGCAGGGCAGGCGGAGCGGTGCCTGTGGGGGACCCGTGTCCCTTTGTATACTATCTTCTGTCTCTCGTGCCCAGCGCTTGCGAGAACGGTCTCAAAGGCCTTGTGTACAGAATTAGAAGGGTGAGCAAAAGCGATCCTTTCCAGACAAGATGCCATATTCATTTTTTGTAGCTTCAAAAAACGAAGAGATTTGTGGCACCTCAGAAGACTTACTGAATGCATCGTGGCGTGAGGTTTTGAGGCTCTGTTACACTTCACTAGGTGCATGAAGCGTTACACTTAGCTGTAGCTGAAAGAGATTTTGTAGCTTTCGGTGATTCAAGTAAAAGGAAAGGAAATATTTTTTTGCACAGCTCAGAGTGAAGTTGTTATTTGCTGCCATGTAGCGATGGTTGCTAAACTCGATCACTTTCAAACAGGGAGATGAGATGAGCCTGTGGAGAAGACTGGTGAGAATATTGGGCTGGAACTTGGGAGGTCTGAGTTTTTGGCCCCCACTTAGTCATGAAGTCCGCTGGGTGATTTTGAACCCATCACTGACTCAGCCCCACTTACTTCACAGAGTTGTGATAAAATGAAGGGGAGGAGGGGACCATGTAAATCACTTTGGGTTCCTTGCATGAAGAAAAAGAAAGGCTATAAAAGCAATGTCATAATAAAGCTGTTATTGGCTAGTAGTTGTGATAGCCATAACTCCACTTTCAGAAGCAGTAAGCCTGATGCACAAGTTGCTGGGGAACATGGGTCGGAGGGGTGCCGTTGCACTCGTGTCCTACTTGAGTACCTGTACCTAACCCAGTGGCAGCTGGCTGGACATTATGTAAACTGAATGGTGGACTAGACAGGCCTTTGGTCTGATTAAGCATGGCTTTTCTGTCTTTGAGGTGGGGATGGGGGAGAAGTAAACAGTCAAGTCAGGAGAAAAGGAAATGCAGACAGTACAGATAGTAACACTTGGTATTCACAGTCACTATTCACAATACAGTCGCTGATAGAGCAGACCTTGGTAACCTAGTAAACATTTATTGTTATACAGTATCCTCTTCAAGCCACAGGAGATAGCAGCAGATGAATTCGGAAGTTTGAAGCATGCATTAGCTAAAACAGCCATCCCCAACATACCCATGTTGGCTGGGGATAAAGAGAGTTCTAGTTTGCCATTCAGTGACACTTGTCCTCCATGGCCATGATTTTTATTGAGGAATCTATAATGGAATTCCAGCTAATCCCAGGATTCCCTCATTGTCAGTTTTAAAACCTCTTGTATGGAAAAAAACAAAGGAATTGAGGATCTTAAGTGATTAGTATCAATTCATGTTTTTCAAATCCCTCTTATCTCCTGTCTTAACAAATGCATCATCAGACATCTCTCGCCACAGATATTTTATATAGTAACACACAGTGGTCCAACAGTTGGGTATTGCCTTGTGTCTGTTGCTCATCTCTGGAGAATGGGGGTGCTAAATAAAACGCTTCAAAACTCTGTGCTCTGTCATTGCCTCTGTAAGCAGGGACTCTGAAGCTGACTGTGTTTGCACTGCTTCTAATGTGACAATAGCTTAAGGGCACAACCATGCATGTTGAGAGAGAGAGAGAGCAAAGGCCTTCAACTCCCAACATGCCCAGACCATCTTTACTAGCTGGGGCATGCTGGGAGTTGTAAGCCTTTTTCTTTCTTTCTAAACATGTATAGAATTGCACTCTTGATTTTAGTGTTAATTGCTTCTTTCATCTAAATTAGGAATGAGCAACTTGTGGCCCTCTAAGTGCTTTGGCTTACAACTCCAACAGCCCTACCCAGTGTATCTGATGGTGATGAATTAGAGGAGTTCTTGTCTGAACATCCAGAGTGCCCCAAGTTGCCTACCCTTAATTTAGATTAACTGGACCAACTAACGGTCTGTTAGTCGTCCCAAGTGTTTCCCGCAGCCACTTTGTGTTACTGCCTCACTACCTGCAGAACCAGTCCACATTTTACTACCTTTTTGTGGTCTGGGTGGCAATTTGGGGCCTGGAAGAACCATAAAAGATAGCAGCAAGTAGGTTAGACAAGGATGTTTTTGCCCAGGTGCCCTGACTGGGCTTCCAAAAAGCGGGACAAGATGGGCTAAATGAACTTTGGGTACAGATCCAGAAGGGCCCTCAAGGTTGCTAATCCTGTCACAGCCTTCCCCAACTGGTTGCTTATGGGATGTGAGGACTACATCTCTGCCAGCCCCAGTCAGCATGGCCAGTGGTTGGGAGTGATTGCCGTTGTAGTCCGAAACGTCTGGAAAGCACCACACTGGGGAAGGCTGCTCTGTTGCAGGCACACATGTGGAAAAACAAGCCCCCTTCACTGCAGCAGGGTTTATTGCATTGCATCCTGTGACCAAACCATCATGTCGACCTAGCACAAGGACTGTGAACTTGGTGGATGCTTGCTTACGCCCCTAGTCTGGGTAATAAGTAGAGAAATAATCACTTCTTCGAGGTGTGCTTGTAAAATAGCTGTCTGCAGACCACCTTTCCATTGCAATGAAAGGGAGTTTGACAACAGCTGCAAAGACAAAGTAAACTTCTACTGAAGACTGGCTGTAAACAAATGCAATTTCAGGGGCACCATCTTCAGCTTGACAACCCTCACTTTCCTACCTGCCAAATCATCTTAATCGCCTCCTTCGAAAACAAGGCATTGTTTCCGTTTTGACCAGCAAGGGTACCACCATGCAGAGACAAGGGAGATAAAATGTGCTTGTGTTGTTCTCTTGGTCTTTTAAGTGTGTTGTTTCTCAAAAAATGTGCTGCTACTTAAGACTGGTGTGCTACACCTTCACAGAAGTGCCTGGGGATGTAACTCATGCATATTAGTAGGAGCACAAATCTTGGTTCCTGCTGGTGGCTTCTGTAAAGCAGGAATGAACAACTGGTGGCCTGGATTTTCGTGGCCTGCATCTCCTTGCAGCATTAGCCAATGTAGCCAGTGGTGAGGGACAATGGTATTTGCCAGCTAAAACCTCTGGCGGGCCGCAAGTTGCGAAATGTTGAATTAGAGAAATGAATCCAGGAAACAACTGACTGGAGAGGAATGTTCCTCCTTCAAGTGTATGGCATACAGCCTTATTTAAGCTATGGGTGTTTTCGGCGGGGCGGGGGGGAGGCTTTGCACACACCTCTCTGTATGGATTTTGGGATTTTTGACCCTGTGTGAGTTTCATAAGCACAGTTCTGGTAATCCCTCTCAGTTCCAATCCCAGTATCACTATCTACCCTCACTCAGCAACCTGTGCAATAGATGCAGAGTAGAGAATATTCAGCACAGTATCAGGTTTTGCAGCCGATTCCTGGGGTTCTGGTAAAGTTAGGGCAGGAAAATTGTTTGTTTAGCCTTTTGATCTCTTATGAATGCATTCCCCTTTCCAGGATTCCTTGTGAGGTGATCTCCTTGTAGATAAACAGTTATTTGCTAGCTGTTTCCATAACATGGTGCTTCGAATCAAAACAGTGGGAAATCAGTGCGGAGCAGACCCCTCAAATGCCCCTTCTGGCTGGAGCCGGCTCTGCACCAAGAGCTTTGCCTGAAGTCATGCATGCAGGAGCGAGTCCAGCACAACACAGGGCTAAAGTTCTGCCCGAGTAAGCAAGCATAGGAGGTCCCTGTTGTGAGTTGTCTCGTCCAAAGCTATTCCATTGGTCTTAGTCTTTGGGTCAGGGAGTGCATTGTAGACCATCTCTATGCTGAAGTATGGCTACTTTTGAATACCACCTAAGAAGTGTGGGGGTTTCATTGTGGGGAAAAATGAGAGAGAGTCCTTCCCAGGCTCTGGAAACCATGACATGAAAGAAGTAGTTCTGTTTGCTAAAGGGTTTTGTTCATATTCTCATTCTGTTGCCCCTTAGCATCTTAAAATCCCTTTCTTTGTTGCCATCTTCTGCAGTATTTATCCAGCATGTTTCAACTGCTGAGTACAAGGTAATGTGTGTATTAAAAAAAAAAATAAAACAACTGTGTAACAAGTGTAAAATCAACAATGAAGCCAGCTCCATTTCAAAACTCCTGATTGAATAATTCTGCCATCACCTGTGTCTGAAAAGCTGTTTATTCCAGCGGTGCCTGCTGGTGCTGATGCTCCACACCTCTCTCTTTCATGCAGTGGGGAATATCCCTTATGAAGCTACAGAAGAGCAGTTAAAGGACATTTTTTCAGAGGTCGGCCCTGTCGTCAGTTTCCGGTGAGAAATGTCCCTGTTAAGATTTCCTGAATTGGGGAGCCTATTCCTAAAAGGTTGAAATAGTGGGTGAGAACAGTATGAGGCTTTGGAAAAGATTCAGAAGAATTGGGGAGGATTTTAGCTGAATTCTGGAACTCCTGCTTTGTGTGCAGGTGTTTCTTTCCAGTTTCTATTTCCAGCATCCCTTGTTAAAAAAACCAGGTAGCAAGGATGGGAAAAACCCCTGTGGGAGGACAGCAAGAGTACGGAGGCCAAATCCAATTCACTTGAGCTTCCAGTCTGACCCTAAGAGTTAAATGGATAACCCCCCCACCCCCCGCTTTCCCCAACCACCTATTGTTTGGTGGTTTTCTGGCTTGTCTGCAGTTTTTCCCCCATTCCAAAAGTTTGAAATGTCTCTCCTAAGATACAGTTATGGGCAATAAGCACTTTAAGCTACACCATGTCATGATTTGGCACTGCCCGCTTTGCCTTTAGCCCCACCATCCATTAGAACATAGCCTCCGAGAGGTCCTCTAATATGGATTTGGGGCTTCAGGCTGAAAGAGATTCTTCCCCCTTGGAGTGCATACCGCTGGGTTTGATGTATGTTTGTGGGTGTGGTATAAAGCATCTTCTTAATTAGGGCAATACAGGCAGTTAGCCTAACTGCTTTTTCTGCACCTCCATTGTCTCCCTGTATGTAACAGTTGTGGTTATCTGTGTTCTGCCAATCAGATTGGTATATGACAGAGAGACCGGCAAGCCCAAAGGCTATGGCTTCTGTGAGTATCAAGATCAGGAAACGGCACTCAGCGCCATGAGGAATCTAAACGGCCGCGAGTTCAGTGGGAGAGCACTACGTGTGGACAACGCAGCTAGTGAAAAGAACAAGGAAGAGCTAAAGAGTTGAGTCTGAATGCCTCGCAGCAGGTGGCAAGCAGAAGGCAGCAGCTGTAATCTGTTGCTGATGAGGGTGTATGTGCTGAGGCAAAAATCTCTGATTCTAAGGTTCTTCCTTTCTCTGTCAGGCCTGGGCACTGGGGCGCCCATCATAGAATCACCATACGGAGACCCTGTGAACCCTGAAGACGCTCCCGAGTCCATCAGCAGGGCTGTGGCCAGCCTTCCTCCTGAGCAGATGTTTGAATTAATGAAGCAGATGAAGGTTGGTGGACGACAGGCCAGCCTTGTCTTTGATCCTTTGCTTGCTTGCCGCTGCTGACCAGGAATTCCGTGCAGGCCGGTGCATGGGCTAGTAGAAGACGGAAAGAGCTCGCTTTCCACCCTCTGCCAGTCCACCCGATTTCTGTGCTAGTTGCAGAGGAAGGGGATCCCTTTGCTTTACGACCAGCACAGAAGGCAAAGCGGTGCATGAAGAAGAGAGTGAAATGCCAATCTGCTGTTTTCTTTCCTCACCTACTAAGAGGCTACTCATACTGGCCTCTATTTCTGAGGTGGTAGGAGGTTTTCTTTCTTTATAGCTGGCATGAGAAATTATGCTTCTTAGCCTCTTAACAGACTGCTAGAAGGGGGTGGGATAGTAATTGTTTGTGTTCAGTGTGCCTAATATATGAAAGCATCTGAGGCTCTTGGCTCAGTCCCTAATCCTTCCAGCTGAACGATCTGTGAGAAGGCTGGGGAAGGCCCTGCACTGAGACTGCAAGGAACCGCTGCAATGAGCTAGTCATGAGGAGAGTTAGATTCTAGTAGCTTACTGGACAGAAGGGGCAGGAGGAGTCCCTTCTACCCCCCCCCCCCCCCGTTCCGTAGTGGCTGGGCATGCTGCAGAGTCAGTGTACAGTCTTTTCACTATCCCCCCGCCCCCAAATGTTAGTGGTAAATTTGGTGGTGGAAGCTGCAGACAAGACTGGCAGGGGGATAATGCTGCCCACCCCTGTTCTAAAAGCTGGCGGATGACCATTTAGCTGTCCGCACCTCTCGCCCTCCAGCTGTGTGTCCAGAACAGCCCCCAAGAGGCACGAAGCATGCTGCTGCAGAACCCTCAGCTCGCCTACGCCCTGCTGCAGGCCCAGGTGGTGATGCGGATCGTGGACCCGGAGATCGCTTTGGTGCGCTTGCCCCCTCTCCTGCCTCGGGGTGTGGTTGGATGGGGGGACAGCGCCCTCTGCTTGGTACAGTTATGGTCTTGGCGCACTCACCTTCTGTCTTTCCTACCCCTAGAAAATTCTGCATCGGCAGACCACTGTCCCGTCTCTGATTCCAGGCAACCCACAAGCAGGTCCGGGGCCTGGACCAGGTGCTGGGCCAGGAGCGGGACCTGTCCCTGGTCCGAATGCACAGATGAACCAGCCAAATGTCCCCTCTTCTCAGCCACAACCAATTGTAAGAGGCTGTTGTCTAGGGCTGAATTGTTCCACTTGTTGCGTGTTCCTACTCTCTCCCTCTCTCTCTCTCTCTCTCTCTCTCTCTCTCTCTCTCTCTCTCTCTCTCTCCCTCCCTCCCTCCCTCCCTCCCTCCCTCCCTCTCTCTCTCTCTTGCCTGAAAGGATCTGCTGGTTGTCATAGATATTACGATTTGTGAATATTGAAGGGATATTCTTACTTACTTATACTTTAATGTGTACGTTTATTGGGTTAGATGAATTAGATATGATATTATAAACTAAAAAGCTCAAAGGTATTGTTACATTACTTTTCTACCACAGATAGAAACATGGTAAAGTTGTTGAGTATATTAGCATATCAGGAAAAAGTTAATAGAACACTCAAGAGTTTATGGGCATTTGGGAGGAAGGGTGGCCTCATGTCCCTCTGGTGTACATAGGGACACTGGAGTCTGTGTTCTGTTTTCCCAGCACAGAATGTTCTTGAGCATACAGAAGTGATGTGGACTCTCCAGAAACTTTAAATGTGAAAGCATTCCCATTTAAGCATGGGAAGGCATGTTCCAGAGAATTATCTGAAACATGCTAAATTATATAATTCTCTGGGGCATGAGAAAAGTTTCCAATGCAGGCTAAATGTGCGCTGATGGAAATTAGCTTATGCAAATTACCCTAATTTACATGGAGCAGTTTGCATTGGAAAGTGTTCTGTTTGCATTAAAAAAAATTTCTGATGCCCTAGTGATTTATTTTAGCATATTCATTTCATTTATAGCTAGTAAATGACAAAGCTAAAAACAAATAACCATGTTAACATTTTGTCCCAGTACACCAAAAGTATTTGAAAGATTAAAGGAAAAAAATTAAAGCTAACAACATGATTTAAACTTTATACCATATAGATTTTTAATCCTGGAATATTTGTAAAATCGTAAAGCCTGCACATGTGTTTCCCTTCTATTGTTTTAAAATTAGGAAAGAATCAGTTGTACTGAAAACCATTGAGAGATGGGAATAGCAATTCTGTAGCCCATGTACAGTTTTGAGAGAGTGATAAGATTTGTTGGACTCCCAGTTCCAACTCAGAGCCAGGGATCCATGTAGAAAGTACCACAGCGGCTGCTTCTCTACGGTTATGACAGCAGCCTTGGAGAAGGAGTAAAGGGGGCATTCGGGGAGAGAGAAGAGAGCCAGCATATGCTGTATCTTGGTGCTGCTCCAACTTCCTTCCCCAGCTGAAGCACTGCAAAAAGCCGGCCATCTTGCTGACTTGCAGGGTGGAAGGAGCGGGGAGACGCAGGTGGCTCTGCCACTTCTGCCGCCCTGCATAGGATGCCTGCATCAAGCTTGGAGGCTCATGGGTATCTCAGTTGGATTGCACCCTAATAAATGTTAGCCGCACGATACCGACAGGTTTGCATAATACTGTATTTGCAGCTGGCCCTGCTCATGGTTGCTAATGAACCGCATTTCAAGAAAAAGAACTCCTAGGAAAAAAATTCGAACAGATCACTGATAAATAGCATGTTACTTGTCACGGGCGGTTCTTGGGAATTTGGGGAATCTTTCTGCATATGGATCTCTCGAAGCAGAGAGGTACACGCGGTTACTTGGGGCATGGAAATGAATCAGCCTTCTCACCACCACTGTTGCCAGCTGCAATTGCTCTTTGTCCTCTTTTTCATCTCTGCTGCTGCTGGCTTGACAGGGAGAGAGCAAACGGGCAGAGGGTCCTCCTCTGCGCCTCCACTGCCTGGGCCAGAATGAGAGAGAGGAGAACAAGCAGATCATGATGGTGAAGAGGAAGAGCAACCCCAAGGGGTCTTCTCAGTGGGCCCCCTCTGGGTTACAGGCACTTGGCAGGTGTTCTACCATGCCTCTCCCTGACACCGTCTTGTGCAGGGGCTGCATTAAGGTTTTGGTGCAGAGTGGCGTCCGGTCTTTCCCACCCTGACGGCTTGCTTCCTTTCTCTGAGCAGGGGGGCATGCATGTGAATGGAGCCCCTCCCCTGATGCAGCCACCCATGCAAGGAGGCGTGCCAGCGCCAGGCCAGATGCCTACCTCCGTGCCCGGCCCTGGCCCCGGCCCCCTGGCTCCAGGAGGTGAGTTTGCCAGCGTGGATCCGTATGGTTCTTTGAGCATGTGCCCCAAACGTGTCAGCCGTAGACATTGGCTTGAGGCTGTGCAAGGCTCCTGGGTCCCCTGTTGTTTCCCGTGCTCGAGAAAAACATCACCATGGCCTTTTTCCTCCACAGGTGGCATGCCAGGTGGTGGCCCAATGCTCTTGGAACGTGGGCAAGGTAAATGGAATGCTCAGTAATTTCTGGTGACGCAGCAGGTACCTAGGAGACTTCCCGTGCTGGGGCGCTGACACTTGTGGTGGTGAGGGTGTCCTGACTGGGGGATCCCCTGAGAAAATAAAGCCTCCCACCACACAACTAGCTAATGGCGTCTGACGCTCTCCCAGGCTCCCTGTAACTCTGTCCCTCCGTTTCTCTTTGCGCTTAGTGGACAATGAGAGTGCGGCTTTCCCCAGTAATGCTCCATCAGGTACTTTGCATGCACTGCAGAAAACAGGAACAAACCACCCCTTGGTTGGGCTCCACGGTCTGGTTGGGTAGCACTTGAGCTGCGTTCCGCCTGCTTTCTTTAGTTTAGCCAGCAGAGGGTGTCACCACCCCTTGAAACGCGCTTTCATTTTAATTTCGCGCAAGGTAACTGGGGCTTGCTTTGTTCTAGTGATGGAGGCCAAGGAGGTGTGTGTCTGGAGATGTTGCTGCATGTTTTTCCACCCAGTTGCACTGAAATGCATCTCTAGTTCTGCCCAGGAGCAAAACCCTTCAAAATTTGCTTGCCAGATTAAGCCAAAGTCCCATTTCCCCCCTTAGGCCCTGAGAACAGATACCTGGGAAGCAGGACATGATGCTGATGGCCATCATATGCAAACACAGATGTCTTGATGTATTTATTTAGCTTTCTCCCCTGCCCGTTCTCCGAGGGCGATTTGCAGAGTTGCTGTTAGCCTTTATTTATTCTCAATAATAGCTTACTGAGAAAGAGGAACTTGCAGCCTAATCCTGTGCATGCTTACCCCATAGGAAGCCCCACTGAGTTTGGCGTGGCTTGGTCTTCAGCAACTAAGCTAAGAAATGCAGCCTTAGTGAGTTTCATTGCTGAGCGGGGGTTTGCATCTGGGTCATTCACATCTCTGTTGTCATACCCCAAATGTCTCCAGGCACATTAGGTGTGGGGCCCTGGTCTGTTTTCATTGCAGTTGTTGTGTTGTTATTGTGTTGTGTTTGGGGAGGGGAGGAGAGTCTTCTATGGACTGTGTCCTTAAAGCAGGGGTAGAGACAAGATCATACTGGTAGGTCTCTGGGCAATTTGCCACAGACCAGCACTGGTTTCTGACTTCCAGTAGTTCAACATCAACAGCCACAAAATCACCCCCTTCTGGTACCCTGTACTATAAACATCTTCCTGGGATCAGAATTGGTCGATTGCAGGGGTGGGCAAGTTGTGGTCCTCCAGAGGTTTTGGCCTACTGCTCCCAAGAACCCTGGCCAGCATAGGGGTGACAGGTGTTATAGGCCAAAACCTCTGGAGTGCCATAACTTGCCCATCCCAGTTTTAATTCTGTGTGTAAGTTACCTGCACCACTTTTTGCTTTTGAAGATCTTAGGATTCTAGTAAAGGCAAAGCAGCAAATTAGAGCCTGCAGGGTTGAAGTTTGCTCACCCCTTCTTTAAAATGGCTTAAATAGGAAACTGGTGCTATGCAGTGGCTACTGCAGCCTTCGCCAAGTGTCACCCTCCAGATGTGTCCCTACAGTCCAGATGCCACCACAGAGAGGATCCCACCCTTGGAAGCTCCCCATCTTCCAAAGAGAAAGAGTCCTTCAGACCTCCATAGACAATCTTAATACTTAGGTTGGTTCAAATGGGAGGAGGCTGTCCTTCAGATGTCATCGTTCCATGCCATTTGGGGCTTTACACGGCGAAAAGCAGCTCTTTAAATTGTGCCTTCAGCTAAAAGATGCTGGTATTTTGGCTCCACCTCTGTGACTTTGACCCCGCCGCTTTAGAACATGGCCTCCCAATAACTTTTCTGAAGTGGAAATTGGCCCTCGGGTGGATCCACTGGTTTTTGTGTCGGAGGTCAAGATAAACTCCTAATGAAATTCTAGGTTGAAGTTGATGGAATCATATTCTGAAGGAAAGCTAACTCCTGTTCCTTGTTGAGCTGGGGAAGCTTCTGCAGAGATGAGCGGAAGGAAGGGATGCTCTAGCCAGGTGTGCGTGAGTGTGTGAAGTGCATCTCCTGATGTGACTGGTCTTTCTCCCTCTCTTCCTGCTGCTCGGTCAGGGAACCTGCAGCTCTCTCCCGTGGGACCTGCCAGGCCTGCCTCTATTGAGCGAGTTCAAGGTACCTATTGCTGCTGTTGGACCTATGCCTTGCCCTTGCTGCTCAGTGTGGGAAGTGTGAGATACGGTACCCTGTCTCCCACTGCTGCTTAGGAATGCAAGGCTCCGTAGCTTGGCAGATGAAGTGGAAGACAAAATGTGTGGGCAGGAACTGGAAGGGAAGCGAAGAAGGAACGCTTTTCTGCGTGCAGGAATTGTCTGTGGCCAGCTGTCCCGAGAGGAGGTGCTTCATGGTAGATGAACAAGATCATTTGCTAGCTTTTGGCTGCCTCCTGCTAGCCAAGCTCTTAGCCAAGATCAGGGCCTCATCTCTCGAGACATTTTTGTGTCTGGCTACCATTATGGAGCCAAAAGCTTTTGAAGCTAATCCGAAGTGTATGAAGCTGTACTTGTGTATCCTGACTTCCTCTTAAGCCTTACTCCATGCCTTCCCACGTCCTGTTGTTCTCTCCCCACTTTAATGTTAACATTTGAATTGTGAACTCCTTGAGGCAGGAACCTATGCCTTGTCATCTTTTCTTTTCCTTGTTTCATTTCTTTTCTTTCGGTTTCAGTCAGTTTTCATTTATTTCTTTACTATGTACATTGTTGGTGCCATGTGATTAATAGGACACCAGACTTAATGATGTGGGCCGTTCTGGAAATTTTTTAATCTGTACCATTTTAGTTTGCATAAGAACATTTTCTGAAGCCCTAAAATAGGGATAAGCAGAAAGTAGATATCCAGAAAGTAAATATTTATTTATTTATGTATTTCTTTATTACATTATTTATTTAAAACTTTTCTAGACTGTCCCTTACCCCATAGTCTCGGAACAGTTGAACAATAAGACAAAATAGAATAAAACACAGCGTCCTAATGTAATAGATGCTGTAGGTATCTCAGAAGCCCATGCCTGTGTGGCCAATGGTTAGGAATGCCGGTAAGACGAAAATGAGAATGATCAAATTTAGAGGGGGAAGGGGTAGGGTTAAATGTGATTTTTTCATCCCTGAACACCCCCCCCCCCAATATTTGGACTGAAATATTTGATGACAAGTTAAGGCAAACTTAATGAGATGTAAATGTTATATATAGATTTTTTTAAATACTTGAAAAAAATAAGAATGAGAATTGATTTATTTTATTTGTACTGCTACCTTTCTCTCACAACTTGGCACATAAGGCAGCTTTGTACTTCCCATACATTCTTTAAATTTCAGTAATAAACCAGAAGTAATAAATACATAAATATTGAGGACAGCACATGAATAAATTCAGCAGCCCAAAGAACTTGGCCTGCTGCACTTACAAGTGCTCAGCGGTAACTGTGAAATGCCGCATTTGCCTCCCTGCATTTGCACGCAGCATCCATTCGTTGTTGCTTAGGGACTCATGCAATACAAAATGTTCTAGGGACGTTCTGAGGAGAATTTCTGTGGGACCTGCTGCACAGAATCAACACTTGAGAATCTCTCTGGAAGAGCAGCATGCATTTAAATCAATAACTTAAAACGTATGCCACTAAGACGGGTGTGCATACATACACATCATAACTTTCTCTTTCAAACACACGCAGGTAGAACCTTGGTCCTTGTCAGTTGCTGTTTGCATGAATTTTAAAGGGACTTGTCATCCCCTCCAAGGTGATGTGGTAGCCATGTTGTCTCTTATTCTGTATTAAAGTGCAGCACATCTTGCAAGAAGCATCCCCAGCTCCTGCCTTTTGTGTGTGTGTTCTGCTTTACTTGATTCTGTCTCTCCCTGAGCAGACGGACCGTGGCCTCGTGGGGGAAGAGAGCACTGGAGCCAGCATTTTCGGTCTAGCCACTCTGTGGCTTCATCCTAATGCCTGCTGTTGCCCAGTAAAGCGGGTGCAAAAGGAACGTACTTCCACCTCAGTGGTGATAACCTGTTGGTTTTCCTGACATTTCTTCCTGAAGCTCTTATGGCCTTGTTTTTGCCTTCCTGACAGTGCCCATGCCAGACCCACGGGCTCCCATGCAGCGTGGGCCAATGCCAGCTAGCGGGCCACCCCCTCGAGGCCTTCTGGGAGATGCCCCCAATGACCCCCGTGGAGGGACTTTACTCTCAGTCACCGGAGAAGTGGAGCCCAGGTAAGCAGAATGGAGCAGAGTCTGTGCAGCTGCAGGTTCCACCTGGCAGAGCCAGAGTCCTTGCAGTGAGTCTGAAAATACACGTGGGGGGCAAGGTGTGTCTTCCTCCTCCTCCCTCTTCCCCTCTTTGTTGCAGGAGTGAGGTGGCAGCGTCATCTTAGTGTGGTCCAATCTTAGTGTGGCCTCTTTCTTGCTCAGTGCAGCTGTGTCTCCAGACTGTGCCACTTGTCACTCAAGTGAGGGCTGACATGCTCTTCAGCTGCCATGCTTGGCCCATCAGGAGTGGTGCCAAAGAGTCAGAGCAAGGAACTGAGTTGTTGATCCAGCTAAAACGTACTCCAAACAGGGAAGCCTGGAAGCAGAGGCCTACCCCGAACCGGAAGGTTTCAGCTTTGTATTTAAGCTCTCTCCCGGTAGTCAGCAGTGCCATGCAGGTGATTGACCAGGCTGGCAGAGGAGGGTGGAGCACCCCATCCCTCCCCTGTAGCCAAGTGGGCTGCCGGAGCAGGCAGTCCCACTTTTCCACACCCAGCAGCTGACGGCTGCAAGGTGAGCAGAGCACAGATGTCAGACATCCTTCTGCCAGAATTCCTAGCAGACTAATGGACATATTTGCAGGTCAATCATTTTCAGGGGCTGGCAGGCCCAGTTCAAAGCCTGGAAATAATTAATTGTCCTGGGAGGGGCTCCAAACTGCAGCGCTGGTGGCTTGCGGTCTGGGGCAGCCCAACACAGAGCAGAGGGATCCCATTTCTAGCTGCAGTGCTTCTTAGCAGAGGTGTCTAGATGGCGTCACCAAGAGCGGAAGCAGAGCCATTCCCGCAGTTGAATCCTTTCCCACAAATGAAGCATAAAGTAGCTTGTTGGGTGCCTGGCTGCCGGAGCGCTCTTCCACCCAAAGTGCAGGATGTCGGTTTAGTTTTTGCATGGAAGTATGTTGTGTAATACGAGTTTCCTCCAGTTGCTTGGAATGGTAAGTCCAGACACAGATTTTTATTTGCTTATGTATTAAATTTATACCCCACCTTTCTCCTGCAAGGATCCCTAGATGGCTTACGGAACCATTCCCTTCCTCCTCTCATTTAATCCTCAGTACAACCCTGTGAGGTGGCCTAGGCTGAGAGTCAGCATTTGGCCCAGCATCACACAGTGAACTTCATGGCTGACTGAGGACTAGAACGTGGATCTCCCCAGCCCCAGTCCAGTGCTTTAATCACTTCACCACACTGGCCCTCAGTGTGTCACATTCAGTAAACTAGATTGGCTGGCTGGGATGACTGGATGTGGGTTTCATCCTGGGGTCCGACAACTTTCTCTCTTCTCTCTTCCCCCATCTGCAGAGGCTACCTTGGACCACCCCACCAGGGGCCACCGCACCAGGGACCTCCCATGCACCATATCCCTGGCCATGACAGCCGTGGGATACCCCCCCACGAAATGAGAGGCGGGCCAATGGGAGAGCCCAGACCCTTGATGGGAGAGCCTCGGGGACCCTTGATGGATGGCCGAGGTAAGCGCAGGTATCAGCCAAGCAAAACTAAACACAGTAGTGCAGAAAGCGTAAACCACAGCAGGGGAAGCGATCCTTCAGGGAATTGTTCATCTTTTAAAAAATACAAATAAGGAGTTAAGATTAATGACAGTGTTGAAATATCTTTTCTTCATACACATAAGATAGTATGATATAAGAGGCAAACATTTTACAAAAGAAATATACAAAATGATATATTGTTTTATGTATACAGTATGTATATATTGTTTGTATGTATGTACAAAAATAGAAATGTTTAAAACAAAATTGTACCCCTCTCCAAAAGTAAAAGGAAGTAGGTAAGTATGTGATGTATTTTTATCCCATTCCTCAGCCCAAAGGACTCCCAAAGCAGCTTATGTGTGATTTATAAAATGAGACATTCTTTGTTCATAGACTTAGAAACTTAAAAGACACAATACATGAGAAAAAATGGAAGGGAAGAGTTAAAAATGAAGTAGCCTGATAGAATGGCCTCTCTCCTCTCTGTTTATACAGCCCTCTGAAATAGGTACAGTGAAAGTAAAAAACTTTTAAAAAGTCTCCCTATTAAGGAACCATAGAGCCCGGAAAATCAAGCCTAAAATCTTTAAAAAAGAGAGAGAGAGAGAGAGAGAGAGAGAGAGAGAGAGATAAGCATATTTGAACTCTCTGTAACTGCCTGAACTCAAAATACAGTAAAGTTAACCAGTCTGTATAGCCTATCTAGACATAATGCATGTCAAGCCATTTTAAAAGATGTAAACGTACCCACTGACAAAGGGAATTGTTATTCCTATTATGTATGTATGTATGTATTTATTTATTTATTTATTTGGGAGATTTCTAGCCTGTCCAATCACTATGCATCCCTGGACGGCTTACAAACAAAGCCATTATTGTAATTGCTGTCTCTGCTACCATCTCTGTCTATTACAAGTCTTGGTGGGGTAGATATATGCCAGATTATACAGGGGTTCCACTTCAAACGGTGCCTATCTAGGCCTGGAATTCTGCACTTCTGAACTTCATGACATTGGAGAATAACAATTCATTACTATTGTTAATAGTTTACTCCCAAGTATAGGTACAAAACAAGTGGCAACATTTCCCGCCACCTTCCTGATTCCTCCTCTTACCTTCACGCCAGTCTTTGTTACAGATTCTGCGTGTCCTGCAAAAACCCAGCTATCAGGTTTAAGTGAAAGCAAACAAATTGAATGTGCTCAGAATTAAGGAAATGAGAATCATGCGACAGAGAGCCAGTCTTCGATCTGGAAGGACTGGGTAGTAATCCTGAGTTCTTTGTATGATCTCAGTGAGGTAACTTCCAGTTGTGTTTCTCTAACTATAGAATGGACTGCAAGTTGTGTTTGTTTCCAACACAGGTGGGAGAGATCCAAGGGGCATGGAACCCAGAGGCATGGAACCCAGAGGCATGGAACCCAGAGTGATGGATGCCAGGGGCATGGAGCCACGGGGCATGGAGCCACGAGGCATGGAGCCCAGAGTGATGGAACCTCGTGGCATGGAACCTCGGGGCATGGAGCCCCCTCGGGGCATGGAGCCCAGGGGGATGGAGCCCCCTCGAGGCATGGAGCCCCGAGGGATGGAGCCCCCTCGGGGAATGGAGCCCCGAGGGATGGAACCGCCAAGGGGCATGGACACACGAGGCATGGAGCCCCGGGGCCTGGAATCCAGAGTCCTGGAACCAAGGGGGCCCGGCCCCAGCCCCAGAGGTCCCATGAGTGGAGGAATGCAAGGCCCTGGGCCTCTTAGCATGGGAGCAGCTGGCCCTCAGGGGCCTCGGCAGGTGAGTGAACCTCCTCCTCAGGATTGCATTTCCCCCAAGGGCCTCTAGCGCAGACCCTTGAGCAGCGTTTGCAGAGCCCTGCTGGTCCTGCCAAGAGCACTGGTGGGATGATTCTCACTGGTTCCTGTGAGAGATTGGCACGCCTGGTGCGGCCTCTGCTAGAGAATGGCAAGTGTGCCTCAGGTCCCTGTCCCTCATGGTACCGAGATCGAAGCTCAGCTGGAGGAGACACCATTCTTTCAGGTGGGGTGGTGACCGTAGAAACTTCATATCCTTGCCTGTGGGCCAGCCTTGTGTCTTCTTTTATCTTGGCTTCCTGGTATTCTACCCAGCTTTTGCCAGGCATTAGCCTGTGTGGTGTGGTGGTTGGCGTTGGAATGGGGACTGGGGAGATCGGGGTTCTTGTCCCTTCTCAGCCTGGAAGCTCACTTGGGTGACTTTCGGCCAGTGACCCACTCTCAACCTAACCTGCTTCACCAGTGGCTGTTACGAAGATAGAATGGAGCTATGTAAGCCCCAAGAGGAAAAAAAGGCAAGGTATAAGTGCAACACAACAATAACAACAGCAGTGGGAATAGCACTAAAACCCTAGTTATCCTGTTCAAGTAAGGAGCTGGGAAAAACACTGATCAGAGAGTCAGGCGGGACGGAATGACTAATTTCATTCAACACTGAGATCAGAAATTAAATTGGCTGGATTTAGCAGATTGCTGCTGCTCCTGGGATAACTGGCAAAATTCTCTCATCAATTCTGTATAAATGGTTCCCTTGCAATTGCTGGCTTCCCCTTGGTAGTGCTGCCAAAAGAAAGCTCAGGCTTGTGTTTCACGTGTATGGAAGAGCGCCTGCATGCACGGGCCCATGGCACCACCTAGCGTGCCCTCCAGGGCCAAAGAACCCACATGACTGCCTTGAGAGTGCAGGGCTAACGCAGCAGTCGCTTCTGGAGCTATTTGCAGACGCCGTGGGCATGTAGGCAGTTGCATCTACTTGATGGGAGGGGGACAATAAAGTTGACTAGGTCTCCTTTAACATCCACAGGTTCCAAACATGCCTGGAACAGCAATGCAGGCTGGAGGCATTCCTGGAGCAAGTGTACAAGCAGCTGCCCAGCCTGGGGGTTTTAGCCCTGGCCAAAACCAAGTAACACCCCAGGATCATGAAAAGGTAAGAAAGGCCTTGTTATGGAGGGTGTTCTTGGCATTCCTTTGGCTACAGCGACCTTCCCCAGCCTGGTGACCCCCACCAGACTGGAGAAGGCTGGGAGCAGTCAGGACCGGAGTCTGGGGCTCGAACTTCTGGTTCAGGTTGACCTGTGGTGTGGTGTGGGAGAGCATCCCTGACAGATCCTTCCAGGAAAATCTGCTTTAAGCGTCCTCTGTTCTGCTTTAGCATGTAATATGCTGGTCTTGGTGGTTTGCTATTGTTCTAGCGCATCATTTTTATTGTTGCTTGATTTCTATGGTCACTTTTTTGTGCTGATTGTTAGTCACCCTCAGTGTGAAACTAGGTAGGGTAGGAGTTCTTAAATGCAATCGCAAATAAATGGACTGGGATTTTCCCTACTGATTTCAGTGAGAACATCTCAGTTAACCATGACTGTGGTTAACACTCTCCACCTTTTACTTTGGGCTGAATTGGTCTACAGCAATGCATCCCATATATGGATGAGCAGGCAGAAGAAATAAGAAGCCAGAAGTGTTCAAAGGAGAAAACTTCTGAAACATCCAAGGAAAGGGAACATTCTAGAGGACTGGATGTTCTGTACAGAAGACCATTTGTTTTTCAGACTTTTTAAAAATCCATTGAAACCTGGATGCATCTGTACCGTTTTCTTCCATCTCTTCCTAGGCTGCGCTCATCATGCAGGTCCTCCAACTGACAGCAGACCAGATAGCTATGTTGCCCCCAGAGCAAAGGCAGAGCATTCTGATCCTGAAAGAGCAGATACAGAAGTCCACCGGTGCCCCATGATCTGCATTCTTTGGGTAACATGCAAGCGAAGAGGATGGTGAAATTGCAGTCAGCTCTGTGCAATAGCATCAGATCTTTCCAAGCCCAGCTGGAGAGGGGGGACATTTGCTTCTGTCTGGGCTCCCAGTTAGTTAGCTTGCTGATTCGTTCTCTGCAAGGAACTGAGGTCAGGTGGCCCATCTCTCTTCTTAATGGTGTCCCCTTGTTTTCTTAGGTTGGACAGTCCTCTGAAGGAATTCAGCTCCTTGGAGATAGCACTGAAGGCAGCTTACATGCCCTTTCCTTGTCTGAGCCACAACAGCAGCAAGGGGAAGGTTCTCCCTTTCCCCCAGCCCAGATTGTTCATTTTCATTCTCCCCTCATTTTGTTCCTCCTCATGTTTCAAATAAAACTATCTTGGATTGAGTAAACCACTGCAGCATGAATCTGCCTTATACTACCTGGCTTCTTCTCTCTCTGGGCGAAGTTCAGCTGAGATGCCTGGGGGCATTCCCTGCCAGTGTTTACATTTCCTTTAAAAATTCCTTTAGATTGAAATTCTCCTGTTGCCTAATCACAAAAGGCAAAAGTTGCCCCAGGCAAGAAGCTTACTGCACTTTGGAAGGTGAGTTTAAGGGCATAAGGAGAGCTGTGCTCAATTGAACAATAGGCCTGCCTGCTCCAGCATCCTCTTCCCACAGTGTCCGAACAGATACCAAGGGAAATCCTCCTGGAGCCTAGCCATGAGCAGAATCTAGCACCCTCCTGTTGTGTAAACGGTGCTTGATCAAGAGGAAAATCAAGAGGGAAATCCGGGAGAAGGACAAGATGATGTCGGTGGTATATTTGTTTCTTCAGTATAGTTGCCAGCCAGCATGTAGCACCAGAAGGTCTCTTGTGAGTACATAAATTGGATCTGAAAGTCCTGTTGTGGCTTTAAACCGCGCACTTCCTTTGCACGAAAGTGCTTGAAGGCCTGCCTCGCCCAGCATTCTGTTCCCGCAGTGGCCAACCAAGTACCTGTGGGAAGCCCTGGAACAGGACACGAGTGCAGCAGTGCCCTTCTGTTCATCGTCTCCACCAGCCGGCACTGGGAGACATACTGCCTCCTCCTGGAGCAAAGGGAGATGCGCCAGAACTAGTAGCCATCAATAGCCTTCTCGGCCATCAAGTTGCCTAACCTCTTTTTAAATCCCTCCAAGTTGGTTGCCCTTGCTGCGTTTTGTGAAAGTGAACGCCATGGCTGAAATTTCCACAGCCACTAAGCACGCTGCACTGTGCACCCTCCCCGCCTTAATGCGTATCGAGAGGAGCGCATTTGCAGCTGTATGGTGCAACTGTTTCTCCCACATGCGAGCCTCTCAGTTGGATGCAACATGGTGCAGAGCTGTGGGCGTCCACTGCCCCCTGCCACACAGGGACATGCGGAGGGTTACATAGGATGGGGGTGTGCATCTGTAGATCCCATACCTGCCCATCCAAGATCTGGGCAACTTATCCTCTCCTGTTATGTAGCAGATTAGGTATATGAGGCGTACTGTCATGCCCCCTCTGCAGGACTCCCTCTTCAGAAGATGATCAGGTACTCCCAGATCAAATTATTACCCATGTCTGGGGACCTTGAGGTAGATCAGGGAGCTCTTGGGCCCTTTGGAAAGACCCCAACCTTCAACATAGGATTAACCCCCTCCAAGTCTTGGAGGAAGGCACTGGCCCCCTGGAAACGCAAGGTTCTAAAAGTTCAGCTTCAGTTAGCTGCCTGATACAGAAGGGCCCACTTAAGGAAATGGGATTCCTCACAAGTAAATATTTACTCATGACCAAGAATAGACTTACTCAGAGCTTGTTAACTTGCAGGGTGTGGTATCCAATATCTGACTTCATTATCAATAGATTGGGTATTATTCAATCTCCTTTTATAGTTCAGGTGTATTTCTTTCTGGGAAAGTCCTCAGTGCAGTTTCTGGCAAACAGACTAAAAGTATTTGCCAGTCCTTGTGCAGGTGCAAGAAAAGCACAGAAAAAGAAACTGCCCCAGAATCTCTACTGCAGATTTTTTCTTCATTCTCAAAGTAATTGTCTAATCCTGGTCATAGTGAAGGTAGGTTTGCCAATTAGTTTTGGTGATTTGTGCCTTAGATTAACTCTAGTCATGTTAATAGTTCATCTATCTCCCAGTATAGATGAACGATTATAGTTCATCTATCTTACATACTAATTGGTTCTATTAAGCACATCTCTAACCCATATGTAGAGAACAAGATTGCCTTCCTGGGAAGGTTTGTTCAAATGGCATGCTTTTAGTGCTGGAATAGTCAACAGCCATTAGGTAAACCCATTATGTGGAGGGGGAAATAACCAGTTGAAAAGCTGCTAAAGGTACGTGCCTGTGCATGTTTAGACAGAAAAATGTCTTAATTTTTTAAAAATTACTTTTTCATGTAAAATGTAACCAAAAATACAACTAAAATAAAAACATAAAAAACAAGCAATTAAAATAATTCTTAAAAATACTGTGCTCACCAGGACCATAGGATATGCGTTACACATATAAAAACTCACTCAAACATCATTTCAGGACATTTCCCCCTTCAAGAATGGCAGTGATTCTTTTGATGGCTCAGATCCTTTCCCTTTTTTAAACACCATACTCAATAGAATCAGAATAGAAGAGTTGGAAGGGGCCACGAAGGCCATCAAGTCCAACCCCCTGCTGTTGCAGGACACTACATTATACCATCCCACTCAGATGGCTGTCCAGGTTTTTTGAATGTCTCCAGTGTGGGAGACATTCAAAAAGAATAAATGTGCCCCAAATCTTATTCACATTTTGAATAAACATGCCACGAATTTCATTTAATTTGTTTTCCTTTATATGCCCTTGTCTCACTTTAATATCACAGGTTAATGTATTGTTAATAGCTAAATTCCAAACTTCTCTGTGCCAATCACACAATTGCTAATATTTTCCTTTCCAGTTCTTAGCTGTGATTAATATCATAGCAGTTATTAAATTTGTTAATAATTCCTTATTATTCCAACACTTGTTTCTTATCAAATACTGAAAGTTGGTGATTTCAGGACATATTTCTATATTAAACTTAGTATTTTACTACTCTCTTTAAAAACCTCTTTCCAAAACTTCCTTATATATTCAGATGTACCCACTTCTCAACCACATCTACAACCTAAGTTGGAATATTTGTTATCTGTACAATTCAGCTTCACTGAAGTTAGGTACCACTATTACAGAATTCTATACAAATATTCTGTGGGTATGATGAAAAGGTTTTAAAGCTTCCAGTTCCACTAAAGATATAGTTAGACAAAACTTTGTAACATTTAGCAGGCACTGAAAACCCTGAAGGGTTGATGCTTCCTTAATTTGCAGCACTTAAGGTCTCCCAGAGAAGGGGGCACTATGATGCTAAGGATCCATTTTGAGCCATAATATTACCAACCTTCAAAATTTTGAGTACCAGGAGGCGGGTATCTCCTGATGAGTACAACAGTCAAGGAAACAAGTATGGTATCAAAGGATGTCCTTAGCCTGATCCTAGGAATTTACACATGCAAATGTTTGCTCTTCCTTCAGCTGGTTCTTCCTTCCCATAAACAGGAGGTTTTGCAAGAGGTCTAGTGAGTACTTGAGAAGGGTTTGTGTTGTTATGTATTGTGAATGGTGTGTTCTCTTTATATGAATATGCCTCATGCCAAACAAACATCCCAGGCAGTCCAAAACCTTGTCTAACAGCTTTATAAATCCCCATTTGTTAAAGTACTTTTCCAGAAAACATTAAAACACACACACACTATAGCTTTATGAAATGCATTTTCTTCGATAAATATAACAATGTAACAATTGTTTGATAATGTAACAATTATTTTTTAAAAATTACACTCAACTGTGCAAGGCACAGCAGCTAAAACAATGAAAACACCAATGATATCACTATTTTTTGTGCAGTAGTTCGAACCACCCGTGAGAAACCCAGTCATCCTTGCAGTATCAAGGAAGCCAGTTATTGTGTATTATAGATTATTCTTACTGCTCAATCCCACGACTAGAAGTAGCAACATACATTTTCCAAAATAATAAGTTTGTCAATGTGCCTGTGTCAGAATTGTGTTTCTGGGGGTGCTGGATTACCTTGGCACAGAGTTGAGGTGGTACAACTAGGAAAGAACCTTCTGCCAATCCGAATGTTTCACCTGTACATTAAAATAAAAATAACTCCTGCACTCCATTCTCTATAAATGATGTATGCACAATCAAAGGTGACTTTTCACTTAAGGGAAAATGTCATGGCTGGGGAAAAAGTGCTACTAAAAACAGTGGCATGTTAAATACTAATTTCCAAGAATCCTTGGTATAAATGAAAATATCATTTATTACCTTTATTTGTATTACTTGTCCTTAAAACTGGCTCTCCTTGCCATAAGAGGGCAGAGAGGTCGACAGAGGTCTTACAGGTCCCCCATCGAGACTGGCTACATGGCCATACTGCTTGACTTCAGCGTTAGAGCTAAACCAGCTGTGGCAGCTTCCTGCAAGCTTTCAAGACCCACCTTTAACACCAGTATGCAACTTAGCAATAGGATTTGTTTTTAATGCATTTCTTTTCCCTGAGAGCCACAGAGATCAGATATGGGGGCGAGGGCCAGCCTTCTGATGCAGTCATACAGAAGAGGAGATTTAGAAAGAGGTGAGAAATGTTGGAGCACATAAAATCCTACACACACTAAAACGCTCCCTCAACCTGGAGTCTTCCAGATGTCTTGAACTACTTATTTCTATTACATTTGCATGTTGTCCAATAGCTGAACTTTTCTGGACAATTCACAAATATTTAAACCGTAAAACAATACATAACAAATCAGTATAAAACTTTCTAAAACTGGATGAAATTCAAGTAACTACAGCATGCAGCATTCTTAACTTTTGGCCACGTTGACAGGGTCTGATCTGAGTGGAGGGCATCATGTTGAGAGAAGAGTACACTGAGGAGTTCTTTACACTGGGTCACCATCACCTTGTTCTCTTTACATCCATGCAAACAGGCATGGCCCTGAATCACCTCATACAGAATGATGCTGCAGCACCAAGCCACTGCTGAGTTACTACATTTACCATTCTTGGTATGTCAGTTTCAAAGATTCCTCACAGCCCCTTATAATAGATTAATTTGTGCTTGAAGTACATCTTAACATTGAAATAAGTCACTTGTCAGATTCCTGCTATGCACTTTCTATAAACGTTGTAATTGATCCCCATTGGAGCATTCCTTACAGGACGAAAATTTCCATGGAGAGCTAGGTAATTGCTTGAATGCAGTGTGCAAATCAAATGCCATTTTTGTGCCTGTCAAATGCCTTGCAAGAAAATCAAGGCAGCATATGGACTTAACGCCTTACCTGAGTAAAAGAGAGTACAGAACACAATCCTGCAGCATAATGCAAGGTTCAAATGCACAGAAGATCGAGTCCACTCAGAGGTCTCTATACGCTGTGTTTGGAGTCCACTCCTGTAAAGCCTCGGGAAGGTACCTCAATGCACTTGGTTATTCACGACTTTGCTTTCCTGATGGTAAGAGAACTGCAGAAACTGCTGTGTTATTGCAGGGACACATCCATCTCTTGCACGAAAATGCATTTGGCCTGCACCTTTTGTCAAGAAAGGCAGAGTGCTTCCCTGGGGGAAGCAGCGATGATGGTCCTAGAAACACAATCCAGCGAAGAGGAGGTCCACTGCTACACTGAACCTGCTACACTGGTGGCAGTCTTAGGTCACAAGAACCGTTCAGCCAGTTTGTACCTGCAAATCACACCAGCTGCATCAATGTCCAGGTGCTTTAGAAATTCTCTTTGTTGAAGTAGAATTGGACATTTCGGGGGTCCGGACTGGAGTGCTGACGACACTGCTTCTGCAAACTCTTAGCCAGACTCTCTGGTCCACACAAGAACACTCCCACTGCTGACCTGCCAGTCGCAAGGGTGAAAGACAGCACATCAAAACAAGCCCTACAATTTAGATCAAGCTGTATGCACAGGTCATATATAGGCTGCACTTTAAAAAAAGCAACAACATGGCAATTCTGTTTCCAGAAATGTTGCATGCTGTGATCTGAAAAATAATGCAACTTAAAGGAAATGCCTGTATGTTTAGGCTTATTTTGCACGGTCGGGGGATCCTAGGATTTTTCTGTTTGAGCATGCATTGGAGTGTGCCCCAAGAAGCAATATATTTTTAATTTGTTTAATGCAAGTACTTCAACTATAGATGGTGAGCGCTGTAAGCATTCTTTAGCCACAAAAGAGAGGCTCTCTAGCCCATCGCCTGCCATGGCATGTGCAGGTATAAACATCATGGCCCTTGCTTGAGAATTTCTTTTACTCATATTCAGATTTAATGCCTGGATTAATTAGACAAGTTCATAAGATTAATTGTTTAAGATTTCTTTAAGTAGCCCTCGTAAGGACCAGCCCAAAGCACTGAAGCCCTGTGACCTGACTGCTATACAACCTCCATCATCATTACCACAAGGACTTTCTTGGGGAGGGGCATCTATCAATGGCAGAGCAAATGTTTTCCTTGCAGAAGTTTGGAAGTTTAGCCCCTTGCCCGTGGATGGAAAGAAAAGAAGTATATGCAGATGTAAGTGATCGGCACAATTTCATGCAGATTCCAGCTTCCTCCAGTTCAACCCTGGTGTACAAGCAGCAGCCCTCACCTGGGGTGGGCACTGGCCACGGCAGAGAATTCGTTGCTCCACATGGGTCTTCCAAAGGAGGTCTTCTGCCTCAGGCCCGTCACCAAGTCGGTGGACCTGTCAAAGTTGAGGGCTGCTTGACCAACCTGGATGCCCAGCAAAGAAAGACAGCTAAAGTCAGGCACGTCTCACAGCAGCCGCAAAAGTATTCCAAACCATTTCCTAAAATGTGTCCTTTGGCTCTTTGGGACTCCTTTGTCACTGTGGTTTGCAATCAGCAAAACCACATGGTGTTCAAGTTAAATAAGCATACCTGTGCACAATCCTGGATTCTGCACTCATTCTGCACAAACTAAATGGTTTGCGACTTAGTTCACTTAGGAACCTGCTGAGTTTCTGCGCTTCTTTTCTGAGGCTTTAATCCTGCCTTCCAAGATGAGATCTGTCACAACTGTGGGCAGGACTTTCCTCGAAGTGGAACCCTGCTTATGAATTCCTTCCCCAGAGACATTGGCTTGGTGCTACTCTTTGCTCTTTCAGATGTTAAATCCAAACATTTGATGTGTGGTCATTTACATTTTAGCCTGTTTTAAAACAACTTTTATTTGTCTAATATTCATTGTTGTCTTTTCTTGCAGATCCAAGTAAAGGTTGCACTGGAGAGAGCAGTGCTTCACATTTCAGGGCAAGGAGCTTCATGGGCACCAAGAAGGACGTCCACAGGCACTTCAGCGCCCCCAAACCCTGGAATAAAGTTGCTGGTATTTTTTTTTCTTGATAGATGAGCCCAGCAGTTTTCCAGGGGATCAGGGCATCTTTCTGGGAAAGGCATCTATGGATCAGCAGTCCTGCCTGCCAACGGAGTCTTGGCTTGCAAGGGTCAGCTTTCCATATGGCAACTCACCATACTGCTGCTCCAGCCTGTGAGGAAGAGGTGGTAACTCAAGAAACCAGTTCTGCCAGACCCTTCCATCTCGAGCTCCAGGGAAGCCAGAAGGTCTTTGAACCAGGCAAAGGCTCCTGTCTCACGGCAGATCCAGTAGAAATAGATCTAGAAGCCCATAAGTAAAGAGAAGCAGAAAGATGGCTCTGATGAGAGTCACTACAGCCCCCCTGCTTGTCAAACTCAGGTGCTGTGCAGCAGTGGCATCATAATATTTGCAAGGTGGGAACACAGATCCAGCTTCCGTGCCTCCCTCTGCACCAGGAAATTGTGGGTTGATGCCAGTGCAAAGAACTTTGTGCAGTTCTCTGTCCCACATAAATCTACCAATCCCAGGCTTCCCTGGACAGGGATGGGGGCAGGAATTACTGTTTAGCTTGCATGTCTGAAGAAAGAGAGAAAGAGGGAGGACAAGGGACATACGTATTGCAAAAATGTATCTGGACTCCTTTTTACGCGCATGCATTCTGGATCTGACAAGAAGGAAGGAAGAGTGCCGCTTTAAGATAGAGAGGCATGTTTGCCTGGGCGTGCATCTTATTTTTGTCCTGATATTCTATTATAGGGAAGTAGGTTTTGCAGAGTCTTGAACCATTCCCTAAACTGTTTGGCTGGAGATCAAAGTGGGGAGAACATGCACAACACTGGTACTATTGAAACTTTTTTTTTTCAGGACTGGTCCATGGCATTTTGCGGCTTGAGGCAAAGGAAGCTGACTGCACCAGCAGCTCAATGTTACATCAGCATGAGAGCTTCCACCACAATGGAAGGCAGCAAGCTAGTTAAGGAGGACCTGGTAGGCACCTGCGCACACCTAGCTCCATCCTCCAACATCCTGCCGCTCTGCAGCATCCGCTGCCCTCAATGCCAGCCATGTTTTGTCCCTGACACTTTCTTGGGGATGGGAGGAAGGTATGCTCTCTAGTCCGAGAAACATGGTGATCGTGGGAAGCTTCCCACAGTGCAGTGCGGCAACAGTGCTCTCCTGCAAGCAGGACAAGCAAACATAGGTCTCGGAGCTGCAGGACAGTTCTACCTTACCTGTCTGGTTTGCAGCGTCTGGTCACCGTGCTGTAATTTGAACCAGATGGATTTCAGCACCGAGGCAAAGGGTGTCACCCCGATCCCTGCTCCCACCAACATGGCCACCTTGTACTTGAAGACATCCTCACTGGCTGTGCCAAAGGGACCGTCCACATTGATTCTGGAAAGGTGAGAAGAGCTTGCGTTATGAACGTAACCTCAGTCCTCACAAAAATAAGTGGCTCTTTGGGCAGATTACACGCGCACGGCCCATGTCTTCTGCCACTTGTACTTTCACATGAATCCTGCAAAACAAAGTGAAATTCAGCCGCTTCACACCATGCCACAAAAGCTTCAATGCCACAAACTGAACCAATTTAGACTTTTTGTAGATTTGAAGGCTATCAAACGATGAACAAGAAATCTTAGTCAATCATAGGCATGTCAACATTTATTAAATTAACTCTGCATTACTATGCACATTAATAAAGCCAGTATTCTGGGGCAAAAATAAACTCTATAGATGATTCATGCAGCAGGCATCATTTTTAAGGGGCTTTCTTCAGAGGTGTGCAAGGGATGCTGGGCAAGGTGATGGCACCATAAAAGATACCTCAGTGATGGTACTGGGATATTTAAAGGAATGCCGGTTTCCATATATCCCTACCGGACCACTCAGACCATCAGCAGCAGAGGCCCTCCTTCATTATCCTCCCAAATGAGGTGAGGAGGGAACTAGCGAGGAAAGGGACCTTCTCTGCCCTTGCACCTCACCTTTGGCATTCCCTTCCAAAAGAGGTGCAAATGGTGCCCGCATTATTTTGTTTTCATTGCCAAGTCAAGACCTTTTTATTTTATTTATTTGAGGATTATGTTTTATTTGGTTCCGCTGCTGGTTTATGGTTTCATTGTCTTATTGATGTTTCTGCTGTTCTTACCCTCCCGACAGCATTTTATATAGCACTTTTTACTGCATTATGTAATTGCGGTTTTAGCTATTCTTGTTCTATCTATTATTTTTATTTGTACTGCCTGTTGTGTCTGCAGCGTGAGCTGCCCAGAGAGCCCTCAGGCTATGCCACACCCCACCAGTGGCCTGGAGCTCAGCCTGCCGCTTACTTGGGTGACGTCGGCATCTGCAGCTGAAAGGTATCGATCAGCGCCTCTGTCCAATCCCCTGCTGCCCGAATGTGGACAGAGAAGAAGCTTTCCTCTGGTGCAGAAGTGATGGTGAACGGATGCCACTCCAGGTAGGAGATGGAAGGGCAGTTGAGGAAGACGTACTGTCCCACTTCCATCTTAAAATCCATCTTACACAGCTGCAGTTCAAGCACTCTTGAGGGGTGCATGACAACCTGAAGATAAAAGCCATTGAGATCTTAGGAGCAAAGAAAACCCAACCCAAACAAAATACTATTGCATGTGACTGTCCAGCATTTTCAGCTCGGTTGCAGTGGGTCTTGGTGCCCTGTCAGAAGGCAGGAGGGGAGACAGACCGACATCTTCCCTGGCTCCCGTAGGCACAGATCAAATTCCCAAGTCTCCCGTGGCTTGTGCCAGCAGCAGCATTTACCTTTGTGACAATCACCTTCTGGCAGGAGCGCCATATCCGTAAGGCTCGCTCAAAGGCGTAGAGAATGAGTGGGGCCAAGACCCACTTCCAGGACTTTAAACAAAGAGCAGAAAACATTCGTGTCAGGAAGCTCCGTCACCTCCGCAAGAAGGCGTTTCCTCAATTTTTGAAACCTTCCACCCTGCACAGCATTCCTCTCCAGCAAAAATATTCCTCAAGAACAAAATCAGAACTGAACCAGTGTGGGTGGCTGGGAGTGCTTAAGCTATTTTTAATTGCTCTTTAAGGTTTAAATTTCACGTAAATGTTCAGATGTATAATTTGTTCCCCCTGCCCAATTAATCACACAGTCATATTTCGGACTTGCCAAATATACAATATCTCAGCTGATTATGTACACAGCTCCTTAACACTATGGCTCTCAACGAGTCAACATAAATTGAATGTTACTTTCTAAACAGCTTTCCTCACAGCTACATTTCAGAACACAAATCAGACACTTTCAAAGGAAGAAAATGCATTTGGATATTCTAGTCTCAGTCTTCTTCAAATGTCTAGGCTGTAGTCTTCATTTGGATTGATGACTCAGCCAGGTATGCAAAATCTTTTACACATGAGGGGAGTGCATTTAGATGGTTGGGTGTAGTGCCTTTCCTGAGAAGCACACACCCATCATCCTCTGTCTCAGAAGTGCTTCTACGATCCTTATACATTAAACCAAGCATCACAAAGCAAAAACCCATTTCCCAATCCTGACCAGAGAGCCGGGGGGGGGGGGCTCTGAATGGGCAATCTTGCACTTTAAACATGTTTCAGTCATAGCATTGTCTTTCCTTCAAGAATTAAATAGTTTGTTTCCATTGCCTTGCTGCTAAGTACATTTATTTAGGAAGAAAGACAATTGTGTTGTAGAAAAAGATAATACACATTTAAAGGAAACATAGTAGCAGGAGCATCTGTAGCCAGGGTTGTGCCCAGTCATTGTCGACAAATGAGAAGAAAAGGGCCTGCCGTGAGCGATTTCACTCAGTGCAGGTACCTTGCTGGTTTGCCATTGCCCCAGTGACTGCTGTTCTCTGGGTGCTCCCTGTGGACTGGGGTGGGGGGCAGACCTATGTGGGTCCTGGGCTTTGGCCCCAGCTGCGTCACTGCCTCCACCCCTCTTCTATTTATTTTTATTTATTTTATTTATTTTTCAGTTTATATCCTGCCTTTTTCCTCAAAGGACTCAAGGCAGCTTACATCATTCTCCTCCTCCATCTTATCCCCACAACAACCCTGTGAGGTAGGTTGGGCTGAGAGTCATTGACTTGTCCAAAGCCACCCAGTGGGCTCCATGGCCAAGCGGGGACTAGAACCCGGATCGTCTGAGTCCCAGTCCCACGCTCTGAACCACTACACCACACTGGCTCTCTCTACAGCCCTAAATAGAACCACCCCTGTGCATGCCGTACAAAATACCCCAGTATTGACTGATATGATTTAGTCTCCTTCTTGCAAGAAGATGGCCTTGCGTTTCTGCAGAATTTACTGAACAAAGGGGAACACAGACTCACACTCCATGCATGCACTCATACACAAACTCAGGGTGTTTTCGCCTATATCAGCTGCCCGGAGAGCTGCCTTCTTACCTCAGCAGGAATGCTCCCAAACTCAGGCACCTGGCAGTGGTGATGGTCGAAGTCTTTCCCCCACTTGGCAGGGTCCTTGGCACAGTGCTCCGGGTCACTCTCCTTCAGGCTTTCTTCTGTCTGCCCGCGAACAAGACCCCTGGAAAAAGGAGATGCCTTCAAATTGCAACCTGCTCCGGAGAAACAGCCATGACGGGAAACGTGACAGCTCTCATGCAAGATCAGCAATGGGAGCAAAAGAGCATGGTATAGTGGTTAGAGTGCTGGGCGGGGACCCTGGGGAGCCACTCGGCCGTGAAACTCACTGCATGGTTTTGGCCCACTCAAGGATTCTCAGCCTAACCTACCTCACAGGATTGCTGTTGTGAGGTTCAAAATAATTAAAATTAAATAATTTTAACAGGAGGAGGATTATTACTGCTTTGGGTTCCTTGCAGGAAAGATGGAGAGGTGTGAATAAAATGCAATAATGCACAAATAAAGCCAAGCAGTCCCGCTAAGTGGACCTCTGACCCTTTGCCTCTAACCCTCCTTTCTCCATCGCTCCTGGACCTTGCTTTTTACTGGTGTGTGCTGGTTGTCGGCCTTTTAGTCTAAGCACCCATGCAGAGTTTTGTAAGAGAAACATGGCAGCCCTATCTCAGGTCCCTGCACCCCACATGAGCAGACACCTGCTCTTAGGGGAAGGAGAGCATCTGTCCGGAACCATCCCATAACTCAGATTAATAGCAGTGCCATACGCGATGCCGTGGATGACGAGGCCTGCGAAGTAGATGACGAAGAGGTGGTGAGTGTACCAAAAGACTTCGAAGTAGTTCCTGCGGATGAACTCCACGGAGGAAGTGACCATGAGGATGAGAGCGAGGGTGATGATCACCCCTGTTAGACCTGGAATGGTGGCGAAGGCCACATACAGAGGAATCTGTGGGTAAGAGCCAGACATGAACTGTAAAAGCACGGTAGGTAAAGGCCTGGAGGTGAGGGACTTTACAGGAAAAGTTTTGTTTCTGTCAGATGCGTATAGTCCACAAAGGTGCTTTGTTACAAGTGCCAGAACCGTCCTGCTTGTTCAGGCTACGGACCACCTGTTCTGGCATTCGGTTTGCAGCAGCAGGTAGCCACAGGCCTCTGGAAGGCCAGCCAGCAGGGCATGAGGGCAACCACTCTCCAGTTATGTTGGTTCCCAGCACTGGCCACCCAGAGAGCCAATGATGCTGGTGGGCAGCTTTTTAACAGATCCGCCTTAGGATTGCAGGCCTCCTTGGGACCCCAGTGCGCGGCTTTACCAGGCAGAGCCCGAGCGCCCTCACCGTGGTGTTGGAGTGGATGGGGTTCAGCCACCGCCCGTCATTCCAGTGGAGGCGGGAGACGATGGAAGCCAGGCTCCCGTCCGTCGCTTGCGCGGCATCGATGTACCACTCAACGTTGCACAGGTGAGCGATGACATGAATGGCTGGACGGGAGAAAAGACAACTCTGAGCACGTTCCTGACTCGGCTCTCCTGCTCACAGCAAAGCGGCACAAACTGGATAGCCACTGGGGGCGGAGGCCCACTGGCCGGCTGGGAAGGGCACTGCTTTGGCGAGCACGTCTTGGCACACTCGAGTCTCCAGACTGAACCCCTGGCAGCTCCAGGTGGGGCTGGGCAAGACTGGAGAACCACGTGGCCAGGCTGCGCAGGCAGCACTGGCCTCGATGGAACCGTGGCTTGGGCTCAGTCCAGGCTTTTGAGGGCCCCGGGAAAGGCACCTTTTGTCAATCTCAGTACACCTGTGTTTCCACCAGCAGTATCACCAGCTGCTGCTGCCCCTCGCCCTCTTTCTCATCATGCCCACGCCTTGCTAGGTCAAAGGTTGTGAGATGGGGGTGCATCCTGCTCCTCTTTGCAGTTCTGGAATTTTCTCAGCTAGGGCAAGCGGCAGGTGAGCAGGCAGGTGGGCCTTGGCAGGGTAGGTACCCAACCTCGTCTGTGTCTGCCCTCGTGGTCATTTGGAGAGGGGTGTTTGGGCCTGCTCCACTGTATCCAAGCTTCTTTAAACATTTCACAGACAGGAGACCATAAATCTTGATCATGATAAATAATACTTTGAATTAACACATGACTGAGAAAAATTAATCTGAATAAAGGACTGTTTTCAATTCCAGCTTGATCTGAGGCAGAAACAAGCAGTAATGTCTGAAGTGAAAACTGTTGTGCCTCTACTTTAAATGTGGTGTTTATAGTGTGATATCAAGAATTACTTTTTTATATTAGCGTTGTGAATATTTTTAAGGATTTAAAAATAGTGTCAGAGCTCCTTAATAAAATATTTAGAAAAATGTTAATTATGAAATGGCTGGATACATCACTAACATTGACTTTAAACCCTGTAGCATCCTTAACAGGGAATTATTTTGAATCACAGGGTTTGGCAAGCAAATTGGATTAGCAATTGGCTGCTAATGGTGAAATCCTTCTTGATCTAACAGCCATGGTGTACGTCTCCCATCGGTGGGGCTATTCTACGTAGGACAAGGAACATCGAGACCTAGAGGTTTTTCCAGCACAGTTTACCTGTGTGTAGGACAATCATATAAGCCACCAGCTTGTGGAAGGTCAGGTTGTGGTCCAGTTGCCTCCTCAGGGTGCGGCTGCAGCACTGAATGGAAACAAAAATGACCGCAGCAGCAGCCCATGTTGGTAAATCCAGTTATGCGTATTTATTAATTACATTTATATCCCACCTGTTTTGTTCCAAGGAACTCAAGGTGGCTTACATTATTCTCCTCCTCACCACCATCTTCTCTTCTCAACAACCTGGTGAGTTAGGTTGGACTGAGAGTCTGTAACTGGCCCAAAGTCACCTAGCAAGCACAGAGGCTGAGTGGGGACTAGAACCCAGACCTTTCTGGGTATGGAATGGGCTTCCACAGGAGGTGGTTGAAGCCACATCAGTGAGGGTGTTCAAGGATAGGCTGGACATGCACATGGGAGGCGTGTCATGAGTGCAGCTGGCTGCAGCCGGGGGTCAGACTAGATGGCCCACAGATCCCCTTCTGACTCGCTCTGCTTCTCTGCTTCTTCCTGGTCCCAGGCCAGCACTCTTAACTGCTATGTTACAAGGAAGACACAGGGTCCTGCACCCCATGATTTCCTTGTATGACAACTACTGAATGAGGGAAACCTAGCTGGCCACAATTTCATCTGTGAACGTCCTCCCCTGCTAAGGTGACCGGGTGTCCACTTAGTAGAAGACAGTCAGTTGTTTCAAGAGGTCCCCTATTGTAAAGGCTGCCGGGGGATTGTCCTCGTCTTCAAGGAGCCCTGTCTGAAGGACACTTTTCTTCCAATTCCAGTTTAATGGCAACGGAAAGCAGGCCCAGAGTTCAGCTGAACATGCTTTTCCATGCTATGGTAAGATGTCCTGCATTTTTCTTTAAATTAACATCATTCTTTTAAAGCTTCCTGCTGTGCATACAAATTAGCATGTGCTAATTGTATGCAGACTGCTGCCATCTTTTATCCTCTGTTTGGGTGCTTCATAAAAAGCCACCCTAGGAACAACTGGGTCCGATTTCTCACTCACCAAGCAGGAGCCCCTCAGGAAGGAAAGAAGGTTCCGGCAAACAGGTAGCAGGATCAGAAAGCTGTTGAAGTTGAGGCATTTGGCTGAAGCGCGTGCCCACGCCAGCGCGGACTGTGAACAGAGAAAGAGCGCAGCGCAGTGGTGAATACGTCACCAAAACAACCTACAGAATACACAGGGACTTGTAACATGGCAGGGCTGTTTGGCATTTTCCTTGTCCCCCTCACAGAAGAAAGAACTGCCATTACCAGGATGTCACAAGGAAAGGAAAATGCCCTTCTGCTACTTAAGTGTCTATCTATGCAAGACAGCCCAATCCTGTGGTATGTATCCAAATGCAGAGTGAAACTGGAATTTGCTATCCTAGGATGTAGCGATGGCCACCAATCTGCATCACTTTCAGAGGGGATTGGACACATTCTTGGAGGAGAAGGCAGTCCTTGGCTCCTAGTTCTGGTGCCTACCTGCCACTTCCAGTGTCTATGTGCGTCTGTTGCTGGGGAACATGGGCTGTTGTCCTGCTTGTGGAACCCCAAGGGCAGCTGGGTGGCTGCTGTGTAAACGAAATGGGAGGCTCAGCCTCATCCACCAGGTCCCTGCTTACGTTATGTTTTGATGTATCCTGTGGGGTTTTCTCTTGGTAGGTGTGCACAGGATTGTAGCTCTCCAGGGTGATCCCACACATGTCCACTCGGAAGTGCATCCCAGTGGGTTCAGTGGTCTTCCCCTTCTCCATTGTTAGTCTGGAACACCCCATCAAGGAAAGGTACGTTGGTCTTCTCTGGGTGTTTTCCCACTGGCAGGTAACATTTTGGTTTTTTCCCAGCTGGCCTTTAGCACATAAACTGGACTACGGCTGAAACCTTTTTATTTTACAAAGCTGTTTGGTGCTGCTTATTTCTTTATTGCTTCTTATGCATTTTAATTGCTTTTATTTGTTTTTATGCTGCATTTTAATTAAGATTTGAATTTTCCTTGCAATTTTATTGTTTATTAGCCTGCACATTTTTATGGAATAATATGATATAAATTAAATAACCTTAGAAGTAAGCGCCGTTGAATTCAATATGGTTTGTTTCTCTGAATAGATGTGTGTACGATTGTACTGAGGATATCACTTCCTGGAGCCACTTATAAAACCTTGTACTTTGGATCATTTTCTTATCTCTGGGCAAGTGGGCACACAATTTAATCCTGTCACTGAAACTAGAAATTCAGTTGGGCAGATCCTAGTATCATTTTGCAAAGTTTTGGCCTCCATAGTGGGAAAAGAGCAGAAGTTTTCAGAGACTGACAGACAATGCTCACCCCAAGGATCTCTCTAGTGTAGAAGTACTTTTCACCTCTCTCAAATGTCAGGAAAAATGTCACAAAGAGGAAAACGTTCATCCCCAACCAAGCCACCTAGAAGAAAAATGGAGAAACTATGTGTCAGGGTTCCAAGGTTATCACCTCAGTTAGCAAATGATAGCAAGTAGCAATAACATGAACTGTAAATGCATCGTGCAGTTTAGGAAGAAAGGAGATAATTTTCCAGATAGCTATTTTGAAGTGATTGTGCCATCAATATCAGTGACACTACAGAGCAGCAACTATAAAGCAGGTCACTGCTCCCCCGGCCTCTTTCACAGTGGGGAGCAGCCGCCTTCTCTTAGTTCACCACCAATCACGCTTCTGAAGGTGGTGTGATCCCCAGAGAAGGGTCAGGTGTTTAATCCTCTCAGGTAAGCCTTTCATTGATATTCACTGCAATTACAGGCAGGTTTAGGAAATGTGTGATCTTCCCAATGTTCTTGGACTGCAGTTCCCATCTTCTCTAACTATTGGCTGTGTTGGCTAGGACTGATGAGAGTTGCAGTACAACAGCTTCTGGGGGCCATATGTTGCTCACCCCGATTAAAGTTAGCCTTAGTTCTACTACCAGTTCTGTTGGTAAGTGTACTTAAAAAAAATACAAACTTTAAATAGTTTTCCACACTGCATGCCCCCAAAATAAGTAAATTGCAAGGAAGGTGAGTTTTCTTGGGGAAAAGCTCCCCATTCCAGTTTAAACTATTGGGCAACTAATTCAAATGCTATTCAATCAATGGCCCAAAGCAGCAGCTGACCTTGGCAGCTTTGGAAGTCTTCCTTGGACCATTAGCTGCATTCTCACCTCCAGCAAATGTGACATAATGCACCTAGCCATGATTGTGGGAGAAGAGTAAATATTTCATCAAAATCAGTTTTGCAATTGCCTCTCCTACGAAGCCATGTATGAGGAAGTGGGTGAAAATGCAGATCTGTCCAGCAAACTTCGGCACAGATAAAACAGTTTGGTTGAAGAGGTATTTTTAACTAAAAATATTTATTTGCCACCTTTGGTCATTCTTTCAAATTTTCTGTCTTCAGGGAACACTTTTCATGCCAACTCTGCTTTTTGGAGAGCCTCTGCACAATGTATATAATTCTGGAATATGTTATTTCAGGACACAGAATGAATTCATATAGGCAGCATTAGCCAGGGCTTTGGGACTTTATTTGTCCTCACCTTCCACAAACACAGAGTAGAAATGAGAACAGAGACAGTTTGCAATGAATCAGTAAGGGTTTCTAACTCCCGGTTTTGTAACAATAGCAACACCTAATCATGCAGTCCTATGCATATTTAGATAATTGCCAGTCATCAGAGATCCGTGGGCTTAAGTGTTCCTGTACCAGATTGGGGATACACAGGAGACGGCAAAAATAAGAGCGGCTGGTCTAATGAGGCGTAACCTACATTGATTCATTCAAGTGAAATCTGTTGAAATTTAATGCTGTTGGATGCATTTTGTTTTAAATTGCACAATTTACAAAGCTGCTTTATACAGCCATTCAGACTGTTGAGCGCTTGCCTGGCATCCTGACTGCAGGACATGACAACTCACACTCCGAGCTGAACTGTTGCTGTTGAAACATGGTTTGTTGTGACATGTGAACCTGCCTTTGGTTAAAAGACCATGGGTTGTTAAGCACAGACAGACCACAGTTCCACTAACAAACTATGCTCTTCTTCATGGGTTGTCCATGGTTAACAAACTATAGCTTGTTAGCACAACAACCATGCACTTGAATGTAGGTTGTTGTATTGTGCAAATCCAGTCAGTGACTGCTCAGAATCTCTCTCCCAGCCCCTCTTCCTGTCCTTTTAACCAGGAGTGACAGCAATTAAAGCTGGGGCTTTCAGCATACAGAGGCTGTGCTTTATCAAGAACTGAGCAGTGATGTGCATCCTCTTTCTGCAGCACTCAAAGCTACTTGTTTAGAACTGGACACAAGGAAAGAGTCACTTACGATCACCAGGGATGAGAACCAGTGGTTGACTGCCCAATTCCACATCCCAATGTTCTGCAGGCAGCCGTTTCTTCCTTTCAGTTCCATTAAGCCTGGTCACTAGAAACGTTTCACTTTGTTGAAACTCCTTTCTTGGGTCTTCTTTTATCTCTTGGAAGCGAAATAACCCTTCTGTTCTTCACTTGCTTCACTTACTTTATAAATCGGGGAGGGAATGTGGCATCTTGTGCCCTGCCCAAACAGTTGGGTTTTTCCCTCCTGCGCTTTTGAAAAGGAAATAGGCAGAGTTTTATCTCAGCTATACATAGATTCTCATCCACCCAGTTCCACTGAGGTAAATGATTTCTACTGGACAAAGAATACAGTCATCCCAAGAAGAATATTAATTTTAATACTAGACTATTGAAATATTTTTCCTGCATTTATTTCATGTCATTCATAGAGATCCTGCTTTGTTAACTGCAGGAGTTCTAACAACAGCTCATAAACTTCCTCATAACCATAGCATTATATTCAAAACTCCTATCAGGTGTGGTGACTTGCTGCTAATAGCATCTTTCCCCTTGGGGCAAATAGCAGCCTGGGAGTCTACATGCAACTTTTTTACCCCAAGGGGCTGGCCCAGCCCAGACACCCTCACTTGGAAGAACTCAAACTACCTATATTAAAGCTGATATATACTTTATTGAATGCAACAATTAAATCTACACGTAGGATATAAGCAAGCAAATGAAAGCTTATGTTCCCCGTCTTTGCAGCCATGGATTCTATTTATTATTTATTTATTTATTTGTTAAAACATTTTTATGCCGCCCCATTCGCCGAAGCCTCGGGGCGGCTTACAACAAAAAATTAAAATAACAGTTTAAAATATATACAGTAAAATACAAATATATAATATAAAACATACAATATAAAACAAGCCGCCCTGGCCAAATAAAATTCAATAATATTAACATTTAAAATACTGCTTAAATAAAAAGCTCTTCACCTGGCGCTGAAAAGCAAATAACGACGGCGCCAGGCGGACCTCTCTGGGGAGCGCATTCTATAACTTAGGCGCCACCGCTGAGAAAGCCCTCCTCCGAGTAACCACCCTCCTAACTTCTTCCACGGAGGGCTCCCGGAGAAGGGCCTCTCCCGCCGATCTCAGGGGGCGGCTGGGCATATAAGGATGTAAGCGCTCCTTCAGGTAACCAGGAGCCAAGCCGTTTTTTATAAAGCTCCTCTTTCCCACTGTTTCGGAGTCTGGCACTAGGCACGTGGCTCCCACCCGCTTTCCTGGGAAGAAAGATGTCCTAGTAAGTTTTGTTCTCGCTGCAAGGGCAGCCCTTATCCACAGGGACGGGGAAGGCAGCTCCAAGACAACTATCCCTGGTGCTCTTCCTAACAAGCCAAAGGCCATGGGATCTGAACCACCCCTTGAAACTTAAGTAGTTCCCACCATGTTTCCGGTACAGCCCATACAATCCAGGGATGAATTCATATAGGACTGTGATGTTGGGGAAAGGGTCCACCTTCTTCCTGAGGTACAGTCCTGGCTTACTTGTGTGTGTGTAGAGGGGAGGGGCAGGAAGGAAGGAAGACTGTTGTCAAGAATGGATGCATACAGAGTTGATAACAATTCTAGAGGACAAAGTGTGGGAGGAAAACCAGAAACAATGACATTTGTTCCTGCCATCTGTTGTTCTGCATATGTGGCATAGTCATTAAGGAGCTGAATGGTGAGACCCCCCCTTCCAGTCCTTAGTTGACCATGGAGTCACCACAAGATAACTTTGTCTTATTGATGTTTCTGTTGTTCTTACCCTCCTGATAGCATTTTATATAGCACTTTTTACTGCATTATGTAATTGTGGTTTTAGTTGACCATGGAGTCACCACAAGATAACTTTGGGCGAATCACCGAATCTCAGCCCAGCCTTCCTCACAAGTAGATGCCGCAATGGTGTTGGCATTATGACCCAGCAAGGTTTTTGTGCCTGGCAGCACTTAGGACAGCTTCCATGTAGCTTGAAGGGCCTGATCATGCCTCATCTTGGAAGCTAAGCAGGGTCAGGCCTGGTTGGAATCTGGATGGGGGACTTCAATGTTGTGAACCACCCAGAGAGCTTCAGCTGTGGGTGGTATAGAAATATAATTAATAATAACAATAATAATACTGTCTGTACTTTATTTCCATTTTAGTTCCCAATTGATGCCCATCCATGTTTGCTAGTATCCAAGCAACAGATCTCTCGTAACTGTGTCTTTATAACAGTATGAAAGTTGGCTGTTCGTGCCAAGGTGAGACCTCAGCTCACCTTTGCTCATGATAAATGGGTGATGTTGAGGCACGTACAGCAGCAAACAACCGATTTCTTTTTTTAACCAGGAAGTCCGAAGATAAATATATTGGTCTCTGCTGGAGCTATTCAAGTCAGTTTCAGATTTCTAATTGAAGATGTAAGAAAGTGACTTCTGGGATGTTTGTGTTTGTACCAAGGATCAAAAGTACTTTCAACAATATTTTTATTACCTCTAATTGTCTTAGGGCCAATATACTCCGGTTGTATGGGTTTGCAAACAAGGAAATGAGGTAGGGAGCAATCCAGACTGGGAACGCACTTGGGGTGGGGGTGGCGGGGGGTGCCAGCCACTTTTTGAAATCACATGATTTCATGAGCACCTGACAGACTGGTATCAGCCTGTTGACCCTAAAGCTCCTGTGCTTACGCTCGCGCTCGTGCACAAACACACGCACACAAATACACATCCACAGAGATTGGGACCTGTAAGATTGGGCACATACATGGTGCTTTTTAAAAGGTGTAGCTAGAAACTGTAGCAAAGGTGATCTCAGCAGCTTTGGGTCATGCATACAAGGTGAGTCTTGGCAACTCCCTTATCAGTCAAAGCTGCATATATTTGAAGGAACTCAAGTTAAGGAGGATACAGAATTAATCACGTATGCCTGGAACCAGCCCTGAAGAAATTTCCTCTTCTTGTCTAGAAGGAAGCACACTAGGGATGTAAATAAATAGACTGAAAAGTTGAGAAATCTCTCTTCCGGTTGATGTGTCCTCTTATCTTAAAATATTTCACTAGTGCCTCTGGCACAACTACAGATTCACAGAACAGCTGGGTCAAAAGGGGCCAGGAAGGCCTTGGAGTCCAACCCTCTGCTAGTGCAGAATGCCAGTTACACCATCCTGATCAAAGAACTGTCCAGTTGCTTCCTGAATGCATCTAGTGTGGAAGAACACACAACCTCTCTTGGCAGCTGGTTCCACTGTCCTACTGCTCTCACAGTAAGGATGTTCTTCCTTGAGACTAGCCTGCACCTGGTATACTGTAGCTTAAGTTCATTGTTCCATCACCTACAGTCTGGAATGAATGAGAATAGGTGTTTTTCTTCTCTGTGATAGCCTTTGAGGTACCTGTAGAGTGCTATCATGTCACCTCATGTTTCTCAAGGCTGAACAGGCCCAGTTCTTTCAGCCTCTCATCATAAGACTTATTTTCCAGGCCGTGTATCATCTTTGTTGCCCTTTTCTGGACCCTTCCCAAACTATCAACATCCTTTTTAAACCTGCATGCTGTACTCCAGGTGAGGTCTGACTAATACAGAGTAGAGGGGAATGAGTACTTCTCTATTTCTGGACGTGATACTTCTATTTATGCATCCCAAAATAGTGTTTGCCTTTTTTGGCAGCTGCATCACATTGCCGTCTCATATTTAGCCTGTTGTCTACAATAACTCCCAAGATCTTTTTCTTTTTCAGTGCTGTTGAGCCAAGTATTCCCCATCTTCTGTAGCTGCAGCTGGAGAACCTGGCATTTCTCCCTGTTGAATTTAATTGTGTTGTTTTTCACCCAGCGTTCAAGTTTGTTTAGGTCTCTCTGGATCTTCTTTTTGTCTTCCAAGGTGTTAGCTCGTTTAGCATCATCTGCAAATTTAATTTTCTTTCCCTGGATTTCCTTATCAAGATCATTAATAAGGATGTTGAAGAGCACTGATCCCAGCACTGAGGCCTGTGGTACCCCACTGATGACTTCTCTCCAGGCTGAGAAGCTACCATTGATGGTCACTCTCTGTGATCCGTTTTGAAACCAGTTGTGGATCAACTCATGGTAGTTCCGTCCAGTGCTTTTTTTGTAAAAAAAAATGGTGCCGGAACTCACCTCTTGGGGTCAGTCACTCTACACACACATACACATAATGGTCGCCACCAGCAGTAAGCACTGAGCACACGACCACACGACCGATCCCAAGCTGAGCAGCGTCCCGAGCCAAGCAGCGCCCTCACAACCAGTGCGGACACACACGCAGCCCACAGGCACTATTTTGATGCTTTTTGCTGCCGACCTGCTATGCCCGACAGGGCGATTCACAATCACATGGAAAAATCTGTCAAAAAAAGGTGCCGGAACGCCGTTCCAGTGCGTTCTATGACAAAAAAAGCCCTGGTTCTGTCAAGCGCACACTTTGCTATTTCATTGGGTTATTGTGTGGCACTTTGTTGAAAACTTTGCTAAAGTCCAGGTAAATAACGTCCACTGCATTTCCTTTGTCCCAGTCAAAGAATGAGATTAGGTTGGTTTGCCGTGACTTATTGTTAAGAAATATGTGTTGGCTTCTACTTATCACTACATTTTCTTCACCGTGCATACAGACTGCTTTTTAAATTATCTGCTCCAGTGCTTTCCCAGGGATTGAAAATCAGCTAACTGGTCTGTATTTCCACAGTTTGTCTTTCTTGCCTTTCTTGTAGATGGGGAGCGTATCAGTACTCCTTCGGCTGCCTGGCACTTCCTGTTCTCCAGAATTTATCGAATATTGTAGATAGTGGCTCAGGGGCTCTTGCTCCAGTTCTTACAATACTCTAAAATGGAAGCCTTCAGGCCTGGAGTTCTGAATGCGTCTAGCTCTTCAAGGAGTTCCTTGACCATTTGTCTGTCGATTATAGGCTGCCATCGTTGTAGGCAGGTCACATTTCTTTTGTGGGAGAAGACTGAGCCAAAACGAGTTGAGAACCTCTGCCTTTTCCTTATCATCTGTTATTTTTTTCTGCCCTTGACAGGTTGTTCCATGCCTCTTTCATTTGTTTGCCTTCAATTTTGTACGTTGCTGTGGAAGGCTTTCTTATTATTTTTAGCATGCCCTGCTAGTTTAAGTTTCGGAACTTCCCAACTCTGTCCCTGCATGTTTTGCTGCCTGTTTATACTCTTCTTTTGAGGCTTGACGTCCTTTCCACTTCCTGTACATTTTCTTTTTAGCTTTTAAGTTGTATGCTAACTTTTTATGGAGCC